CATCCTTTCCCTATCAATTATCAATATTTGAAGACTTGGGGGGTTGACAGCCCTGATTGAAAGGGGTTACTATTGAATTCACAAATTTATCTCAATGATAATCTTTTCAAGTGGGATATACAATAAATAAAACTTCCATATTAATTCAGCAGTTTTAACTGTTTTATAATTAAAACTGTAAAACATGGTGTCCTTTGAGAGACCTTCCCTGTGATCAATGTTTGGTGGCAAATCATAGATAGGTAATTATATAACGTCTTTATTTAAAGAGGGTAAACAGGTGACAGTTATGATAAAACTGGTAAACTTGTGACCCTCGATGCTTATTGATTTGTAAGGTTCTCTTTTGATATTTTTTGAGTAGAGTGTGTTAATAGAAGTTTGGTTTGTTGAGAAGAAACAAGTGGTTCTTTTCCTCTCTAGGTCCTTGGACAAACAATGTCCTTAGACCCCTTGGTATACAAATACCTCTGACTGTAAGTTTATATTCTGACTGTAACAGTAAAATAATTTTACTGCTATTAATTAAATTATAATTACCGATATTATAACATATGGAATAAATCTTTCCTTAATTCTTGCCACAACTTTTTTATAAGACCTGTTTCCAATCTAACTCAATTTTGTTTGGACCAAGTCTGTGCAGCACAGTTTGTTCACAGGCTACCCACTTTGGTATTCCTGTTCCAGTATTAATTCTTACCTCTTCCTGTCCCCAATAGCCTGAGAAAACAGCCGACATTTCGTGACGTCACCACTGGTTTCCCCGCGAAATGACGTCTGAGATTCGAGCATCACTACCCAGATCTGGGTAGTAATCATAGACACTATCCAGATTTTAGTGGTGAACGTCATTAGTATGGAATTTCTGCAGTCGTTACTCAGACGTCATTTTGCAGGGAAACCATTGGTGGCACTGGCGTGCACCGAACTCCGATGTAATTAGTTTCCGCTAGCAGAAATCGTGCGAAATTTTGTTTTATTAGTTTTTTGGATGGATTTCACTTCCTCTGCAGTAACTATCACGAGCTAACGTTGATTATTTCTAGTGTACCAGTAAAAACTGCATCAACCTACAAGTCTCTCACCACCGGACAACCAAAAAGTGGGGTCGATTATTTCCTTGACGGGTCGTCACCACCCGAACGGGTCGTCACGATTCGTCACCACCTTTCGACCCCCTTTCACAAACTACTAGCCTACGTAGCAAGCGTTTCCGTACGGTTTAGGAGCAAAGAACGAGAAACGAGAGTCAAAGACTGCACGAAAAATGGGGCAAGTAAAAGAGCAGGCTCTCGTTTCATTTCTCGCGCGGCCAAAACCGAGAATTCCGTTCCTCTGTCTTTCTTTGCTCCGAAACCAAACGGAAACGCTTGCTACGCAGGCTAACAACCTGCAAGTCGTGAAAATTTTCTAAGTCTCTCACCACCCGACAACCAGAAAGTCGCGTCGACTATTTCCCTTGACGGGTCGTCACTGCCCTTTTCCCTTTAAATCCACGACCTGACTTCTGGTAGACGGGTCGACTTGAACGTCATACGACCCGACTCAGTTCTTGTGTATTGGACAACCCTCCCTTCCAAAAAAAATTTGTTATGATCGGTGTTACATAATACAAAACCCACTGAAATAAAATTTTCAAAAATTTGCAGAAAATGCTTCTGATGCGACCCACCCCCTTTAACAATCTGCTCTATTGTTGTTTTGGCCAATGGGCCTGTGAATTAGCCTCCCCGCAGACGTCCTTTGGGGTTCGTTTGTCACGCATTCATTTGACGTCTGCGGGGAGGCTACCTGTGAATGGGCCATGTCCGTGTTCCCTCAGGCCTCGGTATCAAAACGATGTTAAGTGCGCAGCCTTTGATATGGAAATGATTTTGCATTCTCATGCAAATAAAACTCATTTTCACAAGAAAAGCTGTGAACTTTGCCTCATTTTGAAAGTGAGGATTTTTGGAACTCGGTCAGGTGGTTTATTATTTGGAAGCTTTAACAACGACGACGGCGACGGCAACAAAAACTTCAAAAAAGTAACAATTTGCACATGCGTCACACTCTTTTGTACTTTTCTTTGCCGTCACTGCTCTCTCCAACACGATTTTTTCTTTCTCTTATCCGTCTAAACTGAAGTGCGGTCTTGAAGAAATCAGCTCCAGGAAAATTCGCCTTTATTTGACATGATTTTCAGCGAATGAGAATAAACGCGACAAAGTTGAAAAACACTCAGCGAACTCATTTTAAAAGTGATGTTTTCGTTACCGTCACCCTCGTGGATGCTAAAGCTTCCTGTTATCCCAGCAAGGAAGTAAATACAGCATGTTTAACAATGTGATCTTATTAACTTGCAGTTGCAGAGGATTACCGTTTGCTATTGGCCAGTTTTGTCACCTCATCTTTATTCTCCTGATAAATTTCCTGGATTTATATTTTCTTCGCCCCTTGGAAACAAAAACATGCATGTATACGGATTTCCAATGTTTGAATATCCAGGTCTCATTAAGGTGAACTAAAAAAAAGTACCACTATTTGCCATTTTCTTTGTGCTGTGCCAACACAAATAGTACTGAACAGTGTTTTGACATAAGCTTTTGGCACGGCACTAAAACCATACCAGATGGAGTTTCTGTTCACACATTAAAGAACGGTGATTTCGGCGCTATTTCTGTAACAGAGCGAACCTACGCCGCTCGGATCTCTAAAGTGGTAGACTGCAAACAGTCGGTTTTTCTCAAAATGAGTAAAGAAATCGGTAAAGTGTGGCGTAAGAGTCTTACGCGGCGAGCCGTCTCTCCCCAGTCTCGCTCTCTGTTTTCAGCGTCGTTCCAGACCTTTTGTTTGACTGCAGGCGCGTACTTGAATAGGCAAAAATACGGACTGTTTTGCAGTCTACTAAAGTGGAGGGTCACATATTTGTTTACACTGTACCAGATAGCCCTTCGTGTCGGCAACACTTAAGGTACGGAAAACGGGTAACAAAAAACATGCAACTTGTTTTGCAACATTGTTGCGCGTTTTGCGACTCTCATCAAATATTTCTTGCACCAAAACAGGTTGTTGACAGGTTTGAACGTGGGTGGTAAAACGTGCAACATCGCTTTTCAACTTGTTTTGCAACACTGCTGCAAAACAAATTGCATGTTTTTTGTTGCCCGTTTTTCCGTACCTTTAACTGCGCAACTACCTGGCTATGTGCATAAATTACATGTATTTTTTATTTTTTCCTGTAGATCTGCCCCCACGCGGGAGTTAGTATAGAAGATGCTGATAACAGAGAGGGTCCTTCAAGAGGATTTGATCAAAATTACATCGACAGTGTGGCTGAACTGATTAAAGCTCGTTTCCCTGGGGTCAAACCTGAACCGAGTATTACAGAGTCCTGTATTTATTCTGTGAGTATATAAAACTATAATCTGAACGAATATTTCATGTAAAACCGAAAATGAATGTTGAACCTCGTTAATGTTCTAGTGTTTTAAACGATAGCAGATTTAACTCACACAACTCCCTGGACGTAGTCCTGTCGTTTACGGGTATTCCTTGGTCGGGAAAGAGTTCGTTCCGATAAAAGTCTCGGTTTGTTGCAAAAGTTCGTGTTACTCAGGGTACAAATGGTTTTCAGCTTGTCAACAAAACCTGGTGAAGTTATCCTTCACAAGGAAATCTTGCTCCTGTAAACTGGGCTTTATGGACCCTAAAAGGACGATGGCGATAGCGAGAATGGCATAAAATAGACTACGAGTAGTCCCCCATTTTTCCTCAGGGATAGTAGAGAGAGCGAAACGTGAGCGCGCGTGAAACTCCTTTTCTCGCGTGGAGTGATTTTCACGCGTGCTCACGTTTCGCTCGCTCTACTATCCCTGAGGAAAAATGGGGGACTACCCGTAGTCTAGGCATAAAAACAATGGGCCGTTAATTAGCAAAACCACGTTCTGCACAAGCCCGTGCTGGGTTCACTTGTCACTCTTATCTCCGTCTTCTGTTTCTTTGGTGGGATTCATTTGCAGCAAATTCCAATGGTCATCGCTTTGCTCTTTGGATTTTTTGAATTTTTTTTAAGCTCAAAAATATGCTTTTATACATTATGCTTTTGTTTCCCCACATTAATTGTCCATTTTCCCACTAAACTACTCGGTCATTCCCCCAAAAAAAGAAAAAAGCCACGAAAATGCTCCGATAATGATAATGTTCGAAATACAGAGGCTTTTGCTATTAATTACGGTGTATCGCTACCAAAATGTTATACAGTATAACAAAAACTTTATAATCAAGTTTATAACATTTTAATCAGTAAAAATTAATCCTCTAAATCATCTACTAACTTTTCCCTAATCTCCGCACTTTGAATTTCGAGTTTACTTAAGTTTGTTTTCCGTTTTCTCTGAAAAGAATTTCCGGGGAAAAGTACTCTTATTTTTTATTTTCTCTGAAAAGAATTATTTTTTTTCTGGGAAAAATACCACTAAAATGCTCGAATAATGCTTAATGCTTTTACATTATTTTTGCCTAAGAAGGCGAACATAATGTTCCCTTAGAAACATTTAGACGACCAGATGTTAACACTGCCGAGGTCAAATTTTCTACCGTACTAACTAAAAACGTGACCTCAATTTTGGGGTTCAAAGTTTTGAATGGCTAGACGTCTGAATTTTCGTACGGTTATCATCGTTCCGTGTGAGCGGGACACCTTACAACAACCGATCGAAAAATTGTCCGGTACCGACCGTTTAAACGTTGCCTCAGGCTATGTTCACACGGCATTCAGACGGCACGGAAAATTCGTGCGTTTAGCTGTTCTCTTCACACGAAACTACCTTAACCGAAAAATAACCCGTTCGAAAATTAAGACACCTAGCGGTTTAAAGTTCCGTGTGAACAGAGCGAGAATATTGAACGGTCCCGTGTGAACAAAGTGTCGGGTCAAATTTTTTAAACGGTCGAAAATTCGTCCGTATACTCAGTGTACTCACTGAAGATTGTTGCCATCCAGCAGACTATTCAAGTCATTCCACGATCTTTCCTAAACGATACTACCGTAGTTCCCTTTAGGATAATTTTCGGACTTTATCTTTTCGCTGATAGGTAACTCCAGATCACTTATTTGTAATGGACAGACATCCTGAATACAAAAATATCGTCATTGGAGCCGGGTTCTCAGGTGAGGTTAATGCTGCAGGTCGAACTTTTCAAGTGCAACGGCGAAGCATGCGTGCCCGTTCTCTATTTGACGGACTATTTGCTCTCCTCTTGAGAGAAATACCCATTGCCGTTCTTTCTAAACTTCCGCGGTAACTTTCTAAACGGCGCGGGGCCTAATTTCAACATAACTGTCTACTGAGTAGCAGGTAGCCTGTGTAACAGGCGCTCGCGGCATTTTGCGCCGAGCGCTTGTTTCGCGCTTCGCGCAAAATGCCACGTTCGCCTCGCGTGGCTAATAAAGCGCCTGTTATGCAGGCTAAGTAGCAGCCTACAAAGTGCCTTGTTTCGTTAACACTGAATTTGATTGACGTCCTTTTTTCTAACACCGACGGAATTGAAATGTTAAATACATAACTACATAAAAGGTTTTAAAAATCTCAAAAGTTGTCCCAGCTGTAGCCTGGAACCCCCGGCCTGGTGCCAGGCTCCTTGATGTGGAAAAAGGAAAAAAAGCGGCAAGCGAACTGAGCGAGGGACTGGGAGGGAGGACAGGGCTATTCCCCACTTCCTTTCTTCCATTTTTTCCCTCGCCGTCTGCTCACAATTTTAGCCCCCTTCCCCCAAAACGGAGAGCCCAAGTTAAGCTAACCTAACTGTAAGAAAAGGCGCAGGTTGCAGGGGCCGCACTTCTCTGTCACAAGATAGTTCGATATCTCCCATCCCGAAAGAGGGAGCTACGGATGATTATTATCGTGGGAACTATCTTTAAAAAAATTAAAGATGCGTGACCGTTATCTAATTTTTCTTTCTAGGTCATGGATTTAAGATGGCGCCCGTTGTGGGCAGGATCTTGACTCAGATGGTCCTTGGTGAGAAGGTGTCGTATGATGTGATCCCTTTTAGGCTGTCACGGTTTACAAGCCCTAAAAGCTCACTGTAGAATTTCAGTTTTAGACCACGCAGTCCTTGGGTTATCCATGGCATGGTTCGCACAAGCCTTGAAAACTCCTTGAAAATTCGAAAATTGTTGGATATCCGTGAAAAGTCCTTGAATTTTCCACAGAAGTCCTTGAATGTTTTTGAAAGTTCCTTGAATAAAAATAACCTTCGTTTTAAAAAAAACATGTTTTGCGCAAAGGAATGATTGAAAGCACAGCAATACACGAAATTTCCTTGGTGAACATGAAAAGTCTTTTCTTATGATCTCGGTGTTCCTGGCATGGTTCATTTTCCGTTATTTGACGTACCCTTTTAACCGTTCCTTACTAAAGGAAGGTTTTGCAATAAGCGACCCCCCCTCCACCTGTGCATTTTAAAAGTCTTACTTCATGTTCTTGAAAAGTCCTTGAAAAGTCCTTGATTTTTTCCCAAAAAAGTTCTGTATGAACCATGCATGATGGTGTAATATTCTGTGGTTCCTTGCAACACCGCACCAAGGTTGCCCAATCATGAATTCTGGAAGGATGCTCGCTCGAAATTAGCAGCATCTATTGAATAGGTGATTTGACACCGACTCTCATCGTGGCGGCTAACCCCTTTACATTAATATAATGCAAAAGTACTGCTAAAGAGGTCTCGTTTGAATGCTCACATCGTGGGATTTTATCCACAGACTAGACTCAAACGTTGGAACTACAAACCAAATAGACAGTTCCATTTGAAAGCACAGGTTAGGCTGTTTTTCGTAGAAAAAGAGAAAACTAAAATGGAGAGATGGATTGGGATGGAAAGAGGAATCAGAAAAATTCTCACTTTCAAAATACGGCTTTGCATCTAAAATTTCCGCGAAAATAGAACTGTAATTTCGAAAAGACTCAAGTTCCCCTAGGATGACCGAACCGATACAAATTTTATAGCGCCGCTTAGAATGCATTTCTAGAGATCTAAAACTACTCTAAATAGTAATTAAAGTGATTTCAATGTACTTAGGAGAAAACCGTCTTTGGGTGCCCTTGCTGGGAGGGAAATCTTTACCATGGCGCGTTGTGCGCCCCATTGCAGGAGACGATACAAACCACCCGCGTGGAAATCTCGTGCTCAAAAACTTGAACTATAAAATTTTACTTGGTGGGGGAATTACCCGCTTCAAAGTATATCCAAAATTTAAATGCTAAGGAGACTGAAAAGAAATAAATTTATCGTTCCCACTGAGATTTATAAGACAATACCCCTAATTTGCATGTCAAGTAAACTGAAGGATTCTGGTAGTTGTAGTCAAATGATATCATCGTGCAAATGACCTATTTGCTGAACAAAACTTTTCCAGTGAGTTTGCTATGACTGCTTAATAAAATAAGTGAAGCTGAAGACGCATTTTTTACAGGCTTAGCCCCGATTTGAAATATATTCACAATTTCCAACGAGAAGAAGACCTCTTTATTACTCTTTCCATTGTGTATTTTCAAATTTCAAACGCTTTCTTGCCGGAATTTGTGATTATTTTACTTTATGTCGAGGCTAACCCCGTATGAACGTGTCGTTAGTGTTTGTATTTAGCGGTAATTTTTGATTCGACACTGGACTATTCACGGGTGCCATATTTATATATTTGTTGGTCGCAATAAAAATAGAGACCAGTATTTACCCGTTTCCCAAATTATTCACTCTAGAGACCATTTACCTAACACGAAAGAGCAGTAGATAATTCTCAAGATTTGTCTTTTCGCGGCAAGCCAATGTTTTGGTTTGGCGTCTGAACCAATCATATTACAAGAAATTTTAGCATATACACAACATGTTAAGCAATGTGATTGGCTCGCTCTCTCGGACTATTCAGCAATATTCACCTCCTAGCGAGTGAAAATGCGTGAGCTTGGTGTCTTTTCATTTTTGTTTTAGAGAAAGATATCCTTCGAAAATTCGTTGTGGCGAGTCTATCAGGCCTACTTCCGCGTGTTCACCCACAGCCTCCCCGCTCCACCTCCAATATATTCCCCGCCCCCCCCCCCCCTATCTTTGAAGCATCGTCACGCAAGCAACCAGCATAGTTTTTTTTACACTTTTGTTTACGGTCCTTTCAAATTTCCTCTATGTATTACAGTTAGCGACAGTGGCGAATACAGGAAATCCTCGGAGATAAATAACGGCGTAAACACTTTAACCCCAAAAATCTACAAATTTTCTAGGCTGATCTCCGAACATTTCCTTGAAGAAATAGTTTAGACAATTTGTTTTTAGATTTAAGCGTTTCCCTTGGGTGATCATTTAATCAATTCTCATAACCCTTGATTATGTACTGATATTGTTAAAGGAAAATTGATGTTGCCCGCTGTGGGTGGGACATGGAGCATTCTCGTCCCCAGAGCCCGTCGTTTCTTGGTCACGTGGTTAGGAAACGAGGGGTTACAAATTAAGCCGAGTGGCTCTGGGGACGAGAATGGACATGGAGAAGGTGAAAACAAATTTGCACATGCGCAAGCCTTTGCTAAAATGGCCCTTGATTTAGAGTTGCGTTTACGGTAAACATGAGTTTGTACCTCATGAACAAGTTTTCCCTTTACTCGTTTGTTTACTGTTCATTATAACTACTCGGAAATCGGTAGATTCTCGACAGTTCTATCCATCAGGGCCCAGTTGTTCGAAGGTCGATTAGCGTTTAACCCGGGTTTTTCTTTCTTGTGTTCAAAAGCATTTTCTCGGATAATTTTCTGTTATATTTAGAGCTTTCAACCATCAACTTGTAGACAGAAAGAGTTGAAACTGAAATGCTTTTTTTAAGCTTTCAAATCTGAATTCAAATCTCGCACTAACCCTGGGTTATCTTTACTCAGCTTTGAACTACTCGGCCCAGAATTGTTTTGAGCTGTTTTAAACTGATAATTTCCTATTTTGAAAATTTCTTAACTTGAATCTCATGCACGTTTGCCGTTTCAGCCGTAAACGCGACTCTAAATCTCTGTTACTTTTCGAGTGAAAGGACCTTGCTTGCATTTCGATGAGAGGCGAGAATCATTATCTTTTGAACAAATTATCTTTATTAGCGTCAGCTAAAGTAATACTATTTACACCAATTCGAACAATTTTTTTTACCTACTTACAAGAAAATATAATTGTATCTATTGTGTCAGTGGTAGAGCGTTTAGGCCGTGTTAGAGTAAAAACAACAACGTTCCATCTTTTTCTTCGATTCTTTTTTTTTTTCTTCGACTCTTTTGCTGGTCAGTAATCCGGAAGGAAATAATGCAAGCGTCAATGCGATTCACTTTTTGGCAACGAAACAGATAAGCCTGCAATGGCAATGTCTAATATGTAGGCCGATTCAATAAACAAAGAGGATAGTCAAACTAAAGGAACAGAGGCCTTCTTATAATGTTGTGTGTGGTATATGGTATTTCACTTCATTTCACGAAACTAAGATCAGCTGAACAGTGCACAAAGAACGGTTCGATTGGCTTTGCCTAAATACAAATGCGTAAATCCACTAAATCAGTCCTACAGACCTCAATGTTTCTAAGTGCTTTCTCCTCCCATCGGGGTAGTCTTCGTGCCCAAGGAATAGGGAAAGGGGGGATGAGGGCGTGCGTGCCCATCCTGCTCACGCGCGCGTTTTTTTTCCTCTTTCACGTCCTCTTCAAACGCTAGCCTGTCTCAGGCGTTCGGTCAGTGCAGACGAGGGAAAAAAGCGGGCAAGCAGCAAAAACGCCGGCCACAGATGCTACCCTGCCCCCAACCCCTGAAGGTTGAGCGCAGTGTCCACATACCGTTACTACATTTGCGCGCACAAAAGAGCGGAAAGGAAACAACTATGTATTACGATATGTTAATTAACGCCCCTTGCATTCTGTGTTCACAAAAGGGGGCGGGAAAATAATTTAAATCATTAGATATATGTGTGAGTGCTAGACAAGTATAAACCTTACAGATCTTGGTTTCAAGTCGTACAGTAAGGAATTAGGAAACGTAAAGTGAAAGTACGCGGTTTAAGACCCTCAGATTTTCTATCCTTTTTTTCTTGTCGTAAGCCAGGTCATCTCCTAGCGTTTGATTATTCTTGGTACTCGATCAAGCACCTAATAATAATTCGCTATATTTTTCGTCAGTGATGCCTGGTTTGATAATTCTTTAACACTAACACAAGGCAGATCTTCAAGCTGAATAAATATTAAACCTTTCACTTGATCGTTCATTCTGTATCGTCCTCAGAATCAGAAGATTCCAATGCAGAGCTGTGTTGACTCACGCGACTATCAGGCTCGGTTTCCTGGCTCTTGACGGATTCTACTTCACCACTCGGTGATTCTAAGTTTAAATTCAAGTCACGTGATGTCTCTGTATTGTCATCTGAGGGCTCATGAGGACTCTTCAGAAACTCTGATTCGCTAGCGAAGCTGGAATGTCGAGAGGAATGAAAGTCTGATTCACCTTCTGTCGTAAAATTGCTCTCATCATCCTCGTAATCATCCTCACTGACATACCGATTATAAGATCGACTTCCTTTCAGTGCAAATAGGGATTTACCTTTTGGTATTATCTTTTTATTTGAAAAATCACCCTTGTCCTTTTCATCTGATACAGCACCCGAATGTTTTAGACCTTCAATTTGTCTGAGAAGCTCCTGATTCTGCAGCAAAATACGTTCTGACTTCTGTTGTTCCTCCATGGCAAAGTTATTTGCTATGTGAACGGCTCGCCGCATGTCTTCTCTAAGCACTTCAGCTTCTCGAAGTTTTTCCTCAGTTTCGTCATTAACCGCTTCCAGACGCGAAATTATGTCGTTAGACTGTCGCAGCTGTTCGTCCGATTTTCCGAGCAAAGCCTGCAAGGTTTTGATTCCTTCCAAGTGATTCTCTAATTCCGAGGCGTCTCTTTTTAAGCTACCGCGGGACCGTTTCTTTCGTAGATCCATAGCAGAATCCCTTCGTTTTAGAAGATATCGTCGCAGAGACTCGACCTCTTCTTGCAGGTGTTGTTTCTCTCGACATACTCGATCTAGGTTAGACTTCACAGTTGACGCCTGGCGTTTAAGAATGCGGGCACCAGGATGAGGCTTTCTGGGCCTGGCCTCTTGTTCTTCGCCTACGATAAAAAAAAAATCAATTCCTTTCTTCACTAAACCTTAGGTTTGAGAGCAAGGATTGAAAAAAGATGGAAGGGAAAAAACGCCAAGAAGTAGAGAAGAGGTAGAAATTTTTCCATAGCACTACAGTGGACTCTCTCTTAACGGACACATTCAATTGGTCCCTGACTCTCTTTACTACCTTTTTTGACTCTCTATTAGATGGACCTTGCATTAGTGCTGGTCCCAAACGTGTCCGTCCTAAAGGGGCTTGTCTGTTTAACACTTTCGCTTATTTTGACACCTTTGTAATGATTAAGACAAAATGCTATTCCCAAGGGCTATTTTCTTAGGTAAACGAAAAGACCGTACCTGATAACAACGTTGCTCATGGCCTAGCTAGGTATCTAGACAATTATCTACAATCACGGACAAAATTCATGGGACACTTTTACGTTTCTGGGGCGTTTTCCAATTCACACAGGTCCAACCTCTCCCCTCATTCCACAAACAATGTTGGACGCTTGTATCCAGAATTTTTCCGAGTTTCAACTTTGTATAGGGTGGGTGGAGGGAGAACTGCAAGAGAATTTCGAAAAGGATGCACGGTTTTAAGAGGAACCCGAGAAATGACAGACCAATATGAATATTGCAGTACTGCCCAAAGGACTTTTGTCCAGGATTGTAGACAGACTAGTTTACAGTCTTTACTTAATCAAAATGTTGGACTGTATTACCTTCAGTTATTACAAAGGAGAGATAGCAAACACTAAATTACGGCTACCACAGCGATGCGTGACAGAGAGAGAGAAAGGGGCAACAACAGGACAACGTCCACCGTTGACTACAATCAAGGCCATACTCGCAAAAAACAACTCGCACGGATACAGTCCACTCTAGGACGGACAGCTTTGGGACCAACACTAAGTGTCCTTCTTAGAGAGATGTCCGTCTTATAGAGAGTCAAATAAAGGGAGTACTAAAGAGTGGCAGGGACCAACACTATATAGAGGGGCCGGTTAAGAGAGAGTCGAGTGTTTATCCCGATGGTTACCTACGGAAAGGAAATGTCTCTGAAAATTTTCTTCATAGAACGAAAAATTTCTTTACCGCTTTACTGATGCAACAACAATTTTAAGGGATAATAGAGTACTAAAATGATGACGTCACAAAATTAAGTTTCTGAAATTATGGGATTTGTCAGGATATTCTGAAAGAACAATGTCCAAGAGGCCTACTTACCAAAAATGACATCTGAGATGTTAGCTGGATATACTCAGAAAACTCCACAGAAACCCTTCTAATTTTTTGTGGGGTCGACCCAAAAAAATTTAGAAGCGTTTGTATGGAGTTTTCTAAGCATAACTGGGCTACGATCTCAGAGACAATTTGCCCCGAAATGCTCATTTTTAGCTAGTATGCCTCTTGGACATTGTTCTTTCAGAATATCCTGACAAATCCCACGATTTCAAAAATTTCATTTTTATGACGTCACACCTTTGTACTCTATACGTATACGGTAAGGCCAGATCGACTGACAATGTTACTGACAAATAATTGCGACTTAATTGCCATTAAGCGGCCACCCTTGACGTTTGCCGCAAACGCGATTCTTAATCTCTCTCTATCGTCCACAAACGGCCGCGACGATAAACGGAGTTTTTAGACAACGCTGTTCTATCGATAGGCATAATTTTTTTCTTTACTTACCGACAGAGTCGTCATCTCTTGTGTTAAGCCTTTCCTTCAGTATTCCGAGGTCATTTTCAATGGAAGCCACCAAAGCAGCCAGATCTCTGTCGACGACGGGCTTAGAGGCTACAGCATTGTCTGATCTCTTTTGAATCACTTCCTTGTTTCCAGCTGGTTCACTTCCGTCATCCTCGCTTTCAGATGACATGAACCCCTCGGATTCCTCCTCATTTGAAGTTGGTTCGCTTGATTTATTTTCCTCTCGTGTAAGCGACTGCGTACGTGAAATTACCTTGTCCACATCCAGATCGCTTGATTTGTTTTCCTCCTGCGCAAATGACTGCGCACGTGCAATGATTTTTTCGATATCCAGATCGTTTGGTTCATTTTCGCCTCGACTTTCTTCCTGAGCAAAACTTTGCGCACGCGCGATAATTGTTTCCAGGTCTAGATCACTTGAGTTGTTTTCTTCTTGCGCGAACGATTGCGCACGTGCAATGATTTTGTCCATATCCAGTTCCGGGAGAGGAGAATGGGTTTGAGCTGCAGAGTTTTTCATTTCGAGACATTTTAAAAGCGAAAGTTTCTCGTCGTGAACCTGTCTAAGTGTATCACGCATATTTTCTCTATCCATCTCAATTTGGCGAAGCCGGCTTTGGAATGCGATTTTGTCTTTCCTAGCTCGGTCTGTCGACTCAGCATAATCTTCATCAAGTTTATCGAAGCGTTCTTTAAGAGAGTCATAATCTTCGCATAACTTATCCAGACTCGATACCAACTCTTCTTTCTCTTCGTTGGCTGCGAACAAGCTTGATTTCAGTTGTCTGTTTTCGGTTTTGATAGCCTCAAAGTTATCTTCAGTTAGTGTATTCGATACTTCACTATCGCTTTCTTCTTCACCTTCGGTTGTAAAACTATACTCAGACTCGGATAACGACAACTGAAATCGAAACTTGAGTTGTTCCCTTCGAGAGGCTGAGTCAGAGATAAGAGGGCTAAGACTGACAGATGACGCTTTTTCAAATACCTCGCCGCCATTTTCCTCATTTTCTTGCTGTTTATTTTCATTATCGTCATCGCTCGCTCCGTCTTCTTCCTCCTCCTCCTCATTCTCCTCGCTGACATCTTCTACACCGTTACCAGAATAAAGGTTTAAAATGCTTAACAACAGAGTTTGCTTCTCTTCTTGAAGTCGTCCAACTTCCTCTTCCAAATCAATTACTTTCTTTTCTGCTTCGACTAGGTTGGTACCCATCTTTTCCAGTTCTTTGGCTTGTTGGTTCGTTTGTTGTAAACTTTGTACATCTTCTCGATAGGAAAGCACGTATTTCAGATACTTTGCTTCGCGTCTCAGCTCATTTCTTTCTTCCACAGCGTCATCTCGCTCGTGCTCTGATTTTTGCAAAGAACTTTTGACCAACTCCAAGTCATTTGAAACTGCCTGAATTTGCGTTTGAAGGCTTCTACATCCGTCACAATCAGTGGGCTTGTTTCCATCGCTCTCTTCTCGTTCGCTGCTTTCAGTTGATTCGTTCTCTTTTTCGAGTTCATTTATTCTGTTCTTCAAACACTCAACCGACTTCTTGCTTTCTTCCAGTTGAGATAAAATCAAATCCACAGAATTCGAGTCATCGCACTGCGTTTCTTTCTTATATGTACTTAGGGATAGCTGCGTTTCTTTCTCAATTTTGTCTTTTTCCTTTTTTTCCAAGCCATCAACCACTTTTTCCAAGCCAGTGACACACTTTCTAAATGTCTCTGTAAGTTCACTGCCGTTGTCGAGAATTTGCGATTGCAAGCCTTTGTTTTCATCCCGTAACTCGACTACACAGTCTTTGAGCGTCTGCAAACCCTGGTTTAGCGTTAAAATCTTACTCCTCAATCGACCCTCCTGTAGAACTAGAGCTGTGTTTGAACTCGTCAATTTTTCGATGTTATCAAGATATGTTCCGATAGCTTCCACTTTCTCATCGCTTTCTCGCATCACGATGGATTTTTTCTCCTCCAGTGATTGGAACTGATTTTTAAGATCCTTCAGTTCATCCTGGCTGTTTTCGAAGGCTCTCGTTAGTTGATCATATCTCGCTTGGAGCTCATTTCTTTCGTCGGACTGCTTCTTCAACAATATAGTAACAGACTCCAGTTCCGTCTTCGCTTTATCGTTTTCGAGAGTAATATCACTGAATTGTTTTTGTAAGTGAATTTTTTCCTTTTCTAAGAGAGACACCACTGCGAGTCTCTGTTCCATGGGTTGTACTTTCTCTTTCAATTCACTGTTTTCTTGTTCCAGGTCTTTAACTTTGCTCTTTAATGTTTCTACGTCATTCTTTAACTTCCCTGTTAGCAGAACAATAAAGAAAACTCATGAATTAATGATCACTATCCTAGACAACTCAAAGATAAGGCTAGCGTTCTGAACACTCCACTGAATTACGTCGATGACAAGTAGATTGATGTTATGCTACAAATATCGTGACAATGCAGTCCCTTATGCGATGATGTATAGTCACTTGTGTGATAAAATGTAATCACTATTGTGTTAAATGTAATTAATAAGTATAGGTAATAGCATGATTTGAAGTGATATTTGGCATAAATACCACAAGTGATATTTCAAAATTGTTATACGTAATTTGAGACAATTTTGAAATATCATGAGTGGTATTTATGCCAAATATCATGTACAAATCATGCTATTATTCGTTTATACTACTACCCGCAAAAGGTCTGTAATTTTCACATGTAGGTATTTCAAATTAAGCTGAAATACCACTGCTCTAAACCAATCAAATTGCAGAAATTTCTCATGTAGTAGTATAACATATGTGATAATGTAATCACTTCTGTGTTGGATGTATTAATATATGTGATAATATGGTCACTTGCGTGACATAATGTTATCACCTCTGTGTTGAATGTAATCACTTCTGTATTGAATGTATTAATGTATGTCATAATATAGTCACTTGTGTGACAATGTTGTCACCTCTGTGTTGAATGTAATAACGTATGTGATAATGTAATCACTTGTGTGACATAATGTAATCAATTCTGTGTTGAATGTATCAATGTATGCGATAATGTAATCACTTGTATGATAATTCATTCATGCAATGTGATGTGCTCACTTACGTGATGATGTGATCATGTGACATTATGTAATTTCTTAAAAAATTTTGCTTAACTTTCTCAACCAATAACATCGGTAAGTTTTCTCGACGTTAATTTTATCGTCACCTCAGCAGAAAAGAAAGGGGTCCGATCAGTATGGAGATCAGCAAGTGATAAAAGAGTTTTGAAAATAGGTTTCGTTGATACCTGAGGTAGATGAGTCATTTGCAGCAACTCCTACAGGTTTCTTCTTGTTATTCATCCTGCAAGATTCATTTATGGCATTTCACGTTAAGTCTATGGCTTTTGCCCAGCGAACAACAATTAAACGTGCTGGAACACTCTGGAAACCACCCTAAGAGACCCAAGGGCACTTGATTCGGACGGAACCTTCAAAGATTTCGCCCCGAAAAATCCCTTCCCCGACCTAAAAGTATGCTCCGGGTGCCTTGGAGGATGACTGAGAATAGGCAATATATCTTTCAGTAACAATGAATGGCTAAGTAATTGTTACAATTCCACGGGGTTTGATGTTGCTCGCACAGCTTTAACCTGAGATCAGGCCCAATTTTAGCGATTCTCATACATTCTCTCTAACCGGCTACTGTTTCGCCTTGCCCGCCGGAATGTAATTTTCAAAGTGAAACGAAAATAGAGCCTGATCTCAGGTTAACACAGCTTGGGAAAGACGACAACGGCGGGCAAAATATTACCTACCAAAATTTAGAGAGCGGAGGAGACCTAATCAAAGCTACTTTGAAGCTACTTTCAACGCTACTTGTCTATCGCTCGTACAGAGTCCTAAATCTCTCTGTCCCCCTTCAACCCAAACTAGGGTGAGCGCCAGGTTAATCTAAACTATCCCAGAGTATAGTTAGACAGCTGCAGCGGTACTTAAACCTACTTTTCAGCGAGAACTGGATCTGAATGAGGCCTGCCATGATTTTCTTGTTTTCTTAGTTCACTCGGTCTCTTCTTGTTCATTTCCTTAGACATGGCGTTTCGTCTTGGAGGCTTCGGAGAACTACTGGGGCTCGACCTGGGAGTTCCTGTAGACGGTGTCCCAGTGGGACTAGCAGCTGATTTAGGTCTATCTCCAACATTAAAGGACCTGGACCTCGCCTTACCACCTTAAAAAAAACAATAAGTGAATTACAATTTGTTTTCAATGACTTTATTACTTACTTCCGTTAAAAAGGCGAATTTTACCTGTTTTTAAACGGTAATAGGAAGTGGAACAAAGACCTCTCGCTTTTTATATTTCTCTTATTTATGTTTTAACTTTTTTTCCTACACGATTCTCTTTTTCAGAATACGACCCCTGCTGTGTGAAAGGCAGAAACGTGCTAATCTTTTTCGTCTAAGAGAAGGAAAAACAAAAAACATGAAAACAACCCTTTGGATCTGACGGCTTTGCACAATAGTTATTTAATGCACTAGTTTAACGTTTAAAATTTTTAAAGAACAATCTATAGAACCATAAGGTTATTTGGTTAAATGGAATCAAGGAAGTTAAAAAGGAATTCAGTGTTTTTCGAAATTAGAGACAAAAAGAACTGATTTGTGATCGCGGATAAGGGAATGAGATTTGATTGTGTAATAAGAAGTAAACAAGTCTCATACAGCAAAATTCGGTAATCACGGAAGCGAAACGCAATAGTGAAGGGGTCCCCTACTATGCAAGTCTGAAACAGCACACCACGATACGAAACTATCAGATATGAACAAATACTTCACTGGGCATGTTAACTCCTTAACAGATTAAACTAACTACACCAATATAGACCGGCACAACTCACGACACGGGCCTTGAACCCAGACTATGGTTGCGTAAAAAAAATGAATGACCCATTGATCACTGAGCATCAGACGTCAACGGAAAGTGAAGTATTCCGGCGCTACTTTGTTTCATTGCTTTGTTGACGTCAAAATCCTAACAGCAAAGAACAGCACTCTCTTATCTAAGCAAACATTTCAGTTTCTTATGATCACAGTAACCACACAGACGAGCACTGAATTCACGCGAACACGCGCGTACTGCGTAGAACGTTACCTGTACTGTAGAACGTTACCTGTATATCAGTATTGGCCACCATTAAAAAACCACAAAATCAGAACAATTAAGCTCTAGTTAGTGTTAATTTATCTCACTGCTCTCTAGCGTAACTCACCACTAGAGGTAATCATACTGCCGGACTGAGACTGAGGAACAGGTAGCTTTCCGCAAGTCTTTTTTTCAGTTTCTAAAGAGCAACAAGATGTGCTACACGATGCTTGGCTCGGTTCTGACGCTGCCGGCCTTCACGCTGTATTATATTAGCAATGTAAAGCATGAAAAGAATTTGATGACGAAGTTTGCGTAGAAATATATGCGGCTGTCAGAACGAAGAACACTGTTCTCTATTGATATCAACTGTCTTACCTTCATTGTGATTCATTGTCTCAGAAACATGCAAACCATCAAAATGAACAAATATCAACAAAGAATAGCTCAGTATCTTTCACTGCTTTTAAAAGTATTTATTTCATTGTTTTTTATATCGAATGTTTTTCATGTCACGCTATCAATGATAATAACACGCATGATGTATCACTTTTCGTCGTTTTAATAAAACTAAAAAAACATTAAGCTTGAGTTTTCCACTAATCCCCGCTCTTATTACCGATAGAAAATATTGTTGATAGCAACGACACTGTTATGGCGCAAAACGATGCATGATACTGCCACAAAAACATCCCCTGTCCCAGTTTTACAATCGTTACACCCAAATCGTAAATAGCCTATATGATGTTTGTGGTGTCAAAAGTGCATGAAACTTTAGAGTCTGTAGACAAATTCCTCAGTTAAATATTGTCGAGTAGAATATATGTGGTTACAATTAGATTCGTCTTACATTCTCATTTTTATAGGCATGAAAACTTCAACTGACGTATGCAGATAAAGAGTATAAACAGTGATCAATGGCTGTCGATCAACCTCAACAAGGGAAGCAAACATTCCGCGAACACGAACGTGATGGTGTCATACCACTCCCGTGTACGATACGTGTCAGATGATTTTTGGTATAAACGCACAAACCGTTTACCAGTTAATTGTATGTAACATAAAGTAAGATACTAGCTGTGAATGAAATGTTTACCTCCTGTTGGGACCCTCAGAGCCGTTGAACTCACAGATTTTTCTGTTGGTTTATGTTTGCTGGCTTCCTTTCCCATAATCTTGGGCGATTCCTTCCCCGTTTTTTTATCCTTGGGATGAGGTTCTGTCGAGTGAAGGATGCAACAGATAAGTGACCACGCGGTGCTTATCGGCTGTGTTTTTGTTTTATAACTATTAACAGCAGATTCTTCGTCAACATCAAGGGAACATTATTCCAATGAGGAATTTGTCCAACGAGTCTGAACTTCGACACAGTCTGTCACGCGATGTATAAATTAGGAACTAATCATTTCCTTCTTAAGTCTGTTCAGGACTTGAAAACATTTGTCAGTTTTTGCGATTATTTAACACATCTTATAAACGAACAAAGAGTACGCACGATTAAAGCTGATGGCTATTTAAATACATGTTATGTATTTATACGCTCTAATGACTTCGAAGGCTGAATAAAGATATTGGCTTAGACATATCTTTAATCTGCCCAAGATTAAGAAATTGTCATAATAACAAAAATAGGTCATGTACATCATGAAGATTGTTGTATTAAACGGACAAAGACAGTGAAAAGAGAGATAAAAATTACACAATCCACCAACAAGCGCCAAAATACTGTACAATCGACGGTATAAGCTCTGTTGTTATACAGTAAAAATTAATTCCGCCGGAGACACATCCAAGCATAATTTAATCGAGTTGCACAATGTTATCGACGACGAAATGACTGACATGCATGTCTGCGCTGGGCAAAACCGGTAGGAAACGCCTATATCACCTTTTTAAAAATCTCTTAGTTTGGCTTTTTTCATCTTTTATGCCTACCACCTTTAATTTACCATTACAAATGCCAAAATGAGCGAATTCAGTCGCACTATATAGCAGGATGCGCTGAAAAACTGTTTCAATCCATTTTGTACCCTCTAACCTAAACTGGGAGTATACGGTACGTTTTGGGGGTGAATGCCGTGTCACTTGGATAAGAAAATGTCCACTAGCGATGATGTGTAAATTATGTGATCAAACCATTTTTGGAGGAAGCTGCCTCTTTTGGCCTGTCACTGGCCAAAAAAGGCAGGTTCCTCTAAAAATGCTGCCTATGCGTTCTTTGCATTATAAGCCGCAAAACCGCCGTCGATTGCGCGCGTTTACGATAACGTAGCACAGACCAGTTTATTTTTAGACCAATCTTAGCAAAAATCAATTGTCAAATTGTCAATCATTGTCAAATGTGTTGGAAAGGCAAATATTCACCTTTCATAATATTCTCTCCCAAACCCGCGGCTGTGTCAGTGTTGCACATAAGAAGACAACAGTGAAAGGAGCATTCGTTCTTTGATCTCTCAACATTGAAAAAAAAGGCGGGGGGGGGAGGGAGGGAGGATCCACGAGGGCAAACAAATGATTGTTGTATTGGAAAGTAAAGAGAACGTCCATAAACTGAAGCACTAATAATGATGAGGTTTTTTTTGTCCATGATTCTAGACCATCACGTATTAAAAAGGTTTCACAAACCAGATAGTAAAAGGTACAGACCGGAAAGTTGGACGGTTAGATGATGTCCACATTGAGAAGGGAGGATCCACTTGCGCGGGAAAAAGTACTCAAGAATGTGTCTAAAACTAGACTGGTCTTTACAAACGCCAACGCATTGGCTAGTATGGTACCCTGGGTGCCAGAGACTTTTCTAGCGCGGTTTTCCGGTTTTTTTCTCGCGCCTTCGGCCTGCGGCCGAAGATGTGTCGGCCTTCGGCCAACAACGAAAGTTCCCGCCGCACGCGACAAAAACCTCTGGTACCCAGGGTACTAGTACGGGAGTTGCTCGCTCCAGTTAAAGGGTTCCCGGATGCAGCGCTTTTGGGGAGTCGGGCAAGCACTTGGTTTCGCCCGCTGGGCGTTTCTTGTTTCGCGATGAAGAAAATATTCGAGGCTTTTTTTAGTTCCTCTTTTAGCACCTCTGACAAGTTCGTGACTACTGCCAATTTTTTTTAATCGGAGCCTTTTACATTTATCAACCTCGCAAAATACATTTCTATAATTAGATAACATTTGAGGAAAAATTCGATGCAAAGAATTTTTGATAATTAGAATCTGGTGTTCCCCGTGTCACGTTCTTTGTTTTACCTTCTTCAATCATTAACTTTTTTGGAATTTATTTTCTTTTTTCAAAATACCTCTTGACTCTATAGCAAGAGAATCAGCTATTGTTATTTTCAGTTTGTCGAAATTTTACTTAATGAACGCGCCATTGCTGAGAACAACGGGGTTTGAGAGCCCACTATTTATTCCTACCCCCGTGGGCTTCGTGTGCGCCTTGTTTCGCTCGCTATTATATTTGTTCCATCACAGTTTCTTAGATAACCGTAGCCTACCACACAGACGTTCTTAGAGAACGCGTGACGAACCCCTAAGAACGTCTGCGTGGGAGGCTTAGATAACCGCGGTGATGGTACATGTACACCTACCTTTGGGTTGCTTTCGTCTGCCAGATTGTGGGGAGGAATGGGCACGAGGTTTTGTAACCACAACTCCATCTCTTTCATCAAGACGTCCGTCTGGGACCACTAATGAATTCGCTGCCGCCGGACTACTCTCCACCGGAAGGGAAGGCCCAGATGGTGGTAGAAGAGATACACCTTCATTGTTCTCATTCACTTGAAACGGGACGCATATCGATACAGAAGAAGACCAAGCGTAAGTGCCTTGGTTAAGCTTAGCGGGCTGAGACTGGTGACCTTGAACTTGGAAAGGAATTGACACTCTTACTGAGTCCGTCTCGAATTTTGGACTCCTAGGAGAGTCTGGTGTAATGTCTTTAACACTAGTGTACGATGGTGACATAGACACCACCTTGGTGTCCGAAACTTTAACGGCAGTCTCTATTTCTGGTGGACATGACAAGTGTTTTGGGGCGGAACCTCGTCGCCACCCCAGCGACTCATATTTCTGCTGAGGAGGCCACCTTGAGCTTATTTTGGCAACATTTCTGCTGCCATCTACAGCGTCCAGTCCAGTTTGGCCAACATAAGTCGTTTCAGCATTGCGCGATGAGAAATTGCCCTGTTCACTTGCTTTTACTTCACTTACTTCAGAGGGCCTGTCATCCGACCCCAAGGAAGCCCAACTCTGATTTGGAGGTGCAAACTGATGATAACTCTGGCTTTTAACTGCAAAAGAAGTTGGCCTCTGTGCAGCTGGTTTTGTCGTCGCTAGATCGACCACCATTGCCTCGGAAGGCCACTTTGTTTTTTGCGAGGTAAGCTCTGAAGAATTAACAGAGCTGTTTTGATAATCATCAGCCTTTTCCTCAAGAAAGAACTTTTCTTGCGTCTGACGCTTGGACAATACTGATAGAATGGTGCTTCGGGCTTTCTTTTTTAAAATGTTTCCATTGTTAGGAAAAACCGACTGTTTTGTAGGCGCTGAAAAGGACAGAAAAGAACAAAGTGTCTTTTACGGCATGACCACAATCAACAAAACATCGTCCAATGTCAGTCGCCATAGTCTTATAATCACCACATGTTGGTTAGATTTTAGTTAATTTTCCTTAGCAAAAAATAGAGTAATAGAATAATAGAAAATTAATTAACTTGGCCGTACTGAGAAGGGATATCAGAGAGGTCAGTAAAAAGTATTTCTCTGTAAAACTCAGACGTCTTTTAGTTGCCTCTTTCTTTGGTGGCTGTCTCTGCCAGTGGGCAAGATGAAACGTAACCTATGTTCTGATTGGCTACACGACAAATATGGGCCAGGAAGTCAGTTACGCAAGATGGACCTGTCTTTGCCGCGCACCATCTGATCTCATCAGATTCCATTCTATGACAATAAGCTAGTGTACCTTAAGTTTAACTGTAAAGTCCTTACCCCAGTGTTTCCCTAGTGTAAATGTCAACTGAATCAAGTATACAGGAAATATACCTCTATCTGGTTTGGGATTACTCTGTGATTTGGTAAACATGGCGGCCAGTCTCCAAGACGAAGACCTCTTTTTCGACAAGCTACAAGGGGGCCCTTCTAACTCAACACTTGAGAGCTCCTCATCAGAGGACCTTCCGGAAGATGCATCACGTTTTTCTGCCTTTGATCTCTTTTCTTTCACAAAGCGAATTGATGCAAACTTTCGGGAAGGATTTGCCTGGGTAGCAAAAATAAACAAACAAATAAATAAAATCAGAAGAGGGCATATAATCTAAATACTGAAACTATAACAGAGAACTGCGTTGAAGCTTTTACACGGTTTGTGTCTTTCCTTGTTTAATTGTTTGTTTGTTTCTGGACATCATAAACGAAACCTCACAGGACAATATTCACGCATCATGCAAAAATTTCCAGGGTCCTCGAAAATATTCCCTATTTTCGATAGTAAAATGAGTAACATGGATATTAATCTTTTCGAGCGGGAAAGACAAACAAACGAAAAAACAAACCCACAAACTTCTCACCACGGAGCCACCGAGGGAAGGGATGGGATGGTCCATGGAGTAGGGGGGGGGGGGGGGGGAGCAGCCTCGTCCCCAGGGCTTTCGGAGGAAGGTGGGGGGTGTTATTAATCGTCCTTTAATTTTCAACCCCAGATGATAAAAACAATTTTTTTGTCTTTCACAGATCACCGCACTTCAGTTTCAAAACAGACCCCTTTCTCCATTTCAAAAATAGCTAATCCTGTCATCATGATCAAATGCGGAGGCGGCGGATGTTGAGTCCTTGAACTTACACCTACACAAGTTAACACCTTGAGTGACGTACTGAAGAAAGTAGCTGGAACTTAACCCGATAACTTTGATTCTTTGCCCTCTTTCCAAATTTGATCCGTTTTAACATAACAGTCGACTGATTGATGCTAAAAAAAATCGAACTGAGACCGCACAGTTCGATCAGATTATGCTGGTAGATTTTTACACGGGTCACTACGGAACTGATGAAAGTCGATGATATCGGAAGGTGGAAGGATTTACGTGACCAGGGAATGACTATGAATGTTCCAAGGGTCGGTATATAGCTCTGATAGTCAGCTACTTAAGCACTAACTCGCTTGTATACCCCTGATGAAAATGAACACATTTGCTCTTGCTTTAACTCATCTATAACTAACTAATATGTCGGTTACTTCAGTTTCAGTGAAAAGCATTGTTTACATGGAAAATGGGACAAAAATAAACAAGCCTATTGATGATCACTGACAGTATGCCAAGCCAACTTCTTTGGCGGTTGGAAAATGGAGGGGGAAAAGTTAACAAAATAGCAATCGATTTCCCTTGGTAGCTTTAATATTTTAAAAACCGCAGGGCCCTCAAGCTACTGCACCTTTAAAAACATTAGATAGAAACAATCCAAAGTGACAAACGCAATGTTATCAAAGTACAGCGACAAACGAACGAGTGTGACTGTATTGGACTTCATTTTAAGCGAAAAGTGGACATAAAGCGTTTATAAGATCAGTTTCAAGTTGTTGACAGGCGTCGGAAGCCGATTCGATTTCTTTCAGTTAACTGTAGTTGTTCATTTCATTGTTTACTCGTGTTATTTGCATCTTTCATTAAGAAGCCAAGATTGAACATCACTTTGCAACAATGAACTAAATATAAAATTACAGTCGAGAGAAAAAAATTGCAAGTGCTTAAGTTAAGAGCGTTTCTGAATTGAAATAACGTGAAAAATACAACTGAAACACTCGCCACTAAAACAAAAACGATTTATAAATAATTCTAAGTCAAACACTTGTTAATCGTTTTAAAGTTCATTTTGTTGTACATGCGTTCATTGCAATGATTTATTCACAAAAACGAGATCTCAGCAAAATAATAAAGAAATGTTGTTCGATACTAAATATCTTCGATAACGGACTCGAACCGCTCTGAACACAATATTGTCCACACAGAAAAATAATTGAGCGGATCTCGGAGCTCATGTATCGAAATTTCCGCCGCTAAACTAGAGCAGGTCCAAAATTGCTGTTGACAGAAGTAAGGACAAAGTAAGTTGCATTATGGATTTCAAATTGGACTAATGTGTTTTATGGTGCGTTTCCAAAATATCTCGTACTGCGATGAAACCGTGTCAACATTGGCATCTCGGTTTATCCAACGCAACTTAAAAGAAGAAAAATCCAAGTTAATATTGACAGAAATTATAACTTAAGTAAATAAATGCTACATACCCAAGTTGTATGAGGACTTTACGATGTCTCTATTTTGCCAATGGAGTTGGTTTTCTCCGACATACGGTAAACTTACGAGGACGATCGAAAGGATGACTTATTGACAAGCTGTGACAAGCAAAGTGCGGCCGAATGCTAACACGCTCCGGTGGCCCGAAGGGCGATGCTTAGGTGAATTTAAATTACCCGAGGGAGTTCTTTAAACCACTGGCTATTTTTAAAAGCTTCCAAAGAGCTCTTACTGTACTTAAAACTGAGCCGCTCGTGAAAGACCTTATTGCTGCAAACAACAGAGCTTACTGTCAAAAGGTTATGGAACAATTTTCTACACAGCGGGTATCCTTTTGTTGTGGAATGAGAGGAATGTAATATTATACAGTTTGTTCAATCATTATATTGCTCGCCCAGTGCGGGTTGACTCAGTTTTATAATATGTTCAATAAAATTCTAGATATATGAATCATCATGTACTACAAAGGCACGAATTATCATCCGACAACCAGGTCAAAAACACATCTACAGCGAGCTCTTTTAAAATTTGTAAAACTCTAGCTTCTGGCTTGTAGGTGCATTAAACCGTATTTAACACTGCGACTTTTGAACATCTTCATGTAAAAAGATAAAATAATGTTAGTTTGTCTCAGTGAACTCGATTTTCTAACGTATATTTTTTCACAGCCATGTGTTTAATGGCCAAAAAGCGCCACATGCATGACCCATGACATGAAACCTTCGCCATGTTATTGGAAAGGAAAACTACAAAAGAGGTAAGAATTCGCATCGTCCCTGATTTCAGGCACGCTCTCAGTACCTTTTAACAATACTTCTGTCAGCAGACCTCTGAAAATGTTTAGATATCAAAATCATTACTCATTAACTTTTTGAAAGATTCGCATGCAAAATTTTTTTTTATTTTATGTGCTTGTCTTGAACTGCACCACGTGATTGGCGGGGTGGCGGGAAAAACCGCCTACTAGTGCGCAGTTCCTTGTCGGACAAACTGACCTGACATGACTGTCAACTGTACTGGAAACCTGCTAATCCCAGAAGGCTTATTTTCTCGTCTACTGATATACAGTAATACTTGAGTTGTAGTATTCATTCAAAATATTTTGCCGGCTAATTCCTATTAAACAGCGAGCGCTTACCATATTTGGGAGATACAAGCAACATACCATCGATTTGATGGTATGTTTGATTGGAAACGAGGCTGATATGGTATACATGTCTTTGATTGGAAACGAAGCTGCTTGAGCAAAAGTGAAGTAAAAATGGCTTTCACGGCCATTCAAAGACGAAATAGTTGAACTTCTGACTTAAACATGCAAGAAATGCAAGCCTAATACGCAAACCAGGGCTCGATCGGATTTTATCTACTATATGAGGAGTATCTGCAAGATAAAACATCTGTTTGTATCCTGAAATCTTGCCAAGAAATATTCCATTTGACCAGGAGCCGATTAAGTAATCGACTCCTGATTCGACTTGAGGGAGGGGTGTGTGGGTGATTTCAGAAAAAAATATCCTGCAGACTGATTTCGAAAAACATTCTTGCAAGGAAATACCTGGCATAAAAATATCCTACACTGAAAAAAATACCAGAGGTTTGAGAAAAAAAATTCTTACCCAAACCAACTCACCCACCACTCCCCCCCCCTCAAAAGTCCAATGGTCGGCCCCCAAGGGAGAGCTAGAGGCGCAGAGAAAGCCGAGGCGTTTAGTGCAGGGTAGCGAAGGAAGGAGGGGATACGTTCTCGATCAACTGGAGCCTTCCACCGACTTCGCTGTTAGCTAGCTGGACTACTGCTATTGAGAAAAGCTTATACTCCTTTAAGAATTGTCTCAACATCGTTTCTCGACACTTTTTGCAGTGTTCTGAAAATGTTGAAGCTCTTTGACGGGCTTCTCTCGACTTTGACGAAAGTCAGCAGCCGCAAAGCTTATTTCCTCTGATTTACCATCGAATTTAACAATAAACTAGATTTATCGCCTAAGGGCAAATCAGGAAAAAACAAACAGGGCTATTGACTAGTTTAATTCACCTTACTGATGAACTACTTTTCGGCTTCAGTCATTCTTGTTAGTTGAAAACACTACACTATTTTGGGTTAGTGTCGCTGAGCTAATTAGTTCGCGTTCCCCATTGTTGAATGATTATTCCTCAGTTGAGACCGTTGTGAAACTGTGTTACTGTTGAAAACCAGACGGCTTCAGCAGTGTCGTAAACCGTTTAAAATAGAACTTAAAATCTGTTTATGTATGCTATGTATGTTCTACTGGAACCCAGCTGAGTAAAACTATCGGCCACTTTGCATTTGAATAGTTTTGAGATGCACGACAGTTCTTCGGGTGTGATCAACGATCGTCAGGATCGTATTTAGAGGTTTCTGAATTTAGCAGTCTAGCATGACTAACCGACCTTTGTGTCGCTCCCAGAGAGAGTCTGAATACCATTGTCCATCGTCAGTAAGTTGAAATTTCCCACCCTGTTTGTCCGATGCTTTAAAAGTATTAAACGGAGTAGACAATGTCAAATAAATAAACATTATCCGCGACGGTATCTGTAAATAGAGCAGAAGTGCTTCAGGCGTTGAGTACTCGCGCGGATATAAGCGATCTGAGACCTGATAAAGCATGTAAAGTAAGCTGATATCATGAGGAAAATGTTAATTCATTATTATATTCATACCTAAATTTAAAATTCACGTCTTTTGCATTCCTAAAAGAAAATGCCTTGAAGTTACTGTAGCGCAGTGCGAAAGCATGTGGAAAGAACTGATTTTTTTTCGCAAGGAAACGAGAGGTGAAACCGCGTCAGGCTCCTGACCGCGTTCAAAGCACTGTCGTGGCGAGGCGGAAATGGAGGGCTGTTTGGCACTGAATCAAGAGCCTTGACTGAATTCAATGCATTGTAATAATCAGCGTCACTGAGATTTATTAAAATATCATCATCAAGAATTACATTTTCGAGAAAAGAGTTTCAGCGTTACACATTTGTTTCAATGTGTCACAATAAAGCGGCACCTGTCAATCACCGTGTGTACTTTTACTTTTTTTGAAAGCTTTGTTATTTCTATTGAAAAATTGGTTTGGTATACAGTATTTTATAGGACAATGATGGCGCATGATGGTTGTTTGTTCGAGTGAATTTTCCTGCTATTTCGTGTCACCCGTCTTTTACGAGAAAGTTTGTGCGCGTATCCCGAGCGAGAGGACTCTGGGACCTAGTCATCTTCGATCAAGTTCTGCACCAAATCGAGGTTCTTTCTCTTTGCACTTCAAGATGGCGGAATGGCGGGTGTCTTCGGGTGCTCTCATTGTTTGGTACATGTTTCACCACATAAACGACCATATTTGCTGAATTAAAGCACGCCGAGTAAATGGCAAGACATAGAAATTACAGGAATTATTCCTACGAAGATGGTATGTCGATAATCTCGTGTCCTGAATAAAATAGCTAAAACTTTTTAGCTTCAAGTTTATAAGCTTTTATGATTTCTGCAATTGCAAAATGAAGTCGTCGATTCACTTTTCCAATTAAGATTAATAGAATTACTTTTAGCTTATTGACGATACTTACAAAGTTACGACGGTAAGATCGATATTTAAGCCAGCAAACGGTAATACAACACAGAGTCTGTGAAAGTTATCCCATTAATTGATGACTTTTTATTCAGCCAAACCTTCCCATGACGGTTACTCTGGTGTGACCGTGTTAGAGAGTTAGCACCGTTATGGGAGGGAGGGTTGTAATAATTAAACATGACGCCAGCTAACTTTGGAGGGGGTACAAAATTTTTGTTTTAAAACAATGTGTTTTGTATAATATTAATAAATAGCAACAATCAATAGAAATAAAAAATGTTCAGGCCCCAGTTGTTCAAAAGCTAGATAGCGCTATCCTGCGGATAAGTATAAGGGAAATCAATTGTGTTATCCACTGGATAGAGATTTGTCCACAGGGCGCCCACACAATGTGTCTGTGTAACCGATTGTTATTTTATAGTAAATTTACTGGATTTACCATTAGCTTCACCTATAACGATATGTCGCTAAGTATGTATATAAATTAATGTTGAATAAATGTTGAATAACGTTACATGTGGTATATCGTCGTCCTTTTGCGACAAAAGCGGTTTTTTGATCGATTTTGAAGGATTTTGAGTTCGCCATTTACTGTTCCTAATAATAGAAGGAAAAGGGAGGAATCCTTGTTTTGAAAGGGCTCCAGTGCCGGAGCGATTTTCTCCCAGAAAATCACATCGCTCTGCTTTCAAACTTCACAGCACAATGGTTGAAAGATTCACACTTCTCCATGTTCCTTCCGATTGAAAATCCATCCGAAAGGTGCGGAGCTAGCCCTCGAAGAAAATTAAAATCCCACAGTTTTTTAATGGCTAAGATGTATAGGCAATCAGCAGGACGGTTTCTGGCTGGCACGTATGAATCGTGCTATGCATCTTGACCATTAAAAAACTGTGGGATTTGAATTTTCATCGAGGGCTAGCTCAGGACCTTTTAGATGGATTTTCGATCAGAAGGTACGAAGAGAAGCGTGAATCTTTCAACCTTTTTGCTGAGAAGTTTGAAAGCAGAGTGATGTGATTTTCTGGGGGAAAATCGCTCCGGTGCTGAAGCCCTTTCAAAACAAGGACTCCTCCCTTGTCCTTCTATTGTTAGGAACTGTAAAGGTGAACTTAAAAATTAATAGCCTACGTGTAGCCACACCCTTCCCCTGACAAAGGAAAAATGGAGACACATAGGCTAACTCAAACTCCTTCAAAATTGCTCAAAAACCACTTTTGAGGCAAAAGGGCGACAGTATACCACAGGTAAGGTAATTCAACATTTATTTAATATTGATTACAGATACTTAGCGATATATCGCTACAGGTAAAGCAAACAGTAAATCCAGTACATTTACTACAGAATAGCAACAGCTTACACACACACATTGTATGGGCGCCCTGTGATTTGTCTTGTGGATAGCGCTATCCACCTTTTGAACGACTGGGGCCAGAACAACAATGTTAACAAAGCAAAGTGAGTAAGGTACTGTGGATGCATCAGTTTTTATACCTGTCAACTCTCATGCATGATGCATAAGTGTCATGCCTGCAGGATAAAGACTTCTCATGCATCAAGGACAATTTCTGATGCCTTACTCACAAATTTGGACAAATTGTTCTATAACATATGATTAATAACGAAAATTCAATCAATTTACCCAAAAATGTGCTTAATGTTGACTTTGTGTAGCTAAAATTGTCCCCTTTTTAAAAGCTTTTGAAGTGCTTATAGGTTATCGGTACATCTTTGCACGGTTTTGGTTATGTTCAGAAATCTTAGAAAATCGCCAGAAATCTTGGGAAAGTGCTGTGACGGTTTTGCAAATCCTCGTGATGAAAAGACAAAACTCTCAGACTTTGAATTAGAAAAAGCTTGCAAATAAAAAGATACGGACATTTTATATTTATTACTTTTAAATGGCCATTGTGGAGAAGTGGTCATATGGTTGATGATACAAGAGTGACTATTGTCTGGAACAAAAAGGTGACTGATGTAGAGAGGGTGCCTTTAATAGAGATTCAACCATATTCGATAACTTGTGTGATGTGAGAAAATCGACAATGTTATATGTTGTGTTATTCCAGACTTGTCTGATGACGTGTATGGACATTCAGTTGAGGATTATGATTTGGCTGTGTCACCAACAACTGGTAAGGAGTCTGGTGTTATATGTGATGTTTGACTTTTCTTTTATTATCACCTGTATTAAGAATGCACTTGCCTTTAATATTATTTTTTAATGAAATAATTTGCATATGTGTAATCTCTCCATGTATATAACCAGTCAAAAACCATTATATCACCTCCACTGAAAGACCTTTCTTAACTTGCCCTTCAGTGAGATACTCAAAGGTCTTGCTCCTCATCAGACTTTATCAGAAAATTATGTTATCATTACCATATTTACCCAATCTATACAATGTACAATTTTTCTTGTGAAAACTTGCTTCAAAATTTTAAGTGTGTATTATCCGCAGGGATCCCTTTTTTCATGCAGTTGATAATTTTTGTACTGTATACAAAGTTATTTGGCTATAAACAAGGACCCTCCACATACAGCTTTAGTCATCTAAACTTGGTAGAAACGTTCAGCATTGAGCAGATTCTTTAAATTTTTCATGATTTGAGGCTTGCACAACAGAGGAAGAAACATTCTTGGCAAGGTTATGAAAAAAAATTGTATTGATCACCTTATATGCCCTTGCTAAAACAAAAGTAATTTATTTGCAGCCCTATCAATGCTTTAAACAAAGAAAAGCTCTGCTCAGACAGATGTGGTGTGACCATTCAAATGACATGTCTGTGAAATTGCTTTTGCTGTTTCTTTTTCGTTTTTTTTGAAATATGGAATCTTTATATTGAGGTTTGACTCTTGGACTCTTTATCCCTGTAAAGTATAAGGATTTAACCTTCTCTTCACATTGCTTCCTGCAGCTGAGCAGTTCATATTCAGACGCAGTAACAGTCGGGACCCAAACCTCTCATCATACATGGCTGACAGGTTTGGCCGAGTAGATGAAGAGGATGAGGAGGAGTCTGAGGAGGAGACATTTGCTAGTTCCCAGGACTACAGAAGACCCCAGCTAGATCCCACAAGTGAAGGTATAATAACTTCACTTTTATGTTCACATGTTCACAGGCAACTCTTTGTAAGGCAGACACGTCAGTTTGGATAATCAGTGTTTTGTCTTGGAGAGCTGTCTACTTTATAGCAAGTCAGAATATGACTGTAGAATGGCAAGCCTGTCTCAAGCTGTCTGTATCACGAGGTATACCTTAAGGAGTCTATCCATTAGGAAAAGTGAACTTTATAACTGCTCGTAATACCAAAATATCAGTCTTAGAGTTGGAGCTGACTACTTCATAAAGTGAAAAAATATGACCACAGAATGGCAGAGACCATTTTAAACTTTCTGTATTAAGTAGTATGTGATGTAGACGTATCCATTGGAGGACTGTCACTAAGGATCAGAGGCCGGGGATTTCCCTTGGCTTCTATAACCATAATCTCCATCTACTTTTATGAGGAAATAGAAGAAAAAGAGAACCAAATTAAATCCCTAGCTGTATGATCCCCTTCCTACATTTCATATTTACCCAGCAATTTGAAATCTTAGTGACAGCCCTGCATTCGGAGAAAGGTGACTGTGTAACTGTAGTTAGTACTGAAATGTTAGTCCAACAGGTAGAGAGCTGTCTGCCTGTAGCCAATGTACTTTTGCGTATTTGTAAGTTCAGTGTAGTTACAGTATGTCTTAAAAATGTTCTTTTCATTATTGAATTTCTCCTTGCTTCAGCAAAATTATCATCTTGTATGGATCAGCTTCATTCAATTCTTGGAGAGACATTACATGAACCTACAGCAGTTACAGCAGTTTTACAAAGTAACTTTGATCTAGAGAGAGCTCTGGACCAAATTCTTAGTCAAGGTAACAAACACATTGATAAAACAAAGTAAACAGATTCCCCCAGGACCTATCAGTACCTGTTCATTTGTTGTTTGAAGGTGACATGGCCTGTTTTAAGGGACAATAAGGTGCTACTCATTGCCACTGTGTAGAAGTGACCATTGTGTGGAAATTTCAATAACAGTGCTAATGTACGGGTCGAATTTTGTTGCCTTTGTATTGAGGGAGTGATTGTGTGGTGGTGCCTGTTGGTCCAGGTTCAACTGTATTATTTTTGCTGTTTCATGTTTTTTGTTTTTGTTTTTAATTTTACGAATTAAGAGTTGTGTCTAACCTGAGATCAGGCCCAATTTAGCAGCTTTCATACATTCTCTTATACGTGGTCACTCTAAAATCTCTTTTCGTTTCGCCTTTCCCACCAGAATTTCATTTACCTAGCAAAACGAAAATATAGCCTGATCTCAGGTTAAGTTGTTTCTTGTTCTTTTTTTTTGTTGTTTTAATTCAGGGGGAAAACAAGACCTTAAGGCAAATTTGGATCCAGATGAGAGTGAAGGTGAGTTGTGAACTGAGTTTTAAATTCTGTCATTAATTTATTATTTCATCTAAGTGGAATATACCCCAAGTATCTGATTTTATAATAAAAAGAATAATGACATACAATTTTCAATGTCTACCAGTTTTTAAGCAATCTGAGTGCTTTTGTTCGCCTTTGAAACTAATGACATACATCATTTTCAATGTTTAGTGGCCCCGTTTTCATTTTTTTTGTCAACAGAAAAAGAAAATTCTGAACAGTTATATTATTGTTTATTTTACTCTAGTGTATAGGTTTTTTCAAAGAAGAAAGTCATATCTTGGGGGCCATGTATCTTTGGTCACTAAATAAAAAGCTGGGATCAACCCCAATGTTGAATGCAACCCTGAAAATTTTAAATGTATAGGTTTGTGTATGAAAATTGATAATCAATATTTAATTTTGTTTAGAGATAACATCATATAGTTGAAATGATAATCATATATGGGAACTGCATTATGAAGAATTAAATGAAAGAAGATCATCACAGTTATAGATGCAATTTTTGCAGTTGCCAACGGAAAGCCTGAAAAAATGCAGACTTGTAGTGGATTTGAACCCTTTAGTTTTGTGATGCGGGCACAGCATTCTACCAATTGAGCCGACAAGTGAACCAGGAGCAGATGATTGACTTGGTTTCTTATAAATACGGTTGACTTGGTAGAGCACTGCACTGGTGTCAAGAAGGTTAAGGGTTTGACTCCCATACAAGCCTAGTGGTTCATGTTGAACTTCAATGAAAAAAATAAATTTGTTTTATGTGGGGAGCATGGCTCAAGAATTAACTGATTTGAAATGATTTACACTTGTAGATTTAAAGCTAATTTGTTGCCTTTTTTCTCTTTCTATTGCCATGTTCTCTGGTGCAATTTTGGTGAATGGCTCTCACAAGGTAAGGCTCTGTCTCTTGTAAAACTGACACACTAACAAAAGATGTTCATGTTAAAAGGAACCAGCATAAAAAATACAATACAGAAGAGTCTTGTAGTAATCATAATGCTGGCATCACAGAAAGAAAGGCAGCACTGTTAATGAGTGATTCACAACTCTCCAAATCTGCTGTTACGGGGTCACATGTAAATGTGCCCAATGAATTATCTCTAGGTGCTCTAACAAGAGATGAAAGTTTGTCTCGGCCTCTAGGAATGTTATCTTGTCAAGCAGTAACTTCTCTGCCCCTTGATCAGTCAAAAGCCTCGTCACAAAAATATCTTGTGACAGCTCCTCTTAGCAGCTTGATACAATCAGGAGGGGCATTATCTGGTCAGGCGGCTGCAACACAGCCCCCGAATCTATCACAGGTGTCTACAGAAACCTCTCTTCTGTCAGTTCCTCTTAACAGCCTGTTGCATTCAAAAGGAGGGTTATCCAGTTGTTGCATCAGCAAACAGTCCCATTATCTTCAATCAAAACATCAGCAACACAGTCAGTGTCAGGAGATTCAACGTCTTGTACATCACAACCCCTTGATCGTTTAGAAGCCTCAACTCAAAACCCTCTACTCTCAGCTACTCTTAGCAGCTTGTCACAATCAGGAGGTGCATTTTCTGGCCAAGTAGCAACATCACAACCCCTGGGTTGTTTGCAATCTTTGTCACAAAGCCCTCTGCGGTCAGCTCCTCATAGCAGCTCGTCACAAACAGAAGGGGTGTTATCAAGCTTGGCATCAAAATTGCAGCCGCAACATCAGTCAAAAGCCTTGTCTCAAAACCCCCTGCTGTCAGCTCCTCTTAGCAGCTTGACAAAGTCAGAAAAGACATCACCCAGTCAGGTACAGGATCGGGTACTAACCCCATCACAATACTCCCTGCTCTCAGCTCCTCTCAGCAGCTTTTCACAGCCAGGAGGCTCATTATCTAGTCAGGCAACAACATCACAGCCGCTGGACCTGTTACAAACCTCATCACAAAACTCTCTGCGCTCAGCTCCTCTTAGTAGCTTGTCACAGCCAGGAGGGTCATTATTAAGCCTGGCGTCAACATCACAGCCTCTAGACTTGTCAAGAGCCTCACCCCAAAGTTCCTTGCTTTCAGTGCCACTCAGTAGCCTTACTGGTCAGCAAGAGACAACCTCCAGGGCTGATCCTCAGAACAGTCCTTCATTGCCTTTTACCAGCCTTACGCAAATTTCAGGCCCTCAGGTATTGTCACTGGCAGGAAATCCAGTTAGAAAATCAGACAACTCTCTCCTCTCAGTTCCACTCAGCAGCCTCTCTGTTGGAACTAGTCAGACCCCATCAACGAGCCTTCTGGCTGCCTCACTAAGCTCCTTTTCACAAACTGCACCAACATCACAGAGTAGATCTGAACAGGCAAACTATCCTGATCCTCTTGTTTCAACACCACTCAGCAATTTGTCACTCTCCGGACATCTTCCGTCTATGTCATCTCAATCTACAAGTCCTCGAACTGAAAATCCCATGTCGGATTTAGATAAAAATACTCGTGATAATGTCACTACTGACATAAAATGCTTGACTGAAAAACTGGACAAAGTGAAAATCCCTGGTAAAAACAGAACTGGCAAGGTAAAAAAAGACTGTAACCAGAATCTCAAAGCTGAACAGACACCCAATATTATTTCTTCCACGCTGTTGATATCCCCCTTGGTTGACTCATCATTGGATCAAGGGAAAATTGAGTCCAAGCATGTAATTGTGGAGAAAGGCATTTCTGCTAGGGAGCAGAAAAGAAAGGTCATTGGTAAACGGAATGACGCATTAGCTTTGACTGCAAAGCCAACTCTGTTTGCTTTAACACTGTCTTATTCCTCACCGGCCTACAAAAACGCTGTCGTACAGAGAGTCATCAAGGAATTGCAAAGTCTGGAAAGTTTACGCCTAGCTGCTTTTAATTTTTCTACTCCTTCACCTGATGATATTGTGAATGAAAGGCAAAAGAGGGCTTTCTCAAGAAAGAAGTAGAACTTACGAACAGATGGAATAGAGGAAAATGTAGCTTTGATAATATTGATTTTTTTTATTATAACTATTGGATTGAGAATCTAGTGGTGGACACGGTAATTTGTTTGTCTCATGATGTCAAAGTACTACTTTAAAGTACTTATAAATTTTACTTCTAGTCCTGTAAATTAAATTATTACAGTCATTTTCTTAAGCTTTCTTAATTATTAGCTCATTGTTTTAGAGATAGCCACTTATGATGTAAATGAATTTTTGTGTATATACAGCAATTTTTGCTAGTTATTCCTTTTGTACATTTTTTTATTATAATATCATGCTTTTAAGAGTGCCACACTCAGCTGTATCAAAAATATATTTTAGGTCATACATGCTTTATTTTAAATAAAACTCCTAACACAAGTAATTTTTTCCCTTGTTGTCCCTTTTATTTTCTTTATTAAGAAAAGCATGGTTTTGAAGGTTAAAGAGATGTGCAACGTTATTGGCGAAAAAATTCCAATTACTCTATGTGTCCAGCCCATTTTACAGTTACGTTCACATGGCACTGGAGGAATTTTCTATTGGCTGTAAACTATTACTGGAAACCTCTTTCACGAGGAACCGTTCAATGTTTTTTCTCCATTCTAAGAGCTGATGTTCAGGTTGAATTTTTAACTGTTGTCATAGGTTTTGCGATCTGCCCATGCACAGAGCGCTATTTTAGCAAAGCCAAAATGACATCTCCCAACTGAGTTATCTCACATCAACATGCAACCGCGCCTTTGCCAAACAAAAATTAAGGTGGTTATAGTATTCACACCGCACCTGTGTAAATTGCCATATGAACATATAGATGGTTTGGTGTTCACACTGCACCTGTCAAATTTTCAACCCTACAATCCAAAAATTTGGCCTTGATGTTAGTGTTTAAATGTTTGAATGGCTAGGTATTCACATGAACAGAATACCTAAATGCACAAGTTTTTGAGGAGTCGAAAATTTGTCTGTTACAATGTGAGTGTAGCCTAAGTAATATTGTCATGACTTCAAAAACCAGACACCTTCAGGGCTGGAAGAAAGGAGGTAAAACTACTACATCCAGTGCAGAATCATGTCTCTTTGGATGCTAAGAAGGCAGAAGCTGCTCCAGTGGTCACCTCTGTGCAAGACAAACCTGTGATAGGATTCTCAACTCCTCCAGTAAACAACAAGAAATCTAGGGAAAGGTAGAGATGTGTAAATATCATAAACTGCCACTTATAAGCCCTTCCCCCTCAGTTATAAGCCCTCCCCCCTCAGTTATAGACCATCTACCTGTAAACAAAAAAATACATCCATTATAATCCCCCCTCTAGCTCCAATGTTAAGCCTCCCTCTGAGTTCGATTTATTTTGACATTTTGAAGCTTAATTAAAAACCAGTAAATGCAAAACATACAGTTGAACCTCTCCACAAAGGCCACCTTGGGGATAATCAAAATGGCCGTTGTAGTCAATGAAAACGTATGGTTTTTTTTGTAAAAAGTACTGCTGTTGTATAGCTTTCGACTGTATTTTTGTCAGCACTGCTATAGCTTGTTTCACACTACTTTTTCTATCCAAGTTATAAACCCCCTCGGATATAAGCCCCTCCATTTAAAAGCCCTCTAAAAACTCTTTACAAAGTTATTAAACCCAGGGCTCATAAGCAGCAGTTTACAGTGTATGAATTCTTGTTTTATTTACAATTTACTGTCACACCCTGACGTTAGAGCACTTAATGCTTTTATTCCCAAGAGTGACCAACATCAATTTTCTCCTTTTAATATCAATATGTAATCAAGGGAAAGGTTATGAGAGTTGACAAAATGATTGCTAAAGGGGAGACGCTTTGATGTTTTGTCAAATCCTTTTAACTAATTCTTTGTTACGAGAAAATGTGTGGGAATCTGTATGGAGAATTTGCAAGTGGATACTGGGGCTCCAACGGTCAAGAACCACAGAAGCCTTCCTTTTAACTGGGTGTCTCTATTTAATTCACGTACCTTTCATAGCCTGAGAAAAAAGCCTGCATTTTGCGATGCCACCACTGGTCTCTCTGTGAAATGACGTCTGAGAAACGCGTGCAGAAATTCCATACTGATGACACGTCACTACTCAGATGTGGGTAGTGCTTCTGACTGATTGAAAATTTGCTTCAACCAATCAGAAGCACTATCCTGATCTTGGTAGTGTTACATCATCAGTATGGAATTTCTGCACTTGTTTCTCAGACGTCATTTAGCAGGGAAACCAGTGGTGACGTCTTGAAATATCGCCTGTTTTCTCAGGCTATACCTTTCACGTATCTTTTTCAAGCAATTTAATGATGGTACATTTATTACATTTTTTTTGTTTTTATGTTAATTGCTTGCCCGGCCTCATTTTAAAGTAAAGACTCTTTCCAAGTTTTGCACGTGCTAACGGGACTCGTGAGACTAGTATTGAGAAGTTTTGGCCAAATAATAATCTTTTCTTACTTGGCCAAAACTTAATAAAGTTTTATCAATGATGCATTTTACTTGGCCGGTCAAAACAACATTATCGGTAAAAGATTGGTCATCTATCAAAGATGCATTTTATTGTGTTCTAAGGAAACGTCAATACCCCTTTTTTTGATGAGCAGAATCACTAACCACATCTAGTCACATTAAGAACAGAAATCATTAGCCCGAAGAAATTGATCTAGAAATGGATTCTTCCAAAATCAGACCTGAGCATTGTAAGTAAAAGAATAGAAGACTGGAGTATCTAATGTGGTTAAGTACGGAGTAAATTTTGTTTTCTTTTACCTTACGTGCAGTTCTCCTGAAAATGAGACAGAAACAGATCAGAGACAAGCAAACAAAAAACAAATGGAAAAGGACCAGGTTTCTGAAACATTTTTACTTGTCGTTATTTCTTTACCTGTGTGTTTGTTGTGACTTATAATGGGTATTATTTTTCCATCAGTTGCTCGCTGAAGCACATGAGGAATATCACAAACGACGGAAAGGAAAAACTCTTCTCAATTTAGTGGTCATTGGTGAGTTTGGAAATGCTTATGAACTGTTTGATCAATAAAACCTAAAACCCGAATTTTCTTTTTACTATCAGACATTTTTATACAGAACTTACTGAAGTCGATCTTGAATTTTGAAATCAAGATGCGAAAGTTCTCTTGTTTTGTTTTAGGTCATGTTGATGCTGGCAAAAGCACCCTCATGGGCCATCTTCTATATCGACTTGGAGACGTTTCCAAGAAAGCAATGCATAAATATCCTTAGAACAAAAAAATTATGTTCAATTCTGTGTTATATTATTTTTTTTTATATCAGCAATATTTATTGCAATGTCTGCTCTAAGAGCCTAAAGGGCTCATCAAGAGAGCTTACGCTGTTTACATTCAATATTTTAATAATACAAATGCACATCAAGATCGAGCATACACACACATAAAAAAGCGAAAGATTAAAAACAAAACAAAACAAAGCAAATAAATGTAAAAAAAAAAAAAAACACACACACAGCAACTAACAGAAGCGATGTCATAGCAAAATAAACGACTGGACAAGCTGAAACAACCTTATGTTAATTTGAAAATCAGCAGTAGAAATACCATTTAACAGCCAATTTTTTTTTCTTATCTGAGGCGCAATGTCATCTATTTCCAAGTAATTGTGCTGCGGAGGTAAACAACTTTTCACGTAGAGCAGTAAAACTTGGGCAGTATATATTAAAATTGGTTAGCCTTTGTTACAAGCTCCTTGCTTGTTTGTGTTTTTTCCTTGACCTGTTTACATATGAGACGGAATCTAAAAAGGCTGGTAAGGCTTCTTTTGCTTATGCCTGGGTGCTGGATGAAACTGGTGAAGAGCGAGAACGGTAGGTACTCCTTTCAGTTTCCTTAAAGTTCCAAGAGCACCACTGAAGAAAATTGACGAAAAAGTAAAACAAATTCATGTTGTACGACACTGAGAAACAAATGTTATCATGTGAAAGTCCCGCTGAAAAGTTTCCAGTTGAATGGTAACACCATTTGACTTTATCCACAGACTCAAAAGTTAGAAATACGTACTGAATAAACGGTAGCCGGAGGATGTGTAAGTATTGCTGACGAGGTGAACAGTCTCACCACACGATTTTATCCAGAGACTTAAAGTTCGAACATTATTCAACTTGACTTGAATGAGAGGGAAAAAGGGAAAATCGGAATGCGAACAAAGGCGAACAGTGCAAACACTTTTTTACAAGCGACCTTGGGGATTTGATAACCTGAGATCAGGCTCTACTTTCGTTTCGCTTTGTAATAGGCCATTTCCGAGTTCCAAAAAATCTCACTTTCAAAACGAGGCTAAGTGCGAAACCTTTGTTGTGAAAATGAGTTTTATTTGCATCATAATTAAAAATCATTTTCATATCAATAGCTTCGCACTTAGCCTCACTTTCAAAGTGAGATTTTTTGGAACTCGGAAATGGCCTATTGAAATTCTGGCGGGAGAGGCGTAGCGCGCTCGCGTATAAGAAAATGTATGGAAGCTGCTGAAATTGGGCCTGATCTCAGGTTAGGCATTAGATGATTCGGTGATTAACTTTGGAAATAAAAATGTGTATTCATTGCCGTTCAGTCGTCCCATTTTGTGCATGGAATCGTTCTTTGACATCTGCTCGAATGTCTGACAATTTATTTGCAATAAGGGTTAATCCTTTTCTTTTCTAATGTGTCGCTTAATGCAATGCGATACAACGAGTTTGCGGTCTTTTTACTGAAGCATAACTTATTCACAACAGTGGTATTACTATGGATGTTGGTTTAACAAGATTTGAGACTGAAACAAAGCTCATCACACTCATGGATGCACCAGGACATAAAGATTTTATCCCCAACATGATCACTGGAGCTTCACAGGTGTGTTGTACGTTATATTGTCAAGGGTGTATTGAAAAAACTGGGTCACGAATTTTTGTGTACATTTTCGAGATCGGTTTTTTCGCTATAAGCACCAAGAGACCCTAAATCTAAAATGCCCCTAATCATACAATCAAAGACCCCAACACACCCAAACTACAACAACAACAACATTTTTTTATTTCAAAGTCCTTATTACAAAATAAATTAAAACACAACCCGTAATTAGCAAAGGCTTTTCGAGGTTGGTTGTGTAAATATAAACAAAATAAATAAAAATAATTAGGCAGATTCGTAAAATAAAATTTAAAGAAAAAAAAGTGTTTTAAGAAAAAGGCATATTAATTAGACAAGACAATAGACCACAATCAATTACACTAACAATAGACGTCAATGTCCTCCTCAATTATATGGACTGCACATGAGTGACGTTATATTTGATTGAAATTTCTTCTTAGGCTGATGTAGCAATCTTAGTGGTTGGATCCAGCACTGGAGAATTTGAGTCCGGATTTGAAGCTGGAGGGCAGACGAGAGAGCATGCGCTACTTGTCAGGTCGCTGGGTGTGACGCAGTTAATTGTGGCTGTCAATAAACTTGACAATGTGAGTGATTGTTATTTCTTATTTGTACTTTTTTTAATTAGCTGTTAATGAATGAGGCTGAGTAGGATATGAAGAATTATGCAGACCGAGGAGGGTGTTATCCACCGAGGCCGAAGGCCAAGGTGGATAACACCCTCCGAGATCTGCATAATTCTTTATATCCTACGAAAGGCGAATTCATTAATTGTTTTATTATTCGTTCAAAATAATTCCTAGTGTAAAAACAAGCTAAAACATGCTTACTTTCATCGATGTTAAGTTCACATCAATAGTGCATGTTTAGAAGATAGAGGGCTGTTCAGGTCTGCAAATATACTTCAAATAGCAGATGTTGTCGGTCGAGTTGTCTTCTTGCTGTTTTTAGACAATAGTTCGTTGTGAAACGAGTAAAATGCTCCGCCGACTGTTAGGCCATTTACTTTTTAACAACAAAAACACCTCAACCTCGTGCCCAGGTCTTCTCGGTTAACGGTGCACTAAACTGCAACTGTGCTGCACTTTTGACGTCATCGGTTGATTAATCGCAAAATTCTTCCAAATTTGGTCAACAGTAGCTGGTTACAGTGAATTATGCGTGTGCTTTTAGCCAATCAGAAACGGCGGTCAGCGGTCAGAGAGCATGATGGCCGCGTTTTTTGTTGGCTCTGTCACGCACGTAAACGAGGGGCAGTTTTATCTAGATGGAACGCAATTTAAGTGACAAATTTTACGCGTTTATTTCCTTTGTAAATCTTTATCTCTTACTATATTATTTTTCTCAGTTATATTTACATAACTATGTATCAGCTAGGAATTGGAGGAATAAAAAAATAAAATCAGAAACGGAGAAAGTAGCCTCACATGCACAAACGGACGTTCTTTTGGCTTGTCATGTAAACGAGGAGGGTAGGAACGCGTGACAAACCCCGAAGAACGTCTGCGTGAGAGGCTATGTATTGAGGGTTTTCTCTCTTTTTCTTAAAAGCGCTGTTAAAACTATTGATTTGACATTTCTCAATCTCATTAATGGTTCATAAGCCATAAACAAAGAAGATCCTAAACCTTGACTTGTTTGGATATGTGACTGAAACTCTCATATTCTACATCCTTTCTTCATCTTTCTCCTCAAAATCGAAATACCTCAATGTTCATCAAAATTACCCCGTTACGCATCGTGTTTTCGTGTCTCTTCTCTACATTTGATATGTGATGAAACACGGTGTCCCGTATTTCACATGCACAAACACGAGAAGGAGTGTTTCACTTATTGAGTCACCGAAGAAAAATTGTGAAATGCTTTATGGAAGGTACGATTTCTGAATAGTAATTTTTTTATTGGCACCAAGAAAACCACATCCATCTATCCATCCATGATGGGTGTCGTAAAAGAATGAGTTTGGAAACCGGTCGTTTCGACGTAAATTGGTTTCGATACGAACTCAAGATGTTCAACTGCCCAAAAATTCCGTTCATTTCAAGTATAGTCCGGGGGTGAACAGGAAAAAACATTTTGGGGGAATATTCTTCGTTCTTTAAGCTAAGAACGTTAAACTATTTACTCCTCGGCCGAATAAACTTGTATCGAAACGACGGTAACCCTGAGTTTGCCGTGTTTGTTTCAGGTTGGCTGGTCAGAAGCTCGATATAATCATGTCGTTGGAAAGCTCAAGCACTTTTTAAAACAGGCAGGATTTAAGGTTTGCTATCTGCCATGTTCGCAAGTTTTACAGAATTAAAGGCATATTACTCAGAAGTAAAAGCTCAAAATGCCTGATTTGAATCTCTCTGCGATGGTCGATTTACCGTTTATGAACTTAGTTGATAAAGCCAAAACTACCATAATATTCTTTGTTTCCCTCTAACAATTTTGCATTAGCTTTGTTTTCAAGTTCTCTAGGGACGATTGTCAGGGTATGTTTCCTCCTCCTCAGGCGAGCGCGAAACGCGAGTGACTAGTGACGAAGCGCAAGGGACCCTGGGAAGGAGAAAAATGTGGAGACGTCTGGGTACGAGGCAGATGCCAGAGCGCTGTTTTAAGAAAGTATATTTACTGCTTTGAATCCTTTTCTTCTAGGATTCTGATGTTGTTTATGTACCATGTAGTGGTCTTACTGGTGAGAACCTTACAAAGTGTTGTAATGAGCCCCTGCTCCGAAAGTGGTACAACGGGCCTACTTTATTGGATAGAATAGGTAAGAAATGAAGAAATTATGCAGCTGGTTCCAAAAACTTAGCAACTTTGAAACTCGGATAACGTTTGGTTGCAGGTTTTTGCTTTCACGAACGGTTTCAATGGAATCGTTGATGATCCCTGCTTTGAGATCGACTTGTTTCTTGATTGATGATTTATTAGACTTCTACAAGACGGCTACCTCGCGATAAACGGGAGAAATTCTATCCGAGAATGATAACTGCATAGACCTTCGAACTCCGGGTGAATATCAAGGGGAAATTCTCAGGTGACTTACCTGTTCATTGAGATCACTCTTCTTAACCATTTAGACCCGTTTTCTCCTCTTTCCTTCGCAACATGGACCTTTTTAAAGAGTATTGGAATATGGTCGTTTAAAAGCGTAGCGTGGAGAGGTTGAAATAATCAAATTGTTTTATTTATTTTACAGTTTAGACTTTACCTACATAGTTGTATGGAAACCGGTAGACTATACACCTTACAATACTCCTTTTTCCATTGCAGATAATTTTAAACCTCCAAAAAGGGAATTAGAGAAACCGTTTAGGTTCTGCGTGTCAGATGTTTATAAAGGTAAGAAAGTGAACTAATACGAAATTAAGTGTGGACCTGACTTCCACATAGGTTACTTCATGTAGGACACTGTTCTATTGACCTGCCTGAAATGCATCCAACCTCGTTCCCAGGGTTCTCTCCTACCCGTCACTACGGATCGAGAGATAGAGAGAGCTCTCTCTCGCTCCGTAGGGACGGGTAGGAAAACCCCGGGGAACGAGGTTGAAATGCATCCCTCTTCCCAGGCTGAGTACTCCGGTCACTCGGGTTGCTCCTATCGCTCGGGCTCGGATCCTTTTTTTCAGAAACCGGTCGTTTCGATACGAACTCAAGCTGTGAAATTGCACAAAAATTTCCTTCACAGTGTTCAAGTATAGTTTGGGCGTAAACAAGAAAAACATTTTGGGTGAATATTCTTCGTTCTTTAAGCCAAGTACGTGGAACTATTTACACCTCGACTGAATAAACTCGTATCAAAACGACTTTGTATCTAAACGACTGGTAACCAGAGAGGGCTGTTTTAGCAGGCTACAAGGAAATCAAGTGGGTAGATTTGACATCTCGGATCTCGGGCAGACGTCACTCCCTTCGCACACAAAGCTCATAACGCGTTTGTTTGCATGTTTTTAGGTATGGGCGCTGGCATCAACGTTACCGGAAAATTAGAGGCTGGAAAACTTCAAAACGGCGACAAGATCATGGTCATGCCTGCTGGGGAACAAGGCTTGGTAAAAGGTGAGTACGTTATTCCTTCCTTTGACGAAGTCAGTCCCCTCCCCTCCCCGGAGAGGTCTGCCTCCTAATATAAGTTCTAAGCATTTGCAGTTCCATTGGGCAATTTAAGGTGCCGGATTCGTTGGTGTTGTGTCAAACAAAACTGTTGAACTGTTTTGGAGTAAGCCTGGTCCAGGCGTTCAGATCGTGGGGACAGCGCCGCACTCCACTATCCGAGTGCCTGGAACAGGCTATTTTGGAGTAATTTTGGTCCAATTTCCTTAATTTGCAACCTTGAATGGCCAATACTGTGTAGGTTTTAGGCGTACTAAGAGTAGAGTGTGATAAAGCCTTTTCGTTCACGTGGCCAACAGCTATGACAATTTACTAGAACAAAAGAAACAGGTTCAACTTCCACAGAACTAGTTTGGACCGGAGGTTAGGATACCAACATGGCCGCCGTTTGATTGTTTTGGCACACCAATATGGCGGACGTGACGTCATATGAACACACTCCATACATTAAAAGAAGTACATTCAAGTCAACTTTCATCAGGCAGTTATAAGCGTTTTGGATGTTCGTGCTTGAAGATAAACTTTGAAAGCAATTCCTTGTATTTTTTAAACCCTCCTCGAAAAACACGGTCGCTTAGCACGGGTCATTGCGGTATTTACTTCGCGCGTCACTCATGTCAAGACCATCTTGGCTTTCTTCACACACTGTGTGTATCGCATTAGTCATCATCGCGCGACCTGCTTGTGACATGTTTTCGATCACACTGCTTAAATCAACTGTGTATGATCTCCTCCTCAACGACTTGTGAACTCTGTTTGCGTCACTGCCTTGCTTAAAAGTCATGTTGCTATAAAAACCCTCACCCTGTTTTCTTATCGTGCTGGAAGCTAATACAGGTAAGCCAGCGAACGAGAAAGCTCTTCGTTTCATTCTTGTCACTTGTTCGCCTTTTACTCGGCTATTTTCATCTTCCGAGGAGTCCCGAAGTTCGTCGAAATTTTCGTTGCCTTCATTCGGAGGTTTAGCTGCTGCTCGGAAGGTGTCATTCTGTTGTTCCTTGAGTAGTTTTAGCAGTTTTGGTATAGCTTCTCGTTTCACCGTTTTTTCTGTGAAAGGTCAAAAGAAATCATAATCACTATAATTGAAAAAATCTTTAAGAGGTAGCAATACTCTGCCCACCATTCCTTATCAAATTGGAATTTGGAACTGTTGTTTCTTGGAAGAGGGAAAACCTTCACGAAGCAAGGGCCATAACCAACGGATAGCGAGCGTTTGAGCGACGGATGGTAACCGGAGGTGGAAATTTTCGGGCAAATCCTCTCTACAAAAGTAAAGACACTCAGTAATACAAATTTGTTAGCGTCAAGGCTAAACTAAAATATAATAAAAGGGAAGAGGAGTCACTTCCAGTTGCCATCCTACGCTCAAAAATGTCTTTGCTTATGCCACCTACTTGAACCCAGGTCCACATTAGCGAGAGCAGGGCGTGACCTCTCTCCTAACCCTTCTCCTCGAGGGAGGCACAATATCGCGTAGATCATGCATTGTTTTCAGTAGTAAATACTTGCCGGGAACTAAAAAACTATGTTTGTAAACCCTTTTTTGACACTGTTTGTGGTAGTTAAGCAAAGATGTTTTGAGCGCCGCCCGTCAACCGGAAGTGATGCGTTCTCCTCTTATACTATGCCCTAACGCTACCAAATTTGTTTGGCTATCTGTCCATACTCTTATACAGACGATTTGCGTCAAACTTTGGGCAAAAACCACTGCCCAAGAATGAAGAAAGTTTACTTCCGGTTAACGTGCGTGGCTCAAAAACGTCTTTGCGTAAGCTCGCTAATGATGAGCTATGCTGATTCGACTTACCCGCGTTAGCAGTTTGCTTTTTCCCTTCTCCAAAGAGTTGCGTTTTCTGATTTGCTGAATTTGGTCTCTTGATGTTATTATTTACTAAGAGCTGTCTGGAAACCTTCGGAAACTTTGCGCTTAAAAGCAAGAACAAAATTAAAACAACCATGGTGGCTCTAAATTATCGTTTTTTCAACCTAGACACTAGCCTGCGTAGCTGGCGGGATCGTCACGTCAGCGCTTATCGAGACAGAGGTGGCGATATAGAGAAGTTACCAGTCCCCGCGTAGAATGGGGATCTCGCTCACCCCTTCGGCGTTTTCTTCTCGCTGTGAATGGTAGCTTCTCCGCCAAAACCTCACTCGCGAGGACGAACAATTCCACCAGCTACGTAGGCTAACCTAAATAGATATTCCTTGCCTCATTTCCTGAAAACTAGTTTTAGTCTACGAAAAGGTCTAAAAATGTCTTTTGACGTCCGCCTTCAGATATACGAGGGAAATCAAAGGGAAGAACAAATGCAATCCTCTCTTTTCTCTTTCTTTCTTGAATAGTTATTTCCCTCTAAGGATCTTTAAAGAGATCCTGATAAGATCCTAATAAAGTCATTGTTAAGTTGTAATGACAATTCCCTCCTAGAAATTCACTTCAAGTCTCCTGAATAGCGCCATAAAAAAAATGTATGACAGTTAGTGAGGAGGATTCGTAGGGTGAAATGCAGTACCAGGAGGGTGAAAATATGATGTGGTATTTAATAACAAATAAAGCAAAAATTATGTTGATTTTTCTAACCGAAAGGAAGATGAAAGCTTTAATGGCGTCAGTTCTGTGCAGATGTATCTCCATTGCTCAGCATTCTTAAACATGACGTCATCACGTGCTTTAGTGCTGGCTTTGCCGCTGACCCGAAGAAGCTCAGCGCACCAAAAGTGTCCAAGTCTTTCTGCTAGAATCAGTGGTGTTTCACCGCGATTGTTTCTTTTGTCAATGTCTAAGCCATATCTTCTCATTTGCTCAATAATCGCCTGTGTAATCAGGCAATTACCAGTCGCTGCTGCATGATGTAGGGCTGTATTGCCATTGCAGTCTTGATCCAGCCAGGCAATCTCTTTCCTGGATCATGCATTCCACCAACTTGACGCGCTGTTTGATGCATGCGTAAGAAAACACTGAAATGCCGAACGCATCCTTCTGGTGGACCCCGGCGCCGTGGTGAAGCAAAAGGCGCCCCAGGGATAGCCCCAAAGGCTCATTATCCAGCTCACAGACCAGGCGCATTGGTGTACGCATGCGTGAATCCAATCTGTTTACGTTGCATCCCACTTTTGCGAGAAGGTGCACTTGTCGAGAATTCCGTCGAGTTATCGCTTGATGAAGGGAGCACATCCTCGTAGCCTGCAGAATCAAAAATTTTGATGCGCTTGAAAGCCTTTACGGTATAATGTCTCTTTGTTGGAAAGTGGGGTGCCGTCAGTTTTTTTAATCCACGAGGTTCTTGTATGCAGGTTTTTCCACAGTAGTAGGAACTCTCGAAGCATAGAGGAACACACGTAAGAAGTCAAGTCCTACTCAAGATCCACAGTGACCATTCTGCAAACGAATTTTAGTTGTTTTAACCCACTATCGCGCTCTAGTTTAAACCAATCGGGCAGAAACGGGACAGACTAAGAAAGTGACTCACTTAATAGGAGATACGACCACTGCTAAGTGACCTGGGTGTTGGTTACTTAAATTTAATATACCTTATATTTTCCAGAATACCATTTCTCACGATTTTGCGGTATTACCAAAACAGTTGGTGTAGAAATACCGTTAATTTGTTTGATACTTAACAATCGAAAGTATCGTTCATTGTTTCAAAAATGTTTGCGAAGTGGAAAGCAAGCAAGCGCAGTTTTCGTCCATAAATTATACTAGTTACTGTTAATAAGGTACTGAGTGTTGTATTTGATATTAAGTGCAATTGCCACTCACAAACGGCAATTATTATCCTCACAGGGCAGAGAAAATTTGAAAAAATATCGGTTTTTTTTTATTTTTTGGTTTTCTGGTAAACTGCTTAAACCAAAAACATACAGCCAAGGCAGTATAGTGGGTTTTTCTCTAGATACAGCTGAGAATAGTTGTTCATAAGTGCCTTAAAAAATCCTAATTAAAATATCTACGAACTTTCAATATTTAACATAAGCATACTTATCCAGTTTTCTGATGAAAAAAAGAAACATCACTTTTACTACTTTCAAAGAAATAGACTTACCCTTGGATGGTTTTCTGTTTATTAGCCACCACAACTTGCTCTGAGCTATTAAAGTTCTTGTTATTCAAGTGCTGGCAGCAAGATCTGGATGTGATCAAGTGAAATAGCTACAGTATTTATTTTCCAGCCTTATAAAAGTTTGGGAAAAATCTAAAACTAGCTGAACTTTGTTACCACGCAACTAGAAATCCTATACAAGTTACTGTGGTCCCAGTCGGATGAATGGCTTATGTTGGTAAAGAAACTCATGTTAAATAATCCTGCTAATTACTGAGTGTTTTGCTGAGGAAATCCCCGATAATTGTGAACCTGCTGCTAAATTATTGAATACAACAAGGTGTACACTCATTGTTTGTCTCTGCCCACGTCTTATTTTACGCTTTCAGTCAGTTAATTTGTTAATAAAATCTCGTCTTGTCCAAAATCTTTATCTGTAACTAAAAGCTCTTGTGTCTAGCTAATTTTAAACAAGCTATTTTAGAGAGACAGATACCGATTATAAGTATTTTGTTTTTATAAGTTCTTTAAATATGCATGACGTTTTGTCCATCTGCCAATTTCAAATAATGTTTATCTTTGTGTGTTTACTTTTAAACACCAGCCCTCTCCATACATGACGAGCCAGTTCAGTTAGCATGTGCAGGGGATCACGTGACACTGACGTTAACTGGATTAGACATGATGCATGTTGGGTAAGTGTCTGGTTGATAAGATCCGGGGTACTTACCATTTACCTGAAAGACCGGAAATTCCGCATGGAAAATCAAATGGTTCGCGCCATTATCTTTAGGAGGCTTCAGAATGAAGAGGCTTTTTTAGGCAATGCAATTTTTCCACTCCTTTTTAGTCTGTTCAGTTTATGTGGATATACTTTGCCAGCGGATTGTTCTCCCACCACGTCCAATTTTATAGTTTTACCGATTTATGCTCAAGATGTCCACCCGGGTGGTCTAAGTAAATGGTAAGCAACCCCGGTTTTATGGTAAATCATAGAATCTAAAACGGATTTTTTCCCATAGTAACTGTACCACTCCAGAACTGCAAAGCTTTGTGCGCCCACGTCGAGCAGTTTTTTTTTGTTGTTGTTGTTTTTGTTTTCGTATGAGGTTCGTTTCTCCAATCCCCCCCACCCCTAACAAGCGCTGAAAATCACGAATCCGAAAAAGTTCACCATGATTCAGACAGACTTAGTTGAAATTTAGTTTGAAAATCATCATTTTTGGAATCAAGAAGCACAGAAAGCATTTTAAGATTCGAGAATTCCAGATAATAGGATTCCCCCTTAGAAGCGAAGCCCAACTGTGTTTCCCCGTCACATTTTCTACTCTTTTTTTTTTCGTCGCATGGTTACTTTTTTGATGGATAAACTGAAAACATATATAAATCAAATTCTGATTTTCCTTCTTTCGTTTTCTACGTTTCCGTTCGAAACTTTTACAGTTAACTTGACAGCTTCCTTAAAACTCACACCTAATGATGAAGCTTTGTGACACGTTTTTAGGCTTCACAATGGCGAACCTTAATTTTATTTTCTTGTGGTTTTTGTTTTTCAGAGTGGGAAGTGTTTTATGTCCTCCGAGCTCCCCAATAAAATGCACAATGAAACTGAAGGCTCGCATTTTAGTTTTCAACATTCGTGTTCCTATTACAAAAGGTTTTATGGTGAGTTTTCTTTTACCAGGTACATTGACAATGCATGGTTTGAACCCAGGAGTCATCTCATAAGTAGGTGGAGCATGATCGTCCGGGTGAACGTAGTCCAGAAAAGGACAGTTGTTGACACTGACTAACGTTTCCACAACTTGTGCGGTGGTCATCTTCAAAGTGAAAGTGAGTCAAAGGTGACTACCACACAGGTTGTCGAAACGTCAGTCAGTGTCAACAACAGTCCTATTAAGGACCACGCACAAAATCATATTCCACTTACTTACATATACATTGTGTTAAATAATTTCATAAAAAAAAAACTATGACCCGTGGAAATCGTTAAGAGAAACAGCTCCCTGATGTAACTGCCATTTGAGAATCGGCCACCCTGAAGAAGGCAACTTATTGCACTTGAGGAGGTAACAGCGTAAAAATTGTACAAACTGGAACCAAAAAATTAAATAAAATAATGTGAGTTGTTTTCCATGGTGTGTTATGGACAGTGTGGAAATGGTGAATAAAATTTTTTTACTGTTTTGTTTGCAGGTATTGTTCCACTACAAGACGTTAAATGAACCAGCCACTATCCACAGGCTCTGTAGTGTCTTACACAAGAGCACAGGAGAAGTTCTTCAAAAGAAACCCAGGTAACAATTTTCATTCTTTCACCTTTAAGCATTGACAGTTTCGAAGCAAATTTAGGCGGATTTTACCCTGCAGGGGCAGGGGGATGCGGGGCTGGGTGGGGCTTGGGAGAAAACACCCCCCTTCCCAATCCCGGTCCCCGAAGGAGTGCTCGCAGGCTAGGCGGCATTTAGATACGGGATTTAACCCCTTTAGTCCCGCATTGAATTTTTGTCCATTTAGTGATGTCGTCCTACCTTTTGAGTTTGTAGACGAAATCCCATGGTTACTATTCAAATGAAACCTCTTATGCAGTTCCGTCCCTTCTTGTACTTTTTGTTTAGTATGACTTTGAGTCTGTGGATGAAATCCTTTGGTTTGACCGTTGAAATTAAACTCTGTGGGAGATTTCCGATTGGTCTCTCTTATTTTCGGTAATTCGCAAAATTTACTAACTTCCTTACATTCCTCGCTACACAGATGTTTAACGAAAAATTCCAATGCGGAGGTAGTAATTCACACATTCAAACCAGTTTGCGTTGAATTGTATAAAGACTATAAAGATCTTGGAAGATTTATGCTGCGCTACGGTGGTGAAACAATCGCTGCTGGAGTTGTTACAGAGGTGAGTAGTTAATTTCCGTGTGCTTTACATGAAGCCTGGCATTTGTAGTTGGAAGCCTCGGGTTAGTGTTATTTGTTTTTACTTCTTTCTTTTCTGTTTATTTTGTAGAACCTGTTGCTTTGCGTTGGTGGGGAATGCAACGCAAAAATTCCGTTTAATAACTTAGTGGATACAGTGAAAATGCCACCATAAACGGGTTTTAAAAAAGCTGACCATCCTAGCGTCCGTTTTAACGACAGTCTAGCGCTCAAAACGTAAGACCGGGGGGGGGGGGAGCTCCCATATAAAAGTGACAGGGATGCTCGTCGTCTCGCTTCAGATTTTGGTCTCACTTAGGGTGTTTGGGATGGAAAGTCACTATATTTGCCCATTCAGGTATCGCTTAGTACTGTGCTTAAAGGAATTTACAAAAAATGCCCTGTCACTGACCACACAGAAATCTCCCTTAGGGGCCACACCTACGTTGGTCTCCCTTAGGGGTCTTATTTGAATTTTCTGATGAGCATCCCCGTCATTTTTATATGGGAGTCCCCCCGGGAACGTAAGCTTTCGCGGAATCTTTTTATTGCGGCCAGTTTGGTTACCCCGTGTTTGTATAGTTTTGTATAGCCTTAGCCTCGCGGAAATTGTAAGGCCAAAGGGAACACGTGAAAGGGAAGAGGTGCGCAACACATTAAAATGATTGGATTCGAATAACGAACCATTTAAAACTCAAGTGAAAATGAATGACCGGATATTTCCCTGGTCAGGCGAAGGCGTCCAGAACGTTATCAGGAAGTGTTGATATTGTCAGGAGCATAGTAATAACCATTTCTGTCTTTATCTCCCACTGTGCACTTTTTCTGCTTGTTTCATTGGGACCTAGAAAAAAAGTCGTATTTATTTGTTCCACGTCAACGGGATGGCTACATTTCAGCGTACCCCTTTATTTTGGGTTACGAGAACAGGCTACAAGGCAAAGGTTAACCTGTGAACAAGCTCCTAGGGAACCGCCCTTTTTCCTTTTAGACAGAAAAAGGAAACGCCCTTTTCTCTTCTAGACAGAAGTAGAAAACGCCCTTCACATTCTACACAGAAGGGGGATCGATTTTCTTCCTCTAGACGGAAGAGGAAAACGCCCTTTTACCTTCTAAACAGAAACGGGAATCGACTTTTCCTTTGTTCAAAAAAAAAGGGGAACGTCCTTTTGCCTTCTAGACAGAAGTAGAAAACGCCCTTCACCTTTGACACAGAAGGGGGAATCGATTTTCCTTCTCTAGACGGAAGAGGGAAACGCCCTTTTAACTTCTAAACAGAAACGGGAATCGACTTTTTCTCAGTTCTAAACAAAAGGGGGAAACGCCCTTTCTCCTTCTAGACAGAAGAAGGAAACGGTCTTTTCTCTTCTAGCAGAGGTAGGAACGCCTTTCCCCGTTCTATACAAGGTGTCGCAAATAGTTGAAAGTACGGAACATTTATGTACCTTTTTATGTCTTTGACAGATTTTATAAATAACAGAGGTTTATTGAGGAGAGCCTTACATTCAGACCGCCTAAGGAAGACAAGAGTTGACATGCCTATAAGATCGCTTGAACGGGAAATTGAATTTCGTTTTCTTGTTGACTCCCTGTCGGCAACAGAAAAAAACTCAGGATGGCACCCAAATAGAAGAGACAGTAAAGTTTTAAAAGATAGGTTGTATGACAATAAGTCGCTCGAAATGCTGCGGAAAGGAAGACATGTGAGGGTAAAAAATAAATAAAATGGAAATTTTTACCGTTACAGACTCATTTGTTTCTTCTGTCGTTTGTCGCGGCTTTAATCTTGCCTGCCTACAGCCGCATAATGTACCAAGGCGTCGATACGTTCACCGCGAGTCTTTAATGATAAGAATGAGAATTAAAGGTCTGTTTTTTAATATGGGTCAAAGCATATTCTCTCTTCACCAAAGTGATTAATTTGGTTTTTGGCACACTAAGTGAAAACCTTTCTATTTGGCGCCTCGTTTGTTGTCTAGCTGATTTTCATTTAAAAATTTCAGGTAATATTCTTAGGTTCGTTGATTACATAGGAAGAGGTCGTTAACCACACCGATGTAACTTATGCAAATGAGCGGCAAATTCTTATCGCATAGGTTTATCCTCTCCAGTTAACGACGTGACTGTTCCTAACGTTTTTTTTTTTTTTAATGGCAACATACTGAGTAAACAGTGTTTTCTTTTTTATTAAGATCTCCAAAGCTGTCTTAAGCAAGATCTGACTTTCCGGTTCAATTTATTAGTTTACACAGAGAGCTCTTTAACAAGCGCTCTATGAAAAAGAGCATTTCCGCCATGCTCTTTCACAGTGACATAAGTGCACTAAAACACTCTTATAGCTGTGTCCCCTCTGCTAGTGATGATTTCGTAGATTTCGTTTTGTTTGAATAATTCACCGATTTCTTCAGCGACTGCCTGTAAGCTGGCAATCGCCATGCATAAATAAAAGCATCGAGTGCCACTTTGAAAAAGAGCAGTAAATCTCTTACTCTCAAAGCCATAAAAATGTGATAGGTTCCTTCCAGGGAGAGGTTCGAGTAAAGCCAAACGAACTGAATTGCAATGTGTGGAAGTGCTGAAATCAACAAAATGGCAGCCAAATAAAACGTTACGATTGTAAACTGTCGCTGGAGATTATGCGCCCTTTCTTTCGTTCCCTTTTTTAACTCTGAAAAAGGTTTGTTCGAGCCTTTTTGCTGTACCTGTCCTTTAAATGCCCTGTAAAGTAAAACTAGGGTTAGAAATAAAACGGACGAGATTAAAACGGGATGTATCGCCAAGTCTACTTTCAGGAATAGAGTTGTATCGATTCTTGAGAATTGCAACACCAGCGTGAAACAGATGAAGTAGAGCCAGCTGAGTAAGACGCTCCCGATAACGCGGTTTCTTGTTATTAAAAGTTTGTACTTATGAGGCCACTTAATGGCAATGTATTGCGACAAGGACAAGAACAAGATTATCAAATATGACGAGCTTATGGTTACAGTTGAAATGGGAACTCCCACGTTGTACAGGCGAGAAACTGGTCCAGGAACACTTTGGCTTCCACGAAAGAAACGCGTGATGTAAAAGAGCGCGAAAAAGGGTTCTGTTGTGGCACCCGTCACGAGGTCAGCTATTCCAAGACCAATTATGAAATAGATTGTAGGCGATCGAAAATTTTTCTCTGGGTCTTTCCATATGGTCATTAACAGCAAGATGTTGGCAGAAACCGTTAAAACAGATAATATCGAAAGGCAAATGCCCTCAGCCAGTTCAAACTTCATATACAACGATCGAAGATGATCCAGATGGGTTGATGTATTTAATTCACTTCCATTTAAAGCCATACTGAGTTAACAGCGTTGGAGCGTTCTACAGTAGTCTTTCCTCCTCGTAGGTCCGTAAGAGTGGCCTGTGTTAATGTCAATTTTACGCCTTTTGTCCTCTGTTTTATTAACTGAAGTTAAATGTCTGCGAATTATGTACAGCCCAGCTCGCTTGTCTTCCACTTTCTCTTCATTGGCGGCTGTCAAGATTCGAAAGCACTTCACGTCAGATTTCAGCTTAGAAATTCCGAACCGCCTCGGCAAGATGACCTCAAGGTTCCCTCAGAAGGCCGACTCATTGCGCTCAGCAGTTGAAATGATATCTCCTCGTCGGATCCTCATGTTGCAAAAGTCATCTGTGGGCGTGTGTCCACGGAGATATCTGATAAGGTTATATTTTCCTTCAGCCCAACAATATGTCACTTGGGTTATGCACCCACCTGCTGAAGAGGAAATGTCAAACTAGTGGCAAGTTGTCCTGATTTTCAAGCATACTCCGACAGGTTTGTCACTTTATAAATACGGCTACCACCAATGTCTTAATTGAATTTCCTGCTGCGAAGAAAATGGTTTTAAGGTTTCGTCTCATCATTTGAAAAACAATTAACGGCTGATAAATAGTCCTTGCGCCGTTGGTGGTATGCCAATCTGCGTCAGCCGCGGTTTGTCGAGTTTTCATAGAAAAAGAGCGTATATTAATTCTTTTTGTCGAGATCGCGTGCTTAACAACCGAACACGTATTCTTTCCTTTATTGAAAGAAGAGGACGTTTTTCGCTGTGTCTTTTTTTGTGTATTTGAGAACATTCGGCCTCAGTCACGCTAGATTACACGCACCTTTTGGACGAAAGTTTAACTCGAACCTACAGTAAATCAGTAAAGATCGTTTCTCATCGGCTGAAAGTCGCGTTAATTCAGTTTATGGCATGGATGTCGGGAAGCGTTCTTTTTCTCTGTTTTATCAACTCTGTTGAAATGATAACCTTTCTAAACAACAAGCGACAACTGAAAATATTAAATGAAATCAAATAAAAACATGCTTCGTGCCTTACTTTCATTAACATTACATGAAAAAATCCTATCGTCGCATTCTTTTCCAGACAATTTCATTTGTTAATGTTTATCTGGCTAGGAAAGCAATAATGTACTTTCGTCGAAACATTCAACCAGAGTTTGTCCTCAGTTTGGAAAAGGAGGGAATAATTGCTTTTTGCAGTAATTTCCGAAACTATTAAAATTAAATATAGCTGCAGCTGTCTAAATTTTTGTAACAATTTTTTTTGTAAATTGTCTTCAGCGATATAAGATGCGGATTTTACAAGTAAGTTTTTTTTAAAACTTACTTGTAGGTCGGTAGTGTTGTTATATCAGTGAAGTCTTACGCTGAGTCAAACGAAGAGTTTTTTATAGATCAGTAGCTAGAGTTAATTACTTTTTTTCTTATTTACCAATTTTCTGCAACATAAAATTACCACTTTCGTGTTATGTTTTGGCTGCAATCGCAGTTTCCTTCTATAAACAATTTCAATTATTCAAACGGAATTCATTTGCCAAAAAATATTGAGGCCTTCGTGATTTTAGGAATCGATATCCATCTATTATGAGAAATCTTGACATTTACGAACATTAAGTTAAGGAAATACTGAATTATATACGAATGTTGACACACTTTTATTGTCTGGAAAAATGGAAGCGTTACACCTCACCAATGTATCCTATGGCCAACGAATTAACATGTCTAGATTTTAGTTACTTTCGACTGTATGTGACCTTCCCACAATCGCAACAAGAGTTAATATCAAATACCCCCGCTGTCCAGTTTCGTTATCTCGCAGATTTTTTATTGCAGTGTATAAATCAATCCGGCGGCGAAACAATTATTCTGGCTTCAAAATGTGATAGATCAGACAATCTATGATTAATAGGTAAACTGTTTGAACATTTTTAACAGACATCAAGATTTCTTAGAAACTCAGCTCTACAGTTTCTCAGAGTTTCTTCAGTGCTAGCTGCTCGTGCGTAAGCAGGTCCATTTAAATGGTCTTTTAAATGTGTGTTTGTTTTCCTTCTTTTCCCCCGCTGGTTTATTGCTCGAGAGACGCAGTTTTTAGAATAAAGGTAAAGATAGATAAACTAAAATATAACTTAAAACAATATTTCCAAACATAATTTATGCAATCTGAGACGGTAATAAATGACCTGAGAGAAAATTTGTTTACTTCATGACTTTGCTTCATGACCCAGTCTTCATGACCAGTATCTACTCGGGGCGATCTGGGTAGAAATATAAGTTCGCGGGAAATCGCACGTCTGGGCTGGCGCCCCGCCGGGAAAAGGGCGCCAAATTCGTCGCTTACCACAAACGTCAGGTTGGGTTTTCATTGTTGAACAGACAGAAAAATATTGTTTTATTGCATTTTACACCGATAAACGTTATTTTGAAACGAAAAAAGTAGCCATTATTTTGCTCAAGTCGAAGTTTTCTCTTGAATAGCATTTTACCAATTGCTAACCTTTAAGTACAAAAAGGAATGAACAAGCGTCTCAACAGCAGCCTAAGTGGTAAGTTGTATTCTTTAAATTTAACTTATTAAACTTTACCTTTAAACACAGCATACTCTAGTTTTAAGGCTTAGCTTACTATTTTTCAAATGTATAATTTTTAATAATTAAACAATCGGTGTCCTTGTAGGGCGATTGGTGCCAATATTCGCTAACAATAAAAAGAAAAGGCTAAAGCAAGCATTGTACGCAAACCCATCAACAGACGACTTCGATAACACCTCAACCAATCCGGCTTGTGATGAGTTCAGTCACTCTGGAAGTGAATACTTTGAAGGTTGTCTTCAGAAACCAAGTTTACCTCCAAATAAAAGAACGACTTCTCTTACAAATGAGGGATGGTACAACAGCGCAGTGCCACAACAGTACAGTGCCAACTCCTCAACTCATCAAAGAAGCCAAGCGGTAAATGGCCGAGGCGAATTGCAAAGTCACATGCCAGCGCAACAAGAATATCAGCTTCCACCACCACGAGCTAACAGTAAGCTTAATTTGAAGGTCAACGGGCCCAGGTATGTTTTTCAACTTTGTCTCGATACGTTTTCTGTCTTACCAAGAGAAATATAATCTAGTTATCTTTCTGAAAAATAATTTGGTTTTAGACAAAACGGATAACAAAAATATGTCAAAAAACAAGCAACTTGTCTTGCAACATTGTTGCGAAACGACTTGTTTTGCCATATTGCCGCAAAAAAAGTTGAAAAGCGATGGTGCGCGTTTTACCAACCACATCAAACCTATCTTGCAAAAAATTAGGTTTGTTAACAGGTTTGAACGTGAGTGGTCAAACGCGCACCATCGCTTTTCAACTTTTTTTGCAGCAATATGGCAAAACAAGTTGCTCGTTTTTGTCTCCTGTTTCACTGACGCTTAAGTTTTCATTACTTTTATACAAATATAAAATTGTTGTTGTTTTTGTTGTTTTCTATCAGACCCTCTCATTACGATGCTGGAAGAAGTACGGTTATTAGAAATCCCATGATAAAAACAGAACAAGACAATACAGGTGAAAACAGGCGTGGAGGTGGTGCATTGTCCTCAGAAACATTTGAGAAGGATCAGAACCAACCCATAAAGGTAATTCACAAATTTATATATTATTATCCCTGCAAAGAATGAAGTCTACTTCACTGGACAGCAAGGTAACCCTTTGGAAAATCTCTTTTTACCGCCTTACCCTCTCATCTCCTACCCATCGTCCGGAAAAAAAAGCCATCCAATGTTGTGCATTTGGAATGTTCTGCTGTTTTTAATTATTTTATAGTGGACCTGAGTCCCCAGTTGTTCAAAAGGTGGATAAGGCTATCCACTGGATAGCACAATATTGGTTTCCCTAACACTTATCCTCTGGTTAGTGATTTGTCCGGTGGATAGATAGTGCTATCTAACGTTTGAACAACCTGGGCCTGAAGTGTTAAGTTACTTGCTACCCCTAAATAATTATTGGTACATCCCGTATTATTGTCCTAGGTAAACAGAAGTCAGCCCCGTAGCAGATCCAGGATCCAGGGTGGATGAAAGGGAGAGGGAATCTGGACAAGAGGATTTTTATTATTATCAGTAACATTTTAAAATAACTAGTTCTTCAGTTTCAACATGGAATTTTAACCACCTGGGCCCAGTTGTTTGAAGGCCAATAAGTGCATTTTTTCTTATAATTAGACCATTCCATCATCAAATTGTAGCTAAAACGAACTAACCTAAATTTGCTATAAATTTTTGAGCTTTCACTCTGTAGTTAAATCTCGCACTAACCCTGGATTATCTTAACCCGGCTTTGAACAAACCGACCTAGGGGATCCCATGGCTAGGGTCTATAAAATGAACTCTCTGCCTTAAAAATTCTTGGATCTGCCCCTGGTATTCAAAACGTTTCAGTCTAGATGAAAACCTAAGGATCCAACGCATTTGGTTTTCTCAGTGGGGAAGGACCAGCTCTAAATAAAGGTAATATGGCTAGATCTACTTATTTTCCTCATTTGAATAAATAGGAAAGGTCAACCAAGCAAGTGAACCTCATGGCCACTCCAGTGGAAAAGACTCTTAGAGTCATAACAGCCAGTATTCAGAATATTGTAGACTGGAAAACATTTGATGACAAGATTGCTGTAATTTATGAAATATTTGGTAAGCAGATACAAGGTGTTCTCATAGGGCGTATGCAAAAGCCGGAATCCGGAATCCGGACGGAAACGGAGCCGGAACCGGAACCGGAACATAAATTGAGACCGGGTTAAACTGGGAAGCACTGAAACCAGGGGTGCTTACCATTTTACAGAAAAATCCGGTTGGGGTGTCGAAAGCAAAATGGTAAGCGATTTAGCAGTTTACTGCGGAAATACCACATCCGTTACAGGTTGAATCCAAAAAAAGGGAGAATTTGTGTTGCATGAGTCTCGAACCGAGAAATTGGTTAATGGTAAGCAACATTCCGTTTGGTTCGTACCAACCGGAATGAATGGACTACCTCAAAACGTACTCCTCAGAATCAGCCCATGCTGTTCCGCCGCAGACTCGAGCATAAATTCAAGGCACAACAACTTCACATTTTCATACTTACCAGGGGCGGATCCAGGATTTTTTTAGGAGGGGCGCAGTCGTCTCTTGCTCTACCTCAACACCAATAAACCACATAGTTTTTTTTTTTTGTAGAATACCAGTTGTATTAGAAAACCGCAGGTCATCTCAGGGAGGGGGGGCACACCCCTTGCACCCTCCCCCCAGATCCGCCCCTGCGTACTTCCATTGCAATCGATTCGTCACTTTGTCACGATCTGTAAACGAAAACAGATATGTTTTTGCCAAATTGTAACATTTTTTCAAACTCAGTAAAGCGGAAAACAATGAAAACTTTTATAATTATTCTTACTCGCACCTTTTCTTAAAAAGGATCCGTGTTTCATCCACTGTGAGGGAAAGGCAGCAAAGGGAGGAGGAGTACTCATGTTAATCATGATCCCTAGTTGCAATGCTCATGCGTATATGAAATTCTCGAAGAAACATTTTGCATCGTACGCAAAAAATATGACAGTAAAAAATATAATAACAATAAATAAATATAATGTGGGGATGAAAAGTCTTGATCGTGCAACAATTGTTAGTGACACTCTCAAGACAGAAACATCTACAGTTTTTATTTCTTAGGTTCGCATTCCGGTTCTGGTTCCGCTTTCCGGCTCCGCTTCCGGTTCCGGATTCCTGCTTTTCCATATGCCCGTTCTCATACAAATGAGGGTTCAAGCTGTAATGCTTAAAGCGCCAGTGCTACTTGCAGAAAATCTCTGTCAAGTTCATACAAAATGTAATTGTAGTTAAGACATGGCATTGACACAATCTGTTTTTAATACTGCTTCTTTATACCATCATGTCCAAAGGGAATGGTTTTATTCCTCTTAGGAACACTGGACTCACAAGTGTCATTAAATTCTACTGGCAATGCAAAGAATTTTGTCATAAAAGACAAAACAGGAACTCTGAGGTATCTTACAATTTCCAAAAACTACCGTTATTTTTACCAAAAAAATTTAAAATTAACAGAGTCACTTTTTCTTTTCTTTTAGGTGTACGTTTTGGGAAATGGTGAGATAATCCTTTCACAAATGTAAATTTTACTTTTATTATGTTTCATCTAAGCCATTTATCTTCTTTACGATCAAGGACCGTCAACTTCCAAGGTTAACAAGAGGACAAATGCACAGGTGCAATAAATTTTATTATCATTTGTTGCAAATTTTTCTTCCTTTTCATTGGCCAAGAGCCCACCACGTGACCTGCCAATAACTGCCTACAAATAATGGTCTGCTCATGCACAATGCAATTTCAAATAATATTCTGGTCATGCATGAATGAAATCACGCTTTTCTCCTTCTTGCAATCACTCTTGAGTGAAAATGGCAGATTGCTTCACTGTCTTCTCGTAGATATTCATTAAAAAAAAACAAACTAGGTAATTGCACAATAAAACAATTATTGAACTCGGTTAGCGCAAATATCGTGATTTCTCAGTGTCTCACAGATCGACCTTCGGCTTCGACAAACAATATCACTGAAAAATCATGATATTTTGCTCAACCTCTTCCACTAATTGTTAATTATTATGTCTGAAAGGAGGGGTAGAACAGGGTTTAAAGCCACTAACCACCAAAGCCGTTTAGTGACATTATCACTATCTACCAAATTTTAGTGGCTCGACTGTCATTTGATATTCAGCAGATCAAATCCTTGCATGGAATTCAAAATTTTGACATCCCAAACAGGAAAATGAACTTATCCAGTTCTTGCCTATAGTCATTTATTTCAGTTAGAGTCATTTCGTGGTTTCAGCAGCGTAAACCTCGGCAATAGAGTTTTGTGATATTAACAAGCTTGTGTCAAGCCAGCAATAATTTTTGATCTTCCTGTCATTTCCACTGTCTAGTGTAATGATTTTATAAGTTTTTCTTCCTTTGCATTCAACCTTTGTTAATAAACAAATGGCCTTTTTGCATTCAACCTTTTGTTAATTTAAACAAATTTTGGCCTCCCGGCAATTTTTGTGATATTAACAAGCTTGTGTCAAGCCAGCAATAATTTTTGATCTTCCTGTCATTTCCACTGTCTAGTGTAATGATTTTATAAGTTTTTCTTCCTTTGCATTCAACCTTTGTTAATAAACAAATGGCCTCTTTTGAATTTACGCAAATTAGAGTAAGTGTTCAATGGTATACGTTCTTGCATTGAGCAGCATGAGTTCTAGCACAAGTTACAAGTGAACCAATTCTGTACCCTGCAGACCTTATCCTCTTTTTTATTTCTTTGTTTACTTGTTGAAAATAATGTTTTACGTTTTGAATGAATAAGGGGAGTAGTGACATCACTGGACAGAATATTTAGTGGCCAGCAAGTACAGATGTCCCCCTTGGGAGTTTGTGACTGAAGGTTCCTGCAAAGGAAAGCTCTGAATTTTCTTCTGCAGCATACAGTTAAATCAATGAAACTCCTCACTGCTTCAGTGAAAATTTTAATTAAGTCACTTGTAAATGCTTTATGAAGACCATTTTTATGCTTGTAAGGTGCGTGGGATCACTGGACAGAAGAAATGGACATTTCTATTGTGTATCAGTCAGGCCTGTCAAGCACACAGAACTTCAGACCATTGCACCATTCATAGAAGTGTCACAAGCAGCCATACAAGAACAACTTGTAAACTTGAAAGAAGACTGAACCACAAATTAACCTTAATTGGTTAGCAGGTTGCAGCAAAATGAATTTTAAAATATTTATTCATTGCATTTAACAAGAAAAAAAGAAAGATTTACACACAATGACAATGTTATAAGCCCAATGTTTTTTGCTTTTATTACTTTTAAAGAGGTAGTGGAGGCAGTCAAATGAAAAAGTCTACAAATAAATACAATTATTGTAAATTACACTTTGTACTCAAATAAAAGTAAAAGTTGTTTTTGTTGTTGTTACTGATTAAGTTTGGTAATAGTTTCATTATCAGAACATTTACAAAGGTACTGCAAGGGAAACATCCTACAAAAACGTGAAGAAGCTTATTTACATCAACTATATTATTGGTTAGTTCTGTCTCTTGATTTGTAAGTTACTCCTCTAGCTTTGAGTTCCCGTACTACATGCCCTGGAAGTTTACCGCTCACAGATATGGCATAGCATCCTCTTGCTAATGTGTCTATGAAAGATAAATACTAATGCTAGAAAATTTTGTCCTGATTTTTAAACATTACAACAAATAAAGCACACACTGCAAGAACATGAAAAATGAAGCACTTAGTAGTACATCTGTTTGCTAGGTGCTGGGGCAAGGACTAAAGGTCTATGCTGCAAGGTGGGGAGAGAGAGGGCTCGACCTTATTCCCGGGGTCCCCTCTCTTCCGCTCTTAAGGAAGCCATCATCTCTAGCCTTAAAGCACTTTCCCACGACACCCAGCTCCCAGATTTTGAGAGCTGAGTGACTAGCCACAACAAGAGTCCTTTCTCAAGGGAGGAAGAGAGAAGACCCTGGGAATGAGATTGGATAAGTTTTTATATAAAATTCTAAAACAATAACAAATAAAGCATCCATACCTATTCTCTGCCACCTGGCCACCCAACTGTCATTTGGAGTCATAAGCGATATTATCCTGTCAAACAAGGTATAAGTAAGTAAACTGTCTTGTTTTCTCTGAGCTGTTGCTAAACACTCTTGTCTATATAAGCACAGTAAAAAGAATACAATTCAAAACAGTAACATGCCTCTTCCTAGTCACAGTCATGGCCCTGGTATAATTAGCTGGGCAAGAGAGTGATTTCATAAATATAAAGAAGTTAGTTGAGATCCTCAAAGAATCTGAGTGAAATAATGACTAAAAAAGTGGTTTATATTAATTTTCTAACCCTAACCCTAATGAAACCTCAGGCTACAAGGTAACTAAATCCTGGCCCCAGTTGTTCAAAAGTGGATTATGCTATCCACTATATAAATCTCTATCCAGTAGATAGCACAATAAGACATAGTGGTTTTCCTTACACTAATCTGCTGGATAGTGATTTATCAAGTGGATAGTGCTATCCAATGTCTGAACAACCATTCAATTGTTGAATGGGTTATTGTGCCTTCTATCCTTACACCCCTGCTTGAGGTGCAAAATTAATAAACAATTTAAGGAGGAAATGTATATTTTTCCGTCTTATCTGTGAATTAACAACCAGTCATCCCTCATTTTCCACATGAATAGTAAAGTGAGCAATTACCTAAGCACATGTAAAAATTGCAACCCCGAGGAAGGTGACAAGCAAGGGGAAGATAAAAAACCAACTTTAAATGAAGTCACCCAACACATAAAGCAATTACAAATGTACAGAAATAGCAAAGAAATTAATCTGGCCAAACTCAGAATTTCTGTAGAAGTTTTAACTCTGCCTGTGGCCTTCAATTTGGCAGTCACTGCACAACGTGACTACCTTGAAGAACGATTTTGTTTTGCAAGCATGTGGTTTTTTTATGGATTCGGTTCGTTGTCACTAGTCGTGATGTTTCGTTACGTACGTTTTCCAGATAACACACAGCAAACAAACGTGTTGAAAAAAAAAGGTACCCTGAGTGATACAAACTATTAAATAATTTAAATTTTCTCTTTGGAAAATAATAATCCTTGTAGCACATCGTGTTAAACGTTCATGCTTCGCACCATAGGTACCCGTCATTGCCCTTTTCTTCATTAAGTCTATTGTAAGCTCATGTCCTCCCAGAGGACTATTTTTCTCTCTTGCAATGATGTAACTTCTCTCGATTTTTATTTACTTATTCATGACTCGATCATAGGCAAGGAAGTGAAAAACCTTAGCAAGGAAATCCTGTTTCATGTAGAATAAATCGCCTCCTCTTCTTATCTATCTCCAAGCAAAAGAGACTTATATGCTTTTAGAGCGTTCTTGTTTATAATAAAATTCAAGCTTTGCTTCTCCAAATTCAAAGAGTTTCAAGGATTAAATCATTTAAAGGAATACGGTCTCCAGGCCTCTGTGTACCATGATAAAGAATGGTGCCATGTGAGTGACAGTGTAGGGAAGAGGGAACTGAGGAAACAAGAGACAACTACAAACAGTGTAAGCAGGGTTCACTACAATGTATCTCTAAAATCTCAAGGGTTCATATGTATGTGACAGTAGGCACCTTGACATGAAAATTTCCACGAGCTCAGTTCAAACCATTTAAATTATATCTTATTATTACCAATAACTTACCCATCAAAGTTTGCACTTGTACAAGTTAGAATGTTTTCTTTGTTGTTTTTTAGTCTCAAGAACTTCTCACAATTTTCACAACCATCATATTCAAACTGCTCAAGGGTCTGTAAACAAAACAGATTCATTTACTATGGTTGGCAATAAAACAGCCCGAAAAAGGTACCGCAAGTTGGATTTTACATAACATACTTACATGCCATTAATACCTGAGGTTTTGTAGTTAGAGACACGATTTTCAGGGGAATCTTACAGTCTCATGATGAGGCACAAAAATCTCACTATAAACAGAGTCACAAGCTGATGGTATACACTTTCCTTGAATATTCTCATTTTTGCCTTGTACAATTGATTTCATGGCGCCAATTCTGTAGAAATCCACAGTTCTAAGGAATGTTTGTCATATTTGATTGATTGGTTGACAAGACACGAACCTCACAATCATATTTATTTAGACAAATGCCAAGTAAGGTTATTGTTAACCAGTTTGTCGCATCTAGATACGTTTCATCCACGTTGTCAAAATGGCAGAAATTGACGAATATTCATCGGACAAAGTTCCAGTTCCGTTCTTTATTTTGATGAACACCTGGTCTTAATTCTTTTTGATGCTGTCAATAATCTTCAAGTTTCTCCCCAAAATTCCAGGTTCTCGGACCTTGATCTCCTGGTTATTGGTCATTTGGGGTTGAGAGGTTTCCATGGCGGCCGTGTTGGTGGTCAAGAACTAAAGCATTTCTCTCCTCTGGGAACTAAACCCTATTTTCATGTAAATTCTTCGCGAGAAAAAATCTACCGTTTTGACCCCCAACATGGTCGCCTTGTCACGTGGTTGCAAACCAAGAATTAGTGCTTACACTTTTAAGACAAAGTATATGTAGATAAGTTCACTAAGGCTGCTTCAGTCTCTTTGAGCGAAAGAGAGGCTCTGCTAGCATGATGAGTTAAATTAAGCTCACAAAGAAGCTTACAGAGTGATTCTGAAACGAACGCAATGTCTGTATATAGCATATTAAAAAGTTAAATTATTTTTACAGTTAACTTCCTATTACAAGCATAAAAAAATGGATAACAGCTTGAGTTATATAACAGAAACTCGTTCCTCACATACTGTAAAATCTCCAGTACTCTATCACGTCAGAATTTCTTACCTTGACCAAAGAACAAACCAGACAAGCTCGGAGATTTCTCAACTCTTTCGGAACACTCTCCATCTTCGATTGATGCTTCCAATAATGCCTTTACTTCTCATGCGCTAGTTCCAATCCCCTCTCTAATGTTCGACCTTTCAAGATGGCGACTACCTTGAACAAGAAGGTCTTGAACTTTAATATCGGAGTTCTTGGGCATATTGACAGTGGAAAAACGTCTCTTGCTAAAGCCTTGAGCTCGACCGCTTCAACAGCTTCTTTCGACAAGAACCCCCAGAGTAAAGAGCGTGGAATAACCCTTGATCTGGGCTTCTCCTCATTCCAAGTTCCCCTCCCAGAACATTTGAAGCAACACCCCTATGACCTACTGCAATTTACACTGGTGGATTGCCCAGGACATGCATCTCTTATTCGGACTATCATTGGAGGCGCTCAGATCATTGATATGATGATGCTGGTGGTGGATGTCACTAAGGGAATGCAGACCCAAACAGCTGAGTGTCTTGTGATTGGAGAGATCCTGTGTGAGAAGATGGTGGTGGTATTGAACAAGACCGACTTACTTAAAGAAGAAAAGAGGGATGCTTTAATTGAGAAGGTAATTGATTGATGACAACTGAGCCCTTCATAGTAGCCTGGGAAAACAGCCGTATTTCCTCGCTGCTCGCCAGGAGAGATGTTTGTGACTTAGCAACAGAAATTCCGTACTGATGACATAAAATCTGTCCACAATCTGGCCAGGAGCTCTGATTGGTGGACATAGTAGTTACATTGTTTTAGCTATATTGTTTACGAATGATAGATGATAGACAAAAGGCCACCAAGGTCAAGTGTAAATTGGATGAATCTATAACAAAACAGTCAATATTCGTGGAATGTATTCTTCTCTAGAAGAAGCATTCGAGTTTTGCTGGGGCTCATTCACAGATGAATACAAAACTTTCTCAAACTCGACCAGGAGAAACATAAAATCAAACAAATTTGCATTTGGAACCCCATGACTATCAGATCAATTATGTAAACATTGATTTACATCATCAGTGTGGAATGTCTGTCTAAGATGCAGATGTCTCTCCTGGCGAAACACCCCAAGTGGCAAGGAGCGAGGAGAAACAGCTGTTTCTGCAGACTAGCTTTATAGTTTTCCTGACCTGCCAACCTACAGCAAAACAAACTGAAGATTTGGAAAAATTTTGGCCACTAAAACAAAAGAAAAGAAAACCTAGGGATATGTGCTAGGCTTCTGAGGTGGGACCTACAGTTTATCATCCTTATCAGAGAAGACTAGAGAGACCAACTGTTTGCAGATGTCTTTACAGAGGCAGCCCTTTCTCCTTGTTATTTAACGACAATGAGTGTTGGTCCAGTTCGGTTTGGGTGGCTTTCCTATATTCAAGGCCCTTTTTACTTTGCTCATTCGGTTCCCCAGTCTCCTTTATGGGGAACTAAGGCCTGTTTCAAGCATTGTGCTGCTGCCGTGCCCAACTTAATTGATCAATTTAAATTTGCCCTTGGCATGACGTTTGAATCCAACAAAAAGCTTCGCCGATTAGTTACCTCTGAGTCTCAGTGGATGTTAAAACATTGTCAACTATCAACTTTGTGAGTTTTGTCGTTCGAAAAAAATCTTTTCAAAAAATAGCTGTTTTGGTGTTTCAGTGTTTCCTTTTGCTGTTTCATGGTTTAGTAATGTCTCTTACTGGGTGGCAGTATATAATAACTGATATTAATAACTGTTACTAAAAATATGTGCCTCACAGAACCTTTCACTGAAAGATTTAAAGCATTTTTGTAGTTTACATGTATTTAATTATTAAAAATTAGACTTGCCGTATTAAAAGAGAAAATAATGTTTGTGTCACACCATTGTGAATTTATATCTGTAAGCATCCTTCAAGCTTTAAGATTAATTATCTTGTGTAGTTATTATTGATCAACTTAATGGTAGACTAATATAAAATTAATTCATTCAGTGTCTCACATTTTCTTTGCACCTTTGTAGATGACCAAAAAAATGGCAAAGACATTGGAAAACACGAAATTTGCTGGTTCACCCATTCTAGCAGTATCAGCCAAGCCTGGAGGACCTGATTGTCCAGACTCCGAGCCTGTTGGTACTCAGAAGCTCATAGATTTACTCTCATCATTGTCATACCTTCCAATCAGAGATCCATCAGGACCTATGGTCTATGCTGTTGATCACTGCTTCTCTATTCGAGGGCAGGGCACTGTAATGACGGGAACTATTCTCAGCGGTAGCATTAAGGTTAATGATACAATAGAGATTCCCTCCATGAAGGTCACCAAGAAAGTCAAGTCAATGCAAATGTTCAGAGTTCCTGTGACAGAAGCATCTCAGGGTGACAGGGTTGGGATATGCGTGACTCAGTTTGATCCAAAACTTCTGGAAAGAGGGTTGGTTTGTAGTCCATCAACTATACCAACAATTTTTGCAGCCATTATCTCAGTTAAACATATCCCTTACTATAAAGGAACTATCACCTCTAAATCTAAGTTCCATATTACCATTGGTCATGAAACAGTGATGGGTAAGCTTCAAGTGTTTGGCCTTCCTCCTGGTCAGTCAGTTGATCCCCCTCAAGACAGCAAATCCTTTGACATGAGTAGGGAGTATGTTTTTCAAGAAGCAATCATGGAACAATCAAGTCATTCTGCCAAATCAGCTGATAAAGAAAGAGAAGATACTGAAAGTAATCCTGTTCCAAACCAACAATGGTTGTTCATTGAGTTTGAGAAACCAGTTACCTGCCCAGAACATTCTTTGGTGATTGGGTCACGACTTGACACTGACATACACCTGAACGTCTGTAGAATCGCATTTCATGGTCAATTGTTAGTACCTGTAATGGACAAGAACTATACAGAAACCTTCTTGCCACAATTAAAAGTCTACAAGACCAAGGCAAGGGAAGGTGTTGTTGAAAGGATGGCGGATGAGTACTCTGTAATTGCTCACTCTCTTTTTAAGAAGGAAACAAATATCCAAACTTTTGTCGGGATGAAGATTAGACTAACAACAGGAGAGGAAGGAATGATCGAAGGAGCTTTTGGTCAAAGCGGCAAAGTGAAGATCAGGATTCCCAGTGGCTTGTCTGCTGATACTATCCCCAAACTTTCTTCTGGTGGAAAGAAAAGAGGTGGAAAAAATAAGGGGGCTGCCATAACTAGTCCAGAAGTTACTGGCGATTCTGTTGAACAGCTTACAACAGCTGTCAAAGTAATCCTAGAGTTTAAGAGATACAGCTATGATCCTCAGAAGAAAATGATTCAAACGTAAGCAGACTGACTTTGCTTGAAATTTATTATTGTAAACAAGTAACTTGACAACAAACAATAGTAAAATTAAATAATTGATTTTGTGAAAGATTGTTAAAATGTTTCATAGAGTACTGGTAGAGGTGGACAGGAAATATTAAGGAGACAAAGCCCATTACAAACCTAGGTAACTACATGTACACTGTAACATATGTTAGTGTTGAATCTTGTAGGTGAAGTTGGTGTAATAAGTTGTAATAAAAAAGCGCTATTTTAACTGTGACAGTTTATAACAACAAGAAAAATTTTCCAATGTTGTATTCTTTATATTTACCCAAGATATCTTTACAGCAAGATATGCTAATATTGCATTGTTTTGGTTTTATGCATAGCTACTACATTTTATATGTTTCATGTTTTTACTCTTCATACCTAGAGTCAAAGATCTATGTGGTTTTAATATTCAGCTCCCAGCAAGTTCGAAGCTATTGAAATGAAAAGGATTTTTACTTTCATGTACATAAAACTCATTTTCACAGGAAAGGTTTTGCATTTAGCCTCGTTTTGAAAATGAGAGTTTTAAGAACTCAGAAGTGGCCATTGAGCGACACAATAAAGTTTAAAATAATGCAAATTCATTTTTTCAGAGTAACTTTTTTTGATGTTTTCTCCTCCGTGCTACCGTCGTGGTTGCTCATGCTACTTAATGTACTCATGGAGGACGTTTTGTTATCGAACAGCATTGGCGGATCCCGGCGGCCGCCCCCCTTAATTTTAGAGCAAACTGAGGCCCAAACGGCCGAAAAAAATTCCCCCCCCCCCCTCACCCCCGCAAGGTCTGGGTCCGGCACTGAACAGTGACTTTCTGGAACCTATTTGGAACAATTTTTACCTTGAACATTGTCAATTATTTTAGAAAAAGGGTGTCAGCCAAAACCAAAGTAAGGCTCCAGACTGCACGGGATCCATTTTTGTTTTCTGTTTCATGCCTTGTGTCGGGGAAAAACCAACAGAAAGTGAAACCTCCGAGTAGGGGTTTTACCCAACAAATTGGCAAAAGCAGGTGGTTCAAAGCACCACTGAACCATGAAACCAGTTTCTAATTATAGACAAAAGGAAAGTTTCTGGTATAATTCCCCTCTTAGATTTTTGATTTAGTTGCACTTTCCACCGTTGGGCTCGTCCGTTGAAAGAGGAAAACTTTGAAGCACAAACTAATATGCTCTGTAGAGGAAACTTTAATAATTCAACAAACCGGGTTTTTATTTTGTAAACTCTTCGTTGGTATATCGGCTTGAAATATTTTTGTGTATGACGTGAGCTAAACCTTCAGTCTTGTTTCCTAACTTGTGGTCTATGAAGACTTCACGACTCCTTACTTTAGAAAAATATCAGCGACGAATGCGGCAATGTTACGCCTATTTAGAGTGCTTTGTAATGAGGACAAAGAAATATGCTTAATATGCGTCTTCCCTGAATATAAGAAAAACGTAAACAATCAGTTTTCTATCCTCAATTTTGGTAAACGGGACTAGTTGGAATTCGATCGAAGCAAAAACTTGAGTTAAAAATTTTTGTCGACTGTCCCTTAAAGTCAGTTTTCCATGATTGTTGGTTTTGGCGACTTTTAGACAGGTCTGGGATTCAAAATCACGTGGAATCACGAATAGACTATTAATTCTATTGTCGACTTCCTGCTTCTATACATAGATATAACGAAGTGCTGCAGTTGCAAAAATCCTTTTAAATAACAAGTTGCTGGCAGGAGTTCAGCGTTATCGGATCGCTATAGTTTCCTTAGTACAGTTAGTTTTCAGTAATTCTACAGGGTCCTCTCTGTGAGTCAACGAGTCAGTTCGTTTACACATGTGTATTAAAGCAAGTGTAACTGGAATTTGAGGGTGGTACGTACAAGCAGGAGCAAGATCCAAAGAAATCAGAGGACTTTCCAAAGTCGTCTTTCTGTGATTTGGTTAGTAGCAGAATTATATAACGTCAACGGTACCATTTTCAATGACTTTGCAAGGATCAGACGCTTTAAGGTAAGTTTTTTTTTTTTTTAATGTTTAGTTGATCTAAATTAAAGGAACATTCAACGCCGGTTTATAATTTTGATCGCGGGGCTACTCAACGACTGTTTTCTGTAAAATATCTGCTCGGAGAAGCAAAAATTGCCCAGAATTTTCTAGAGCTTGAGAAAGGCTAAACATTTCTAGATGACCGTTTCATTCATGTTCAATTTTCGTAACATATCTAATAAATTCCCCACGATTTTCTAAAGTTTAACTTTTCGCATTTCAGTACACAAGTTAGCCTATTTTTCGTAGAAAAAGGAAACCTAACATTTTCGGATTCAAAAAAAATGCGATTAAGAGAGGAATCAGAAAAATTCTCACTTTCGTAAAACTTAAAACTGCATCTAAAATTTACGGGAAAATAATAGGAGGCCCTTGTAGTCTCGAAAAGACTCAAGTTGCCCTTGGACGACCGAACAGATACAAATTTTATAGCGCCGCTTAGATGCGTGTTTTGAAGTGTTTCCAATGGGTTGGTGACCTGTTGGGTGACCTGTGATCGGCTCGCCTTTCCGGGAATTGCTGAAGCCCCCGGTTATTTTTTGTCCGAGAGAAGCGTTCTGATTTGCTTCAATTCGCCTTACGTGGAAAACAGACCAAACAAGCCTGACGAAGGATCGAGTTTAAAACTGAAATATCGGGCACACTATAAGAAACAAACTATTTCTAAATTTTGTTTTGTTTCGATATTTTTCTCCCCATTTAAAAAGATCAGTTTGCCGAATGATGCGTCCTCTCTTGCGCGAGATGATTGGACACTAATATTCCCAGCCCCCTCTTGCTTTTGGGATAATAAAAAGCACGTGACCTACGTTTTGGCATAAAAAGATGCGCATGTGTCAAACTCAGAGTCATGCCGGAAAATGGTGGATTGATGTGTGCTGGAGAGAGTTTCCGTTTCTCTTCAGCGTTTATCGCTGACTTCGGAGAAAATGAGTGAAGCCAACGAACCAGACTTCTTCGGACAAGACCTCCTTTCAGAGGCTTTGGGACAAAGTGGCCTGAATCTCGATGAATTCTTTGGAAATGCACCCGGCAATGTTCTGTCCCAGGCAATTTTTGATGTTGGTGATATTGGGCCAAACGATTCCGACTTCCTCGATAACATAAATCTGGGTGAAAATTTGAGTCAGGACTCTCCGTTTATAACTTTTGCAGCTCAAAATAATGGTCCAATTTCTTCTAGTTCTGCGAGTACCCTGGAAAAACCACAAGTGACGGGAATCCAGACAACTTTTTTAGACCTACAAGAAACACTAGGTCTTCCTGACCTCATTTCTCAAGGAAGTATTTTTGACAGTCCTGGTCAGAGTTTGCTAACTAGTCAAAGCCGGCAAGGTGCATCAAAAATATCTTCTCCTTTAGGTTTACAAAGACTGCAAAACTCGAATTCTTCACCGTTATTGCTTAATTTATTGAACAGTGAGAATTCTTCATCTTCCAGCGTTGCAAACAGCTCCAACGATACCAAGAGGGAATTAACGAAAAAGTAAGTTTCAAACTAACTTATTACCATGTTAGGTGTTGTGAATCATTTAACTTTTTTGTAAACTTGTAGTATTCATCTTTTTCAAAGTTGTTTTTGTCATGTGTTTTGAACGAGTACAAATTTAGTTTCTTTTTTATTGTTTTGTTACTTGCCACTTCCTGTCTAAACTGTGGTCTTATTTCCGGTTTGATTTTATCCATTGTCCTTGAGAAGAGAAGATCTGGAAGTTAATAAAATTAACAGTCTTATTCCTAATGGACAAGAGACATATATATATTCAAGCGCAGCAATGGGAATATCTAGGTTATCACTTGATTTAGAGGTTATTTTTGTAGTGTTGTCCCCATTTGTAAACTGAAAGGCGCTCTCACTTGTAACAATAGTTTGATGCAAGTCAAATTTGTTTCTTCTATTCAGACGTACTGCTCAGTCAATCAATATTATTTATATCCAAATTAATGATGCAATAGTTTTTATTTATACACTATGACTGTTAAAGTGTTTGCCCTCGGGATAATGGGGTGTTCCGGAGGTGTGGTCCCATACTTTAAAAACCTCAAACCTCAGTGTTGTAGGTCCAGGTTCAAGCCTTGATTTGTTGTTTTATTAGAAAAAATAAAACATGGCTTTTTTATGTCTTTCTTCACCCAGTTTTATAATTGGGTATCAGCAACATCCTGCAGGTTGCAACCCTGTCCGGGTGGAAGTGGCAATACAGTAAAACGCTGCGAAGAAGAACCTAGATTTTTTGAAGTTTAGCAAACAGGGTTCTCAATAGATTTTTAAGTTGGAACTGATAAATTCTTAAAGTTTGGAGGTGTCAAAACAAAAAAAGAAAAGCGACTTAAACACAAAGTATTGGAAGTTTATTGAGAACCCTGAAAAAGGTTTTGGAGTAATTTTTAGGAATTTTTATGAAGAAGGATACTGTCGTTGATTACAAGAAATTGCTATAAATGGTATTTGTCCTTCATAATAGGCATTTATTTACCAAAAATCTAACAAAACTAGGTTAACAGCTAGAAGATATGCAGTTTTCAACAATGGTTGTATACATTATACATTTATTATATAATGTAATATAAATTTCCCATAATAAAGCCAGACCTTTGGTCAAAATGTTTATGAAAATGTAGTCTAATCCCACAAATAAGAACCTGTTAATTTTTCTTGGCTAAACTGGTTCTTTTATTTTGGAGTATTAAAATGACAAATTTCTGCCAGCAGGTTCTCAAATCCTAGGTTGGTTCTTTGCGGCGTTTTACTGTGCTCCGAAGTGCTTCACATAACTAGTACTGTGCTCACCTTAGAAAACAGCTGACATTTCACGACACCACCAATGGTTTCCCGATAAAATGGCATCTAAGGAATGAGCCAGATATTCCCTACTGATGATGTGTCACTATCCAGTTCTGGGTAGTACTTTTGATTGGTCATGCTGCAACGGAAATTTCCTTCAAAGAATCAGAAGCAGTACCCAGATCTGGAAAGTGACACATCATCAATATGGAATTTCTGCACTTGTTCCTCAGACATCATTTGGCAGGGAAACCTGTGCTGGCGTCATGAAAAATGGGCTGTTTTCGTAGGCTAGCACTGTGCTATTTTTGCTAGTGAGAGGTGTTGAATGGGCACCTCCTGTAGTTAATTAACTGCTCCCCTTAAAGATTAATGAAAGCCACATCAACTAGTTGGAAAATTTATAAAGCACCTTACCCATAATATTGAAATATGTTCACAAATGAACTAACAGAGCAAATTTGTGAAAACAATGTGGATTTTTAAACGTTTTATTTTAACTCAAAGTAATATTGAATAAAAATTTTGATTTTGTGAAGAGTAAGATTGTATGGTGTTGATGTAGTGGTAACTGTGTGGCCATATTTTCTTTGTAAAGGTGATAAAATCAAAACTTGTCTATGTCCTAGCATTTAAAGTAAATTTTTACTGCCTGTAAATGTCACAATTTGCCCTGGAAATGACATTCTTCAAATGACATTTCCCTATTTGAAAATGTTTTGCCAAGCATGAATAGCACTAAGTTTTTCAAAGCTTTTATTAGAATTCAAAATCAAATTAAACTGTATTTGTTCATGACTTAAGTTGAATTGAACTTTTAGGTGCTCTAATTACTACTTTTAGATAAAATTAATGCTTGTGAATCTGAGAGTAAGCATTTATTTGGAAAGGTTCCATGAACAGCCTGTTGTTTTAAGCTGAATGTAAATTGCAACTTGACAATGTGATAATTATTGCATGTGTCTATTTATGGGTCAAGTAGTAATTTTATATTTTACTTTCTAATTTTGTGAGATTTGCAAAACGTTTTGCTTTTGTCATCAACTTATTTTATGTTATTTTATTTCAGAGATGTTTCAAGGTTGTGGTCAAATCATGATGTTACATTAAACCAGGTCTCAGAGGTGGGTTAATCTGGTTGGTTTTGGCTGAAGTTTCAGATGAAACACTTGCATAAATCGCAAATCAAGGCATTTAAGTTGGCTCAATCTATCTTTGATCCTCTTATACGTAAACCGGTTGATATTTTTTGGAAATCCATCATAACACATAGATTACACATTGGCTGAACTATGTTATGATAGAATTTTTTGTGCAATCTGAATGAATATCACGTGACAATGATGTTACATATCTGTTTTAGTTCTTAATAGAATGAATTATTTCAGCTCAATTTTGGTTTAACAGTTATAAACTACTTTGTGTTATTAACAGTTCCACTTACATGTGAATTTGTGAAAAGAATGACTTTTAATAGACTGGATGAGAGGTAACTGATTGTAGAATGTTTGACAATTTAGGTTGATGGTGCTGCAAGCCATGAAGATGAGGAAGATGAAGAAGAGGACGAACTTGGTCACACAGATACCTACGCTGTTTATGTGCCTAGTAAATGTAAGATTAGCCTTTGTGTATGATAGTACTCTGGTAGCAAAGGAAATACAGGTGGTGCACCATGAGATTAATATATTCTTTTAACAATTCAGAGCAAATAATATACAAATGATATATTTGTAGGCAGCAAGATTACAATATCAACAACAGTTGCTATTGTGTTTAGTATTATTTCCAATCTATACAGTGGTTTTACATAAATTATATGAGTTAAGTAATTTAAGTGAGTTATTATTTTATTGCATGACGTTGCCTTATGTATTACTGACTTGAGGGTGTCATTCTCCATTAACTGCTTTTAACAATTGTGTTGTAAAATCAGTGCAAGTCTTCAAGTGAAACTTCCATTCTCTTTGAGTAGGTTGTTTGTTTGTTTTTATTTATTTGTTTACAAGGTTGTGCTTTATATTACAGTGAGAATAGGAAGACGTCATCCAGATCCTGTCGTTGAAACAAGGTAATAAGATTAATTTAATTAGAACAAGGAGCAGTGAATAATGGTGTGTTTTAGTGTGATAGGAACCCAAAGAAAGGTGCCACGCAGTGTGCAAGCTGCGCAACATTAAACGAGCCTGCTCGGAGTTTGAAAAAGAAACATCAGAAACTATATGTATTCAAAAGAAGAGATCAGTATTCTGGCCAGGAAATTTCCTTGAGTCAATACTGGGCAGACTGTACTTCAGAGGATTGTTTGTTGCATCGATAGGTTAAATTTTATTTGTAACTGCCGTTGTAAACTGAGCTCCTTTGAGCGCAATGCTGTAATCCTCCTTTGGTGATTAGCTTCACAGCGTAGCGGTTGTTTTGTTGGAGCCACTTTTTAGATCAGTCATGGTTTCGGTTCTCCTAGTGAACCTTATCAGTTGCCCAGTCTTATGCTTTGTGTTTAGTTGCGACCAAGTGCACAAGTAGTTCTCGACAGATCAGTGAAACACATGCATGTAAAACCCTTCAAAGTAACGCTGAAATTATCTTTTAAAGCACAGTGAATATTCTCAAAAGCAGAAGCTGCTGAACCGAAACATGTTTGAAAACCATCCACATTGAGCACTGCGATGTTCATTTCGCGCATGCTGAAGAATACTGGTCATGATATGTCACATACTCAGTGATAATATAACATGAAGTGAGGTGCATCATGGGATACTATTTGATCGTTGTCTGTAGGATGAGTAAAAGTTTGCTCAAAATGAGGTTTTCAGTAAAAGATCGTGGATCAAATGAAACACTAGGCAAGGTTGAAGCAGATTTCTAGATGTATCTGACCCATAAATTTGATTTCAGCTTGAGGTAAACACTTTTCAAACTTGCAAAAGTAGTGGCCAGGTCAGCACGGTCCCATAGCTGACTGTGTCCCTTTAAATCATTTTTGCAAAGATTTTGTGGTTGAGCAAAACCTCACTCGTCTAAAGGACGATTTTTGGAGTTATCTTAATCGTCTGTGCGAGATTGTGGTCATCTGGGATGATTAGTCGACTGCGAATATGGATCCCTGCAATATTTAAAACAATTGTTAAAATCAATCCTACTTTGTTATACTCTCTTAGTCATTTCTCCCCCTCTCCTTACTAGAAATAAAAGAAGGAAAGATTTACCATAAATTATTGTTGTATTTCTTACAGTTCATTATCAAGTGTGACTCCTCCTAACATTTGGTATCGCCTTGTGCTACCTCAAGAAGTTATTGACTACTGTTACTTGTCAGCATTACAGCTGGAAGCCATTGTCTATGCTTGTCAGCAGCATGAGACGTTCTTAGCAGATGGCAGCAGAGCTGGATTTTTAATAGGTAATTTGTATTTATGTTTGTAGAGGTTCAGCCTTTTACAGCTACAACTGTGCAGTGCCTGTTTTTACCATGCCACTACTTTCTGTAAGTAAGTAAACTTTTTTCCAAATGTTTTATTTTTACATGTTTTTGGCACTAGTTTTGGCTCCAGCATCAGCTATTTCTTTGATTAAGGTCATTAATATTGAACAACTGCATAGTTGATAGTTGCCAAGTTTGTCAAAGTCATTACTTTACTGGTACTTTTTTATATTTAACCCATTCTCCCCTGAACCGTCCGTAACCATCTGTGCAGATCCACTTCCCTTCTACTGTTTGTGATGTCATCATTTTCACCATGTTAAATGTTTCACCATGTTTTGCACCCAATTAGAAAATGTTTTTCTGTAACATGTGCACACTTAGTGAAAACAATGATAATTCAAGCAGATTTTTTATTACAAAAAGCTTGTAGTGTCCAGAGATGTTTTGACATAACTTCATTTTATTACTGGACAGACATGGTAAAGAAGTTGTTGATTAGAAGAAGCCTGCATTAATGAAGGAACTGAAAATTCTGGAGACTTAAATGCTTTGCTGTGGCACTTATATAATTACGGGAGTGAAAGAAATAATGGAAGTGCTGCTAACAGATATTGGAACTTCTCAGTAACTTTTTAGTAAAAACAGAACTTGGTTCTTTACAGGTGATGGTGCTGGTGTTGGTAAAGGAAGAACTGTAGCAGGTAATACATGATAAAAATTAATACTATTGACATAATGTTTCTCTGTTTACGCTGTATGTTGCCTTGTCTCACTCGATCAGTGCAAGGGTGATGAATATTTTTAGGTGCCTGTTTTTGTATGAGTATCACCAGTAACAAGATACTCGCTGAGTTAACAATAATGTATTTTAACTCTTTTCTTTCTTTCTCCTAGGAATCATTTATGAGAATTATTTGCTTGGAAGAAAAAGGGCTATTTGGTATGTGTTCTGTATGTTGTTGTTTAGTACAGTTCTTTTACACTCAGTGTTTAACCATCTTATTTGTTTAAATCCTCCCTTAGCAGTATGTTGGCTATGTGTAGAGGATTGCTATTTTGTTTTCTTTTATTAATTGCTGTGCTTTTTGTTTGTTGACAGGTTGAGTATTTCAAATGATTTGAAATATGATGCTGAAAGGTAGGTTGGGGCAAATTAACTATGGCACTACACTGACCACTGTCTTGAGCTCTTGCTGTGAGAGAAGCTTGATAACTTCGACCCCAGTTGGATGACTTTGTTGTTTAATCATGGTGATATGTAATGTAAATACAGTGAAACCCCGTCTTACGGCCCTCTCTGTAATACGGTAACATCGTTATTACGGCCACTTTATTTTGACCACTTGGCCAAACGGCCATACATTTTCTTGTAAAAATACCCTCTTTAATACAGTCACCCGTTAATACGGCCAAATTTTTTGGCCCATTGGTGACTGTATTAATGGTCTTCCACTGTATGTAAAATTAACAAAGGCTGTGGTAGTTTGCCTTTTGCCTCGCAAAGCTGCCAGTTTTGTGTGGAAAACAAAAAAAAGCATTGGAGGAATACAGCAGATGACTTTAAATAAGTTAGGTATAGTTATGCACTTAACACTAGCTGTTGACTTTGCTATTTTCCAAGTTTTCAACTTTTTCTCCCTTAGGGATCTGAGAGACATTGGATGTAGTAATATCCATGTGTTCTCACTAAACAAGGTAACTCTATATTAACTCTTCCATTACATTTAGTGAAAGTTCTAGTAAAAGAGATGTGATCAGGAATATGTGCATGGAAGCTGTTGTTACGTTATTATGGCTAGAAGTGCTATTGTATGCTCCACAATGATAGTAATGTATAGTATTTGATCTTTCTTTAGTTCAAATATGATGCTAAAATTTCTTCCAAAGTTAATGGCAAATTTAAAAAGGGTGTTGTATTTGCCACATACTCATCCCTTATTGGTGAGAGTCAGGCTACTGGCAAGTACAACTCAAGAATGAGCCAGCTGCTACACTGGTGTGGACGAGACTTTGATGGAGTGGTATCCTTTTAAAATCGCAATGTGTCTGTTCTTGTACATCTTTCTTAGGGTAGGAATTGTAGAGAAAATAACTTGAAACATTTCCAGCATTTTTGTTACAAAAAGGTTTTTCACCTGCTCTGGCAGACATTTAGTATAGAAAATTCCAAAACTCAGAGAAAAAATTAAGAAAATGAAGCAACCTTTCACAAAATGAAGCAAATAGTTCGTCCAAATCACTTGGACTTCATCAGTGTTGTGAATTGACAGGTGACACGTAACAATTCTCTCTTGGGGATTCATGACTTTTCTGTTGTGCAACCTGTCAATTCACAGCATCTAAGTGATTTGGACGAAATATTTGTTTCATTTTCTTAATTTTTGCTCTCAGTTCTGGAATTTTCTAAACTAAGACTAGTGTTGTTGTTGTTGTTATATAGTGTAGGCACCCGTAAATAACTTGTTCTGTTTTCCTCTTTACTTTACTAAACACTCCTTGTATTTTATAAAGTCTTTTTCTTTAGGCTTTGCTCATTTGCTCCCCACCCCCTGCCCCTGGCAGGGAAGTCATGTACATTTGTCAACTTTATCCAGTATGAGTAATCACAACGAAGTTTGAAACAACTCAAATTCATTTTTTTAAAAGCGAAATTTTGGTTGGTGCTGTCATCATGGTATCCTAAACTCCCTATTGACATGAGGGGGTAGGGCAAAGATTCATACTGTATTTTATAGCCAGTGCACAGAACATTTTTCAACTTTTTAGTGGGATTTCTCTGTTCATTTGCTAGTGTCCTGTGTGCAGCGACGTTCAGTATCAGGGTTAGAAATTTCCGTAGACAGTCTAGGCTTCTGTAGTTTTTTTAACTTGACTCCCTGAATAGATAATATTGGATGAGTGTCACAAGGCCAAGAACTTAGTTCCTACTGGGTCATCAAAGCCCACTAAGACTGGACTTGCTGTGTTGGAACTGCAGAATAAACTTCCAAAAGCCAGGGTGGTCTACTGCAGTGCAACAGGTATGGAATAATGTTAGTAAACCTAATTCAAAACTAGATGGACTTTTGAGACAGTGTATCCTTTGTTGTGACCATAATATAGAGAGGTGCCTGTGTTATTCAGAGGTAGTCCCTTATACAGTGAAATAACCAACCAGCTCTTACAGCTTTATCTCCACTCCAGAAAGGAAATATCTACCTTACAGGGCCATATGCTTTTTGTTTGTATAGTAGCCTTAGTAAGGTGAAGTCACACATATAAATGTTGATGTTGTCTGTTTTGTTATAAATGATGATTTTTTTATTTATAATAATTATTTTTCAATTACTTATTGTGGTGCAGTTCTCACTTTTTGTCACTTCCACTTTTGAATTGGATCTGTGTTGGTCTGTTGATTATACATGTAACTACAACTTAATGCTTTTATCAACTGTTTTGTTTTTGTCATTTAGGTGCCTCAGAACCCAAGAACATGGCATACATGTCTCGCCTTGGAATATGGGGACTAGGAACTCCTTTCAGAGAGTTTAGTGATTTTATTCAAGCTGTAGAAAGAAGGTAAATTAATTCCTTGGAGTGTTTAAAACCTCAATTAACTGCTCTGTGATTGCAGGCTAGATAAAAAAGAGGCATTATTATTTAGTCTCGAACTGTAGCAAGTCAGCAATGTAGAGGCCCTTGAGAAGGCTGGGATCACTAGCATCAGGGCCACCCTCATATAAACACAACTTTGCCGGGCAGAACAGCTCTCTAGAATTCCTGAAAAATGCATGCATGCATTCATCCAAGCATTGGACTGTGCTAAGGTTGCTGATAGAAGTACTTGGTATCTTGCCATCCATGGAATTACCTCAGATCTATTAATATTATTAATATTATAAGGAAGACAAAAATCAAACCAATTTGAAGAGTTTTAAGCTAAAGAAAAATTTGAACCATATCTTGTGGTAAATAGGTATAACAACAATCTGTTTGCTTGCAGAGGAGTTGGTGCCATGGAAATAGTTGCCATGGATATGAAGGTGGGTAATGAACCAAAGCTGTGAGTCGTATAATACTTATTATTTATATTAGTTTTATATTCTGCACAAATTAAATGCAATGTATCTGTTTGGTGAATTTTTGAACTTCCCTCAGGCACATCCTGAAGAGTTGGACATTTTTTGGCATGTTTTGCAAATTTACCCATTATGAACAACAGTATTCAATATAACTGCCTGTAGTTTTCTAGTTTCTCTTTCATTAAAATTCATCCACTTGATTCCTTCTTTTCAGCTTCGTGGAATGTACATGACTCGTCAACTGAGTTTTAATGGGGTAACATTTGATATCAAAGAGTTGCCTCTGACAAAAGACTTCACTGACATGTATGATGCGTCAGTAAAACTTGTAAGTAGTGATGAAAGGTTGTTTCTAATACCTAGGAGTGTTGTAACTAGAGGTTACAAATAAAATATTGTAAGTATAATGTTGCAAGCAGATTCTGGGCAGTAAAACAACATCTGATAAAATTTGATCTGATACACACAGTTTGCTAATTACAGACCTTTTATTAAGTCAATTAACAGTTATGGAATAAGGTTTTACAAGGGAGTCCTACCGCCAAGGGTTCTTTGGGTCTTTATTGTTCAGTTTCTTTACAGTCATATGAAAATAATTTGAAACTGTTTTTGTGCACCTGAATGTGCGAAAATTGGTGCAATTAGAATAATGCAATTAGAGTGTTATGATCATTAAGTTATGAGGACTTCGCTGGATGCACTTGCTAAAATTCATGCAGATCACCAGAGTCTTTTCCGTTAATTATTTGCCAAAAGTCATCCTGAAAATCATTACAAAATCATTTGCCTGAATCACTGTCAACTGCAAGGATCCAGTCTTGAATATAGAGACAGACATCAAGATGCATTCTTTGGTTTTTTAAATGTACTAAGGTGTATTAAAGTCCTTTTCATTCACTTTCAGTGGACTGAGGCCAGGGAAAAGTTTGAGAAAGCTGCAGATTTGATGGCAGTTGACAACAGAACGAAGAAAACCATTTGGGGTCAGTTCTGGTCAGCTCATCAGGTCAGCAAACAGTTTATCATTGTTGTTGTTAATTTTTATCTCAGGTAATTTTTGTTTTTCTTTTGTTTTTGGGTATGGTAATGTATGCTAATAAAGTTGAAACAAAAGAAAAACAAAAGTTACCCGAGATAAAAGATTAACTACAACATCATCTCAGTTTAGCTTTATATATTTGTTACAGGTCCAAATCTTATCCAAGTTATTTTTTTTTTCACCTTGGTTGATTCTCAAGAGACCTTTTTAGCCTGTATGTTTTGTTTTCCCATTTCAGACCACATGATGTTATCCCCAGAGAACTGCCGTCCTATGCACATGCATCCACGTGTATATGTATGCCTAATTAGTGAAAAGACAAAAGCCAAATTCCCTAGAGAATATCACATGGTCTAAATTGGGAAAACAAAACATATAAGCTAAAAAGGTGATTCATGAACAATTTTGCTTGATCAGGACTAGACGGCAAAGAAATTGAGAATCAACCTACATGTAGGATGAAAAATTTTAACCTGAATTTAATTTTGACCTGTAAAATATTCACTAACCTCACTGCTTTTAAAGAAAAAGTATGTACAAGATGATAGCATTTGCAAGGCTGTGCTTTAAATTAAGAAAAATTGAAGGGAGCTCACTAACTAAAGGCACCAGTGGTCACCCAACACTGCCAACACAGCCAGCCTGACATGTCTAGAATTATCAAGCATTGCTTTGGTTTATTATTTTGCCATTTCTTGAGCTCTTTTTTATGTAATTTTATTCTACCGCTCTGATTAACAAAACTGTTGTTTGAGTTAAAATTTCAGACTTGTGATTGAAGAGCACTGAAAACTATGTGATGCACAACTGAAACTTGTGTTTATTTTGCTCCAATTTACATTGCAGAGATTTTTCAAATACTTGTGCATTGCATCTAAAGTTAGCAGTGTTGTTGGTATTGCAAAAGAGGCTCTGAGTAATGGAAAAGTAAGTCATATAATCAACACCAGTACTGTGCCATCAAGCCTTGCCATTAAACTGCTAGCCAAGCAAAGCAAAGTTTGTTTGATTTCTCAATTTTTATCACCTAAACTCAAGCCCAGAGATCCAAACTTCTAGCCATCTCAAGTCATGGAAATTTATGATCCTTTAACTTGCACCTGCATAATCAATCCTTTGGTCAATGCATCTGCTGTGGTTTAATTTTATCCTTGGTTCAAGTTTTATTTTCCTTTGTTTTTGGGTATGGTAATGTATGATAAGGAGTTTTAGACAAAGGGAAACAAGGACAAAATTGAACCACAGCACATCCATTCTTCCCCAGCTCCTAAAAGAAAGGATCAACATGCTTAAATCACGCCAACCTACACCTCAGCACATTAAATGTTATGGTAAACAAAGTCATTTTTGTAGGGAATCTAATATCTAATCATACAGTCTGTTAACAACAGCAAAAATATATCTGATGCTGTACATTTAACATTATATAGCAAAGAACTGTACCACATTAAATGAGAAAATTACATTTTTTGTTAGATATTTAGAGGGCAAACTCATTTCCTAAATTGGAACCAAATACCAAAAGCTTCTGATTCACGAAAATAATGATGCCCATTGTACATTTTTCCTGTTGATTGTTTGGAACAACAAGAAAAATGTGTTGAAGTTTGTCTCTTTCATTTTTTTAAACAGTGCATTATCGTAGGGTTGCAATCAACAGGAGAAGCTAGCACCCTTGAGCAGCTGGATGAAGCTGGAGGGGAGCTCACTGATTTTGTTTCCACTGCAAAGTGAGTTTTAACTGTTAGCTGTCATCAGAAATGTGGTTCATGCTGCAGGAGTTGTTGTTGTAGAAGTCAAATGGCAAGGGTTTATACCCATAAATGGGGATAACACAATTACTTAATGTAGATGTTGCACAAATGTGATTTAATCAGTTTATTCCAGTCTATAACCTTGAGAGTTGAAAGTTAGGGTTTGACAAAATTCCTGCCTGGTAGTCCGAGACTACTAGATTTTCTTCACGGGCAAGTCACTTTTCATATTTGGTAGAGGGGCAGTTTCCCAGAAACATTAGCCCCACACCCTTAGGCTTGCTGCCAATGAATGTCTCTGTGCCTTTCATATGTACACACGTACATGTGTATGCTTAACAATCTCTAAAGTGAAAATAGAAGGTCTATACACAGGCTACTCTCATCTTGCAACTTTCTCTACTATCCCTTCCTCTTTGGCTGAATAATTTCCTCGTTTGGAAATTGCTGGTACTGTTGACTGGTGACTTTGCCTGTTTGGCTTTGTGCAAACTTGGTAGTGGCATTAATCCTTTTATACTACTACATTAGAAATTTCTGCAATTTGATTGGCTTAGAGCAGTTGTATTTCAGCTTAATTTGAAATGCCTACATGTGAAAGTTACCAAACGTTTGTGGGTAGTAGTATAAACAAATAATAGCATGATTTGTACATGATCTTTGGCATAAATACCTCTCATGATATTTCAAAATTGTCTCAAATTTCACTCACCTAGCAGCTCATGAAATTACGTATAACAATTTCGAAATATCATGAGTGGTATTTATGCCAAATATCACTACAAATCATGGTATACCTATACTAATTAGGACAAGTGCTCAAAATGCTGCAAACTGGTACCTCCCAGAGTGCTCCAAATCAAACTCAAATTCAAAATAACATGGTAGTGAGTGAAAGGTCTACTGTTGAAGAGGTTTCATTTGAATGGTCTGTTTGAGTATATTCATCAGCCTCAAAACTTAGAACCACCTCACATGTCTCTGTAATTCACTCTGGGGGTTACATATTTTAATTATGAAGAAGACTGCAGTATTTATTTCAATGATTTGAATTTGAATCTTTTGTTGCTTGTCTCACAATTCATTTTGTGCCATTGTGTGTGTATTTTTTTTAACAGAGGTGTGTTACAAGCATTAATTAAAAAGCAATTTCCAGCACCAGACAGAAAAGTTGCTGATCTGTTGGGTATCGATGATTTTGACAGCGGCATGCCTGGTCGGTCATCTCCTGCACCTGGTCAACTCACCCCCAAAAAGAGAAAAAAGCCAGGTCAGTAACCTGCCTGTAGGCCTCTCATCAATTCAAGGAAGTGAATAATAATAATAAGATCAATATTTTGTGTTGTAAACTTGTATGCATGAAAAGTATAACCTGCTGCATGAGTAGGCAAGATGAAGTGAATCCTGTATTCTGATTGGCTGCCTGAGCACAATATTGGCCTCGTACTCTATAATAAGGTTTTTCCCTCAACTTCGTCTTGGTCCCTAAAATATGCCAATATCCAGCCATTTTTACCTCATGTTTGGTCAATAATGCCTTTATGTGTAAAAGTTTCTTTAGAATTATCATTTTGTCTCACAATGTAGTCACTACACAGTGCCATGTCTAGCCTTTCAATACATTAATTGGCTACTTTATTTCACAGCTCCAAAGGCCCCCAAACCTAAGAGAGTCAAGACAGCATTTGAGAGAATTTATAACTGTAAGTTGATGACTTATATGGTTTTCATAAGTCTGTTTCCAGGTGACTTTTTATTGTTTTAAACTGTGAGCAGTCTAAAACAAAAAGTAAGTGTATGAAATCGTGACTATGAGATGTAAACTGAATGTCTGGCTTGTTTCTTGCTCCTTGCAGCTTCCCTACTCCCTACATGACTGCTTGTGTAGCCCCACTAATAATTATATTGTGGCGGTCAGTGTTGTAGGTAAAATTCATTCTCAGGTTAAACCAGTACATTTCAACCTATTAAGGTTAGCCTGCACCACAGACAAAACTTAACTTCTGTTTAAGTTTGTCTGCAAAACAGTGCCAAAATCCTTGTTCTGGGTGCCCACCTGTGTACCAGGATTTGAGTGCCTGCCATGATTGGCCTGTTAAAAAGCCATTCTCAATATGCCAATCATGTTGAAGGGAAATTTGAAATGCATCTCTTGTACAGTCGAACCTCTACTAATGACCACCTCTCCACAATGGCCACTTGTTTTTGGCGGACAGTTCAAACATTGACTTTTGTTTAAACCTCTCTACAATGGCCACCTCTCTACAATGGCCACTTTCTTCTGTCCGCAAGGTGGCCATTGTGTGGGGATGTTCAACTGTAGTTCGTTGAGTCTGTATGGGGCGTAGACCAAGGATGTCAGCACTGCTTCGCGGACATTACTAACCAAGGTTAGATTACTTTTGTGATGCAGGCTAATAGGCACTATAGCAAGTCAGGACACAAACAAAGAAGATGAATAAATCATTACTATTCATGTTTATTCAGTTTCTTTGTTTGTGTCCTCTTAGACTGGCTATCGTGCTGAATTTTAAGACATATAAAGTTGGCCATTAAGGTTAGCTTTTCGGTGGGGTTCTAACCCTAGTAACCAAGGTAATAAAAAATACTGGTATAACCTGAGAATGGTTTCAGACTACACCAGTTAAACTCAGTGATACAGAGATTGCAGTAACCTTTGAAGTTTTTCAAGCAATTCTTGAACACTTGAAGTAAGTAGATACATAACGGACTGATGGGACATGTTTGTTCATTATTGCCATTTTGCTCAGTGAGTAGTGGGTCTGACAGTGACTCTGATGACAGTGAAAGGAGTACTGCTGACATAGACTTGTCCTGCTTGATACGAAACGATGTAAACAATGTGAAGGAGGCCTCTCCAGACTCCAATGACAGCTCAGCAGGTGAAGATGATTTCAATCCTTTTGGAAATTCAGGATCAGACGATGAAGGTATTTACATGATCGCAAAGTTCATTTATTTTATTATAGTTAGCTGCACTAAGCTTAGCAGGAACATCACAACACGTGGTTTGTGACCATGGACTTAACCTGCGTAGTAGGCGCATGGAATGTGGTCCTCATTTGTCTCTTTCACATGCCCCGGCCTTTCTTACACCCCTATTACTTTCATACACGTACCTTGCAGGTTACCGTAGACCCATATCAATCCCCTCCCCCACACAACCCATGAAAGTTTAATGGTTACATTCCACAGGTCACAGTTCAGGTGACTGGTACAGATAAACCAACAGGGCCAAAAATGTTTGCTGGTTCTAGTCACTGTCAAAATCATGTGGCTTAGGTTACTTTACGTACAGAAAGAAAGTACACTGTAAGTAAAAAAGATGTGTTTTAGCCCCCCAAAATGGGGCCGTTTGAGTAGGTTAAATATTGTCCTATTTTGTTAGTCTTATTTGGCTCCCTTGATCAGCCAGAAGGTCAACATAGTCCAATTACGTAGGGCTGATTTGGACCCATGGGCTGATGATTGGGCTGGAATAGGCATTTGATGGGGAAAAATCTTGGCACTTTGGGGTTTAAACCGATCCTTTTCATTTACAGTGTAAACTCTACTGATAACCTGTAGAATTTGGTCCGTAAGAAACCATTCTTTCTGCTGCCAGTTTTTGAAAGAATGTTCTAAACTCAGTGTCAAGCTATTCTCTTCTTAGATCCTTGGCTTCATCGGAAAAACAATAAAAATCCCAAGAGTAAGTCACAGACAGGAAGTGCTAATTCAAATGGGATAGATCCAAGCTACAGTGCCCTGGCTGCCGCTGGCCTTAGAGTTGGCAGCCTTCCATGGAGCATTCCACGACCAAAGAACGGTGGCCTGGATTCACCTGCTCTGGGTAAGCTGTCCAGCATGCTGCTGCTACTACCTGTTTCTTCTCTTTGTTTTTGTTGCTTAAATTCTCTTATAGTCATTTGATATGACAGTCTGTATTTAGACAGAAAATATTTGTGACTGTGACAGTGTGAAAGCAAAAATGACTGGTATTTTAGTTTTTTCAAAAAAGAAGGCAAATGACCACTGCAAATTAACCGTCATCTGAGCAGATAAGAATATAAGGGCTCTGGCAAGAAGCGATAACATAAGTCGTTTTGATTTGTCCAAGGTCTACAGGTTCAATTTAACCGCAACTTGTGAGTTGTCTCTCATTTGTCGTAGAGATATTCTTAGGAAGTTGCAAAGCAAGCAATATCAACTCCACCGAGGGTAGGGACACATTGTGCTGTGGGGATGGGGAGGGGGTGGGGGGTGAGTGGAAGATAACTGCGTGTCTCTCTAGACGAGTTTCCTTTGCTTACAGGTCATTTGAGGACACTTCATCAATCAGCCAGTGCACCGGCACTTTCCACTCTAATGTCGTCAGCTAACAGCGCAGCAATGCCTTCAAGCTCAGCAGCTGAACAGTGTAGACTCATGAAAAAAGAATTGCTTGAAAAGGTGGACATCCTTAGCAGAGCTTTGCCCCCAAACACATTGGACAAACTGATTGATGATCTAGGAGGACCAGAAAACGTTTCAGAGGTAAAAAAAAATAAGGCAAAGCGATATACGGTTTATACTTTCCTCATTTCAACAATTAAAGTCTATATATATAACATTATTGCTTGGTATATTATTGTAATTCAAGAAAACGTGTGAAAGTAGTGTTATAAAACAACTGACACATTTTAAATGAAAACTAAGGTTGCGTTTCCTCACAGGCAGCCCAGACGTAGTTTGTGTTAACAACATGGACAAAATCGGATCGATCGGAGCTAGACTAAGAGACTAGACTATTCTCGACGTTTCTCTGTTTGTTATCGAATCTGACACTATTACGAGCCGCCACATTGAAAAACCCTATTATCGAACTAAAATATCCTAGAAGTCAAAATATATCAAAACAAAGCTGACATACCAGGACCGACAAAGAGACGTTAAGTTTAAGTTATGTTAACTATATTTTGTTATATTTTGACTTCTAGGCTATTTTAGTTCGATAATAGGGTTTTTCAATGTGGTGGCTTGTAAGAGTGTCAGATTCAATAAGAAACAGAGAAATTTCTAGGGGGAAATAAACCAGGGTAAGTCAACACACAAAGTGCGAGGGAGGAAAGGGGAGGTGGTCCCCTCTCCCCCTCGCGTGTCCCCCACGCGCGGCTTAGAAAAAAAATAACAAAACTGGTGCCTGCTACGCAGGCTGTAGTATCATCGTTCACGCTGTAGAATACACCCACTTTGCTGGCTATCACCCGAGTTATTTGAGTGTTCAGGCAAATTATGAGATTTAATGATCAGACCGCCGATAGAATTTACGGATGTTGGCTTCTTTCTCAAATTATGACAAGCTAAAGGTAAGCTCTATGTTTTAATTTCGTACCTCAGATGACAGGGAGAAAAGGACGTGTTGTCAGTAATGACGACGGAACCGTCAGCTACGAATCAAGGAGCAAACAAGACGTTCCCTTGGAAATCCTCAATATTGCCGAAAAGAAAAGATTCATGGATGGCGAGAAGGTACGTCAAACAGTTCCCCCCCCCCCCCCCCCCCCGCCCCCTTGTAAAATTAAATATTGAGAAAATGAGTGAGTGTACTAAGGAGACCGCAATCAACTCTACAACTTAACAGTTATTCAACTTTTTTACAAAAATTAAGTCAATGATTACTGTACAAGGAACAGCACTCTATGAAATATTTACACTTGAAAGGTCATCTCACTTATGTATACAAGCAGTTTTGAAAAAGACATGCAACAGCGCTCTTTTGCATAGCTGGAAATTTCGTCATGGTCGGAGATGAACGGTTAGAAATTATCCAGTCTCACCGTTAAATCCCATCAGGAAATAACATTTGTTTTTGTTTTTTTAATATTTTTATCATTATTACAGAATATAGCAATTATATCAGAAGCTGCCAGTTCAGGGATATCTCTTCAGGCGGACAGAAGGGCTAAGGTACTTGTAATTCAGCAGTTCAGTTATCACTCCAGATAAGATATTTACATGTAATAAACTATTTAAACAGACTTCGCAATCGAGACGTCTGACTCCCTATTTGTGAGTGCCTAAAGCGCACGTGAGTTCCTAAAGCGAACAACCCATTTGATTTTTGTCAACTGCGTTAAAGTTGTTTTCTTCTTCATCTCCCCTCTGCTATCTGTCTCCTTTTTCTCCTCTTATACTTCTTTCTTGAAGTAAAAATACTGAGGTCAGGCGCGAGCCTGCTTGCTGGCAAAAGAGAAAAAAGTCATTGTAAGTTAAGAAAGTTGATTAAACCTTGTGTCTTTTTGTAAGTGTGCAGTCAAATATGGCTATACCGCTAAGTTCACTCCTATAACTGATTTATTACGAGAAAAAGATTTCGAATTGTGGAAGAAGGTGACCACTGACGATCACTGTTTAAATGATCTTCTCCCCATGAAGCGTACGCGGAATCTGAAATACAGTGGTCGCGATTACGTTTTGTCACTTGTTAGGACTGAAAGGTTCAAGCAATGTTCTATCAATAGACGTCTTTCGAATTTTATGTAGATTTTCAATTTATATGTTGTATTTTAGTGTATATTATTATGCTATTATTGTTAGATCACACGTATGCTTGTGGGTGTTATTTTCATCATCATCTGACATCATCATCATCGTCATTACAGATCCTTTGAATAATTATACAGAGCTACAGTACCCGTTATATTTGTTCAGGGGAACATACTCCTTTGAAATGTTGATTAACAAATTACCCATTTGAAAAAAATGGGGAATTCAACACTGGGAATGAGAGAGGCTAAGGCCGAGGAAACAAAGGGAAAGATAAATTTGTCAGTTGAGAAGATGCGACATTAAAAATCCTCAGTTTTCATCTATTTTTTCAAGAAAATTTGTTGAGTATTAGAGTTGAGCTGCCTCCTACCCAGACGTCCTTTTCGTGATGCAAATTTGCGCGCAAAGGAAGGCGGGAAGGATAAAACGGGCGAGACTGCGCTTCGCCTGTTATTTTTCTCCTTCCCATGGTCCCTTGCGCTTCGTCACCATTCCCTCGCATTTCTTGCCCGTCTCTGTGTGAAAAACGAAGTGGGTGAGGAGGAGGCAGGTAGTTGAGTGTGAACGGTCAAGTGAGTTGACTTGTTTGTTTCAGAATCAACGGAGACGTGTTCACATCACTCTGGAGCTACCTTGGAGTGCAGACAAAGCTATTCAGCAATTCGGTAAGTTAATGTTTGCACTGTCAATAGCCATAAGTGATGGGAAGGAAGGCCAAAAGCCTGTTCACAGCACGTCTTTCTATTGGGGTCAGGTTAGAAAATAAGCCAGAACTTAAGGGAAAATAGAGGAAAGGGCTCCCCCTATTCCTCCCTTTTACTTCCCACTCTTTTCGCCTTTTCACCTTTTCGCCCTCACTAAAGAGCATGTTCATAGGCTAAAGATGGTGTACTGGCTGCAGTGAGTAATGTTTTTACATTTTTGTCCTTAGTATAGAGATAAACCCACGGAATGCGTTGCTACATGTACAAATTAACTTCGAAAGTTGAAAGAGGTGGTTAACTTGAGCAATCTGTTCAATTTTTAGCTCTTTGCAAGCAATATTTAAGGAAATATCAGCCATAAAAAACTGCAAAATTGCTGGTTGGGTGGCTATAAGCCATACATCCTTTGTAAAATTTCGAGTCTCTAATAGAGGATTTCTCCGAAAATCGAGCTCGAATTTTCCCTGTTGAGTGATGTTGCTATGCTCTTTCAATGTTAAGAGATGTTATTTTAATAGCTTGATCAGAGGATGATAAGAATATGCTAATGCGTCAAAAAATGTAATCAAAGATTTGCCTATAATGGTAATGGCAATGTATATGTTGAGGTTCAATTTCATCCTTGGTTTAAATTTTATTTTCCTTTGTTTTAAACTCATTAACATACATTACCACACCCCAAAACACAGGGAACTAAAAATTAAACCAAGGATAAAATTGAACTACATATATGTTGTATCTTCGACAACAGGTCGCTCCCATCGGTCCAATCAAGTGAGTGCACCAGAGTACTTGTTTCTTATTTCTGAGCTGGCAGGAGAGAGGCGCTTTGCTTCCATTGTGGCCAAGAGACTTGAGAGCTTGGTACGTACTTTTCCATCCGTTTCAGGGTAGCACTAGTAGTTGATAGTTGAGTATTATTACTTCTTATATTTACGTTTTTTGAATGAAGTTTAAGCATTTTCGCTCTCCCAGTTGAAATTTGTGTCCGCGGTAATGTTAGAAACACTCAGCGACTTTTTTCTGAATGTAAAATAACTGTTCTAAACTTCGAGAATGGCTAAAAATTTCTGGATAACCGTTTCATTCGTGGAAGATATTCAGTGTTTTTCTGCTAACTTACCCACGATTTTTCAGGGGTTGTGTTTTCCACATTTTATTACCTAGATATTGTCAAGAAAAAATGGTCTCCTGAAAAATTCGGTGTAAAAAAACGCCCCCTAGAATCTTCTAATGAAAGTACGACTACTTCAGTATCCTCAAACTTTCGACTGGTCCCATCGGGGTAGGTAACAGTATCGGATGCGACAAAAAAAGCCACCTAAGACTTTCGAGACAACCAAAGTTCGCCAAAGACATGCGAACAGATGAATCAAACAGCCTTCTAAAGCATAGAGAAAATCATTTGACATTTTCCTGACGTATTTGGAAGCCTTCGGTCGTTAGGTGCCCTGGACAATGTTTCTTACTGTTTGTAACCACACTATGATATTCACCTAACTGGCAAAGTGAAAGGTTTTTTTAATGTTTGATGTCGTTCCAGGGAGCACTCACCCACGGAGACAGAAGAGCCACCGAGTCACAAGATTTGAGCAGATACAACTTTGACAATAAGGTTATTAATTAATAGATAACTATCCTGTGATATTGTTGTTGTGAACCTGCCCATATCCCAAGAGCCATGTCCCTTCCTGGTATGATCTTAACCGTGTGGATGCCACAATTTATGTAAACATTTGTGCAAACCCAAAAGACCAGAAAACAAGTCAACTCTCTCGTTTAGTGTTGGTCAACAACATCGAACTCTGGTCGCGCGAAGTTAAGGCAAGAGAGGGGAGTTGGGTGATGTCAGTGTCCATGTGTTCTTATTGAACGGACTCAGAAAAATCAAGAACCTTTATTGATCATTTCCTTTAGTTTCATGAACTTTGTTTAACTGCACAGCGATTTTGTTAGGAGAAAATAGATTTTGGTCACTTGACTTTCCTTCATTCAAATGGAATAATCATAATTTATTCATTTCTATAGCACAAGTTGAACTAAACGTTTTCAAATGCGTTTTACAATCAATTTAAAAACTACCTAAAAATGTGAAAAATATAGAACATTGCACTTATTGGATAAGACTATATGCATAAGACTATTGATGTATAAGACTATAATTTTGAAATAAGTGATTAAAATTTAAAATTAAATAGCGAGTTCCACGCAAATTAATAATAGTGAATAGAGATAATAAACGTAAGAAGATTAGTGGAAGCAAATTTTCTTAATTAATTCAGAGCTTATCGATGCTGGTAGTACACCAAAATATGTTATACGTTACGGATCTTAATAGATCTCGCTGTCGCCTTGGACACTCACCGCTGCCCGAGATCGCTACTTTTAAGGCATTTCCACGAATAATAGGGGGTTTATTAAATGTTGCAGTACGGCAGAGCTGCTCTGGAAGCTGTATTGAAGGCTGTGACTGGTCAAGCAGCGCCCATGATTCCACCTCCGCAAGATTACAATGGCCACTTCTTCCAAGGTGTGGTGTTAAGTTATATTGGTGCTTTGATTTTTTTCCCATTCGCCACTTGAAAAACGAGGATAATGAGCCGAACAAACTTTCGCAAAGAGGTCTGGGACTGTTACTAGGGACAGAAAAAAAAATGGCCAATAGTTTACCAGTCCGTCCCCAACCTCGTCCCCAGGGCGCTTTACCCTGGCTTTGAACCACCTCCAAGGCCAGGGAAAAGCGCCCTGGGGACGAGGTTGGCCCGTCCCCAGTAAGGATCCCATAGACACTTGCGCAAGACACATTTCTGCTCGAGCCCTCTTCTTGTTTTAGCCTGCGTACCAGGCGCTTGGAAGTACTGGGCGAAAGAGAGAACGGGCGCGCGAGAGAGAGACACGCGAGGGGTGATGCAGCGCCTGCACGGAAGGCCCCGAAAATCGTTTCAACTCGCATTTTCCTGGGCCTTATGGGCAGGCGCCCCCTCTTTCCTCGCGTGTCTCCTTTCTTGTGCCCACTACTTCCAAGCGCCTGCTACGCAGGCTATTCTTGTTTCTAAAGTGGGTAATTGCTCCCTTAATGCCCTTGTCTTATTTCTTTTATTTATTTATTTATTTATTTTCATTTGTTCAACAGATATCCGCACTGCTCTAATTGGTGTTGGTCTTGTCGTTAAGGACGAGAAAAGTGGTCTTGCCTCACTGGAAAAAGGTGCTTTGTAGTCTGTATAAAATTGTGCCTTCATTTATACCCAGTAGGTCATGAAAACGCGCTAAGGGTGTTCAGTTTCTCGGCTAACTTTCCAACGTTGGTTGTTGTTTTTGTTGTTGCTCTTTTTTTGTTCCAACCAAACCAGGGCAGTCGGCGGTCTTTTCCTAAATTAAGAGAATTTAGAGCAAAAATTTATCTTTCAATTCGGCACTGCATTACGTTCGAAATGTTAGCTTTTGAGTCTCTTTAAGGTGATAATTTTACTTTATTAACTCAATTTTATTTTTTGAGGTTGGGACGTTCAATTTTTTTTCGTAAATACTATTGAGAGTGAACGAGTTGTGTGATAAAAGGGTGAAAGACGGCTCACTTTAAATTTGCTTTCACTCTGAAATAAATATGCTTCGTTGGACGTCGTAATTAAAAAGCCAATCGTGAGGAGTACTCGAATCAGTTTTAAGAAATAAAAGAGCGCAGACTGCAAAAACCAGTGAACTACATATGCTCTTAAATGATGAACAGAATAGAATAAAGACAGTACGGTAAGAAAACGAGCGGGTATAATGGCAGGGTAAACGCATTCCACATACTGTGCGAAATTATAGTACCTTCTTGCAATTTTGGAAAATGAATGTCTAGCAAATGTATGGGCTGTGCGAAATTTCGCGGTATTCCAATTTGAATAAAACTTTAGGCTAAAGTATTTCATGGCAAATGGAATCGTTCTTGTATTTTTCCTCAATTCAGGCGACTACTCGAACATGTCCCGGTTTTTGAATCGTATTCTTGGAATAAAAGTGGAACTTCAAAACCGTTTGTTTGCGTACTTCATGAAGACCTTGTCAGTTGTCATACAGCAGGAAAAGAGAAATGGACGCTGGGACGAGGGAATCTTGGGTAAGAGCTTGCTCTTTGTAAAGACGTGTTACTATCACGTTTCGCTCTCCTTATCTCTTCCTGGATGTTCAAAACGTAGATAGCGCTGTCAACTCCATCCAGTGACCGATATGCACTTTGGGTCTGTCTTAAATCAGAGTTTAGCCAGGATTAAAGAAACTCATGTTCTAACACTACTGTTTATTTCAGATCTTGGTGCTCATGGCGAGGCAGTGAATAATATAAGTGTAGAGACATTTGTTGGCAATTCAGTTTTTGGAACAGCTACTACAGAGCTTCACACGGTGAGTATTTGGTCTTGTTTGATTGACACTGCCAAGATTGCTAAAAGTTAGTTCTCGTGGCCTTTCATACTTATTGCCTCTATTTCATTTACGCGCGTAAATTTTACTTGCGTTCGCAAGGAAAAATTACGCGACAGTGGAAATCCACCCCATGGGAGGCTTGCTCTGTTACAGCCTTCTTGAAAGCTGTTATCTTGTGGTTCCTTTTGATGTTTCTTTCATCTCTCCAGCAACTATTCTCTTACTCTCTCTCTCTCTTGCACTGATGTTGCTTCTAATTCAATTCCAAGAACGTTTGCCCACTGGACTGGACTGGCCTGGCTTGGCCTGCCGGAATGGTCATTTTGCAAATGACCAATGGGCATTTTGCGGATGAAAGCAGAAACGGGCTTTGGGAAAGTCTGGTCTTGCCTACCAGTTCTAGCTAATTGAAACGGCACCCTAAGTTTTCTTGGTCCAAGTTTACACCCATGTACAAGTGATAGCAAAATTAACAGAAGCACTAATCTGCTAATCAATAGTAGCTTTTGCCTTCGTGCAGACGTCTCCTATTTCCTTTGTTGCACGCGGAAAACAAAGGAAATAGGAGACGTCTGCACGCAGGCAATAGTAGCTTCTGCTTGTATTTATTTGTTTCCAAACAAACACGTCTCTGATCATCAGCCTGATCTGTTTACCGCGTCTGCATACGTTGCTTCGTCGTGATGTGAACGTGGGGTTAGTTACAATTCCAAGTTCAGTTACCATAGCTACGTTATTTTGTTTTGTTTTTATTTCACCAGGTGAGTGTTGAACGTGGCGTGTCTTGGGAAGAATCGTTTCAATTAAGGACAAGACAGTCACAACCTGCTGACGGCTACTACTTGTCCAATCAGGTAAGTGGGCTATAGCGATAGTGTCAGTGGAGTGATTGTCTGACGCCCTTCGACTCATGGACTGCCATGGTGACTACTTCTGGTTAGCAAGGATTCGTACTGTTGGTTGGTGCCCGGCCTTCTTAGCGAGAGGTCCCATGTTCGATTCCCAGGTGTGACCTCAACGAAAAAATGAAATCCTTTTTCGACTTCATTCCTTTCCGTGCAGCTATAAGTAGCTTTAAATGCCCGTAAAACTGAGCACTGATGATCAATCGGCTTCAGGGTTTGTTGGTCAGATGATGACTATTTCAAACTTTACCTTTCCTGTGACTTTTCGAACATCTCGATGATTCGAACTGAAACTGATTTCCTTTCCCTAGTGTAACCCTGTAATCTTACCCTAATTTGTCGAACCTAGAGCTCCCGGTAATTCCAACCAATTAACTTTTCCTTGGGGCTTGGACTGACTGACTGGCAGAATGTTTTCCTGACGAAAGGACTTTTTGTCTTACTGGACTTGATCAGCTGACTGACAGATAGATAATCACCGACAAATCACTTTCTTAGCAAGTTTCTATATTTAATGGCGAGCAAACTTTGAAAACTTATAGTATATATGGTGGGCTAACAGCCATTTGTGTTCTTTTTTGTAGTCTCGAAACGGCAAGAAATACGCCATCTTGGTCATCTGTCAATCGAGAACCAAAAAGAAGAATCTTTACAGTGTATACAGACCCAATACCGGACTACAAACCAAGCAAGACTCACTAGAGGAAATCAAGAAAAAGTACAAAAAGGTACACAGACCTCATTTTCTCGTTTTCCAGAGAGAGGTTTGGTTTAGAACCTATAGGGTGGTCAATTTTATGGATTTCTATTATTGTAGCCTCATAGAAAGCACCTTGTATTTATGGCGTTTCTGATGTTTGGCGTTTTAAGTAAGATTGGTGTAGAAATAACCGTTCTTTTACCCTAAGAATAACAACAGTTTTTAGGGGCACGTCTTATCATGCTGCCTGCCACAATATGGCGAACATTTAGGAGTATTAAAAGCTTATTGCTTGAAATCAATCAGTCAACCATCTTAGTTTCATGTTTTATGGACAAAATGAACTAAATCCTTGTCAGTTAAATTACCTTTTACTAAATTGTTTTGATTTGCAATTTTCATGTTGATACAAAGTTTCCGAATATCATATAGGAGAAAAAGACCCCGCCCTGTATGCGTATTAATAGATCATTTCTGAGTTTAATCTCTCACTTTCAAAGTGAGACTATGTTCAAAACTGTTGACGTGGTAGGGAATTTTACTGATTCAAGACTTGGCGTTTACCCTCTGTGATAAAAGAGGCCTGGGGCCGACTGCTTTGAAATGTCCCAATGACCTGAACTCTTGATACTGATAAAAGTCGACATTTCGCTGGGTGAGGGCGTTTTTTGACTAGTTTGTTTTGTGGCAGGTCTCTGATGCTGAAGCAAAAGCCAGTTGGGATGAGCAGTACAATTCTGCTCTGACTCAGTGCACCCATGCATATTGGTAAGTACAAACACACCTTTAAAATTGGGCCAACATATGGAAGATGTACCCGCATGCTCCCCCGTGTCCTTAATACCTGTTGGGGAGACCAAGGCACCAACGTCGAACTTAACGGGGACCTTCCAACTTTGTTAGCCAGGATTGGGTTCAGAAGGCTTGACTTTGCTAGCCATTGTCGCCGTCACCGCGAATAGGACAATTGCACGATGACGTCAATTTACTACAACTACCAGAATCCTTGAGTTTGTTGTTTTCTTGTGCAAATTAAGGCTTTTGTTCATTTAATCCTCGCGGGATTGACAAATTTAAATAACAAAGCAAAACCGAAATCTACGTGCTATCGTCATCTTGTCTCCAGCGAGCCAAGACCTGTGCTGCATCTATGTGCTGGCTTCAAATAAGACAGCTGCCGCGTCCAAAAGTTCCCCGTCCGGTTCCCCCATATCCACCGCCAAGATTAACAATAACTGAACTTTTATTTTACGTTTTTTTTACGTTCATTGTTAGGAAAGGGAATTGTAAACGGATGGCATTGGGTTTAACCTGCGAAGTGGGCAAACGTCAACGAACGTTTCACATTCTGAGCGGATCAGTTCTCAGTGTGTGGAGTAAGCTAGAAAGTGTACTGGCGGGACAGCCTGGAGCTAATTCCAAAGTACAAATTGTGCGATGCAGAAAAAGCGATGGATCCAGGATAGTCGGTGAGCCCGCAGTCATTGTTGTCACTCACTTGGGGGGAAATCCCATATGAAAGAGATGGAGATGCTCATCGTCTCGTTTAGGGGTGTCAGTAGAGTCCATTAGATTTTAAGACGAAGACGACTACGAAAACGAGATTTTTTCAATACTAAGTAAAGCTCGCGCTTGAACCAGCCCCATTTTGGCGGGAAAACGCGATAGCTGTTATCATTCTACTAATGGTTTTATCGAGAATGTCGTAGTGGCGAAAACAAGTTATCAAAAGTAAGAAGTTTTATCATTTTGCGATCGGGAGAGGGCCTAACCTCCTTCAATAAAGATAACAGTGCTAACTTTTCTGGTAAAAAGAAGTTCAATAAAGCTATCCGGGGTGTACATTTTTTCGAGAATACGCGAAAAAACTTTTAAGTTTAATTTCGTCTTCGAATCTAAAGGTCTCTAATTGCACATTTGAGAAGCGCGTAGGGTGTTGTGATGGAAATCCAATATTTTCGAGCACACAGGTATCGGCTAGGGCTGCGCTTCAAGGAGTATAGAAAGAGAATGTAAGTATCCTTCTATAACAACTTCCGTACAGATCGGAACTGAATTTACGGGAGCACCAAATTGGCTGCTTGTTTCAGAATGTTATCGTATAGGGGTCAAATAAATCTGGAGCGACTCATTCGCTGGAGTGGGCGGTAGGCGTTCACGATTGGCAGTAACGCGATTGGCACTCGAGAACGCGAAAGGCGCTTTCCCATTTATCCCTAGGTTACCCCAGTAAAGTGACGTACATTGTCATGGAATCTAATCTGTTGTCTTTTGCTATGCAGGCTGCCTCATTCCAAGTAACTGCGTTCCGGCTTTGGCGAGAACTCTTAGTCCAGACATTGTCTCTGAACAGAAGCCAATCATCATAGCAGAGTAATCGTCGTCTTGTAAAGAAAAAAATCGGCTATTTTCACAATAGAGTCTACTTTTCTATTGTATAAAGTGTACAGATAATTAGATAGTGAAATACGATAAATTATTTAAGTGGTCGTATGCACCACTCGTTAAAAATCAAATTTACTTTAGGTGGATTTCTATTTATAAATTGCATTTGCTCGTTGTCTGTAAAATTGCAAGAATGTCGTGGCTACACAAAAGTCCCTCTCATTGTTTTTTAAACAAGTTAAAATAAAGACGGCGTCGCTGTTCCCCGTCGGACAACGTGCTACATCATTAACTTTGAGCGGAAACTTACGAGACCTGTTATGGCAGCCTTCAAGATTCGTGAAGTTTCCAATAGTTTTCTAATTGGTTGTGGCACACGTTAGTTGCTGACTTTGATTCGATCATGTATACTTCCTTGGTTCCAACAATGTTCGTTATATCAACGAAAACTGTTCTGTATGTAGTTCAGCCTTTGTTTTGTTAGTCTTGGTTGTATGACACGAAGTTTATCTGAAAGTTGTTGCTTATAGTCTGTGAAAATGTATATCACGATTTCTTCTCGAGAATTTCAATAACTGCTTGCCTTTTTAATCCGTTTCCAAGTAGTTCTTGAATGAAAGACACAGGAAATTCTACCTCTGATTATTTTTACACAAACGTAATCCAAAATCTTTAGACTAGAGGACAGTAGATGGAATTAATGCCGTTAAACGCTGCTACGCTTCGTAAAATTCTTCTCGTTCGCTTACACAACAAGCCATTTTAAAATTGAGCGTAGGTTAGCTTATGACTGATCTCCCGTTCAGGGTTAAACAGTGGTTCTTAGATTCATCGCTGGCGTAAGTCCCTAAACCTTATCACCAGTCGCACCTTCTGATAACATAGTCGTTGCAAACCCAGTGGCGGATCCAGGCAGCCCTCCCCCCCCTTACTTATTTGTAGACCAAGCAGAGGTTCTAAGGGCCGAAAACAATTTCTTTGAGACCGGTCCCCCTTATCTCAGGGTCTGGATGACCGTCCCCCCTGTCCCCCTTATTTGAAGGTCTGGTTCCGCCACTGAAACCAAATTCAAGTTCTGTTTGTACAACTTAAGAAACTACAAACTTTCAATACCTGCTATTAAACACTGAAAAACGCTGTTGTTGTCTGTTTCTAAATTGAACTGCATACTGCACGGTCTGCAACAGATGCTAGACACGCAGGCATGCTCAGCTGTGTACAGAATCCTGTATTATCTCGACGCACAGGATTCTTACCAGTGTTTTACCAGCACCAGAACTAAACTGGTTTCTTGTTGATTACCCCAGCTTCCCTTCATTTTAATTGTATTCAGAAATTAAATATGCACTCGCCATGAGCTAGAATTTTGCGGGTTAGGTTTGTTTTTGTTTTGTTTGTGCAGTATTAAAGTTTCCGTATGCCCAAGTGACCTTTATTAATCAGGAATATTCTGTAATATAAAAATTAAACGATTCTGAGTTTGCTCCCTGAGCCAAGGACCAAAAGATGTTTAAACCAAAGGGATCATAAAAGAGATTCACAGTCCGGTTCCAGTGATTGCATTGTGCCTTTTGTGGTGTTAAAAGATGAAATAGCGCCCAGGCTGGCCAAAAATTTTGTTCAAAAACGGCTTTTGTGCAATTCCGCCAACCTTACTACAAAATAGGCAACCTCTGAAGAAAAACAAATCGTGTATGGAAACTAACAAGAAGACTTGTGAAGTTTCTGATTATGCGGATGTATTGAGAAGGTTTCGGACCCGTTCCACCCTATTCTGGTTATCCCATGCAACAGTTCCAACTGTCCTGGTCTCGGCCTTTCACTATAGACGTCGGAGAAGACGCACGTTTAAATGCATTATTTCCCTTGTCCACCACACTAAACGTTTGGAAGAAATACGACCATTACAACAAGTGATCTAAACTGTACGCCACTTGCACATCCTTACTTACCCCCAAAAATTGTGCATAAGCATTGTTTTCAATTCCCCTTGGGACGGCTACGCAAAATTTTGGCGGGCAAATAACTGAATAAGGTGCATCATTGAATTCCAATCGTCCACCGCGCACTTACTGGAAGCTGCAGCAAGGAGCAGCAAGCCTCTGTGTTCGTTTACGTGTTTGACCAAGCAAAATGCACAGATTATGCCTTGTTGAAATCATCAGGAGTCTTCAGAACTCTGCATTTGCTTTACATCAACCATGGAGTAAATTGTCGACGTACACTGGAAATACTTCGCATTTTATTCGCCTTTCTACCGGCGAATTAGCTCTTGGTTACAAACCACAGATTGCCGGGCGAAAGTACATCCCAGGATCCACTTCAGGAGGTTTTCCTGGATTTCTTCCAGGTCCTAAAGACGGGGATACATTTCCAATGGCTTACAAGGTTACCAAACCGCTCGCGTTTGACATTACAGAGTGGTCAAGCATCTGCCGGCAGCTTATTGATGCAGAACTTACAGTTTACGGAACAATACTTATCAGGTTTAATATGATTTATTCTTGCGACAAGCATACCACGGCTATGATTAGGGGCTAGGAGACAAAGGAAATTGAGAATCAACCTAGGTTGAAAAGATCAAATTTGAAATCAAATTTGACCTGTAACATAAACACCCCCCAAGTTCTAAACTAGGTACCGTAAAATTCAGAAAATAAGCCCAGGGGCTTATATTTTTCAAAGCCCCTTTTTGAGGGGCTTAAATTCGGAAGGGCTTATCTATGGAGGGAAATTTGCGTTTCAAAATCGATTGGGCTAGCCTTATAGTTAGAAGGAAATTTACCATTTTTGTTTTGTTTTACTATGTATTTGGGGGCAATTTCCAAGTACAAGCCCCTGGAGGGCTTATATTTGGAGGGGCGATTTAACGGAGGGTTTTTTGCATTACGAGTTTGGGGGGCTTATATTTGGAGGGGCTTATTTTCAGAATTTTACGGTATATGAAAGGCGTTTCATTTGTTAATAGAAGATATACAAGATGGAAAAAATAAAAGGGGAATCAATTGAGGTTTCTGGGTAACTGACCTTCTACCTCCCCCTAAGTCAAGATTAACACTTACTTCTCCCTTACGGTAAAGTGGTGACTTAGTGGAGGGGTAGGTGGTCAGTTACCCAGAAAATTCAATTGATCCCCTAAAAGGGTAAGAGGTCAGACATTAGGGCGTACGGAGCCCCACCCCTCCCATATAAACCACCCATATAAAACTTTGTTGAGTACCCCCGAGGATCGGGTTTATGACAAACAACAAACACCAATTTGTACCAAGTTTTCCCTTTACTTGATGGTTACTGTTCATGATCTCTGTGCAAGAATAAGTAGTCTCATGTCAGGTTTACCCATAAGTATTACCAAGAGCCTCTTGGTAGTACTTTGGACAGTTTTCATCCAGTAATTTCCTTATTTCTTAATGTTGTGAAACAATTAATATTTTCAAAAAATTATTTTTTCACAGGAATTTGCCACTTCAGAACATGGATGATTTCAGAAGTTTCATTCATGGACTTGGCTTCAAGTTTTTTGAACATGGGGTTACTGGTTATAGGACCCCATTAGGGTCCCATGTCTACACTGCCTCGGATGACCCCCCTGAAGTAACCATGGAACCACATAATGAGTGCTCATATTCACCCCTGGTCCCTAGAAAGGTATAAATAGAGCTTTTTTAAAAGTTTTATAGTTCTATTTCTATGTGATTATGAGACACTATATATGGGTGAAGCCTGCAAAGATGTGTATAAGAGATAACTGGCTTTTTCGCCTGTGGACTGCCCCTTGCTCCCTTCCGCACCCCTTTCACAAATTTCAGATCTTTTGTTCAGTTATAATCAGCAGCTCACAAGATAGACTGACACTTGATTTTTCTTTTCTTTAGATAATAATGTATTGTATAAAAGAACCTGATCCATTCTGTGGAGGTGAAACTGTTCTTTTAAAAAACAGTGACTTGACTGCCACGTTGGATCCAAAGGTAACGCAAGAGATGGAGGAAAAGAAAATTCGTTACCAAGCATTTCTTCCAAACAAAGATTCCAAGGCTAAACTACAGAAGAGTTGGCAAGATCGATTCTGGATGGATGACCCAAAGGTCTGTTTATTTTGTATATGTTCATTTTTTTACATTCAGTCGCTTTTTCTGCAATGACTGTGGAATATAATCACAGCAAAAAAAGAGTTCTGAATTCTGGGTCTGTAATACCTAGAAAACCATTACTTGAAGAAGGTTCAAAAGAAAGCTCTTCTGTAATATGTATGGTACCATTAGTTTGATAGCATCCATGGATGTGAAAGGGGTTTTTGTCAGTGAGTTGATGTTTATTCTAGTGATGGAAGTGGGAGACAGCAAGCAGTTGAAACCCCTTCTCTATTGAAGAGAGAGACCCCAGACTCAGCGCTTGCTAGGAAATACGGTACAGTACATATAAAAAGGAAATTTAAGTGCCAGTGAAAGAATGTCACAATCATCATATTGTTCTCTTCACTTCAGGAAGTTGAAAAAATTCTCAAATCTAATAAATGGAATTTCTCTTGGGATGACAATAACAACTTGAGATACTGGTATATCCATTCTCCTGTCAGGCCCCACCCTGTGACTGAGGAAAAAATGTGGTTTAATCAAGTAACCAGTTATAATGCTAGCTACTTCAGAGATCTTCCTCTTTACAAGAATATCAACATGCCAGATGACCATTATCCATTCCACTCCTATTACGGTGATGGGTCAATCATTCAGCCTGCAGTCCTTCAGCACATCCGTGCAGCTATGTGGTCATGTGCTTTGGGGTTTCGTTGGAGAACAAATGATGTGGTAGTGATTGACAATTTACAAGTGTTACATGGAAGAATGGGGTGGACTGGTGAGAGAACACTTGTGACCACGCTTATTGATGAGTGATGAAAGGTTCCCTCAATGGGCGATGCAAAAAACATGCAAGTTAACAATCAGGGATATAAATAATTTAAAATATTTACTTTCAATTTATTGTTATTCAAATTAAATAGATCCTTGTCTTATTAACATTCTTTTCTTTAGAAGTTTCTAACGGCCATCCATTGCTATAAGCTGAATTAAACATAATTCAAACTTTGACATCATGTTAAAGTATACCTGCCAACTTTTTTGAGTCAAATGCATGAGATTTTTGTCTTGTCAAAACCGGGATTTCTGTAAACAGCCCAGCAACTTTGGAAGATTTAATGAAGACTTCCAAATGATGCAGGAAATGTTCTCATGACCTTTGAGCTCTTCCAAAGCCATTTAAAAGGCAACAATTTTAGCCTGTTGTGATATTGTCATTATTTCATTGAAGAACAATAAATTGATCCACATTTGTGAGTCGGGTGTGAGAAATTGTCCTTGATCCATAAGATCGATGTGTTTTGCCCGCAGGCGAGAGATTCACGCATAATCCGTGAGAGTCGGTAGGTATATTAAAGTTGAGTTTTTTCAAAGCAGGCTGCTATATCTATTGCTGTCTTCTGTAGATTCACCTCTTGTAGGTTCACCAGTACTGCTATTACCACTCCTTTGGGAAGCTGTTCATTACAAGTGGTAGGCCTTATAAGAAGAATACTGCTGGCTCCCACTGCTCCTCCTAAAGAATACAAAAATTATCACTGCAGTCAGATGTCTTGCAGAATTTAGACACATCAACAAAGAGATAATAACAGACTGATCATTACATTTCGGCTACATTCATGATCTCACACTGCACCTGAAAAAATTTGTGCGTTTGGGTGTTCCATCTACGTATGGAACCATGCTTAGCACCAAAATCTAAGCCAAATTTTTAGCCAGTAGGGTGTGAACACCATAATTGTACATAAATTTTTGTACTGCCAAGGCATGGATACATAGTAACCCGGTTCATCAGTGAAAATATAATTTGAATGGTTATGGTAAATGAAGTGTCTGATTCAATTTTTTTAGCCAAATGAAATTCATCCGGTACCATGTTAAAAACGTAGTCTTTGACTTCTTTTTACTTGTCTTCAAGTGATGCGCAGGGGGAGTGATCACACAGTGTCTTTTTAACCACAGTGGTCAGTTGTGACTGTTGCATTCTGATCCTTACTTTGAGACAGAGACCATGTTGGTACATCAGCTGACCATGGAGGGAACAGTGAGGATTGAAACATACTATTCACAGCTGACAGATATTCATAGCTTTGCGGGTTTCTTCAAGAAGTGCATGGGCGAAGGCACTACATGTATGTAATCTCTATCTCGTGTTTTCAAGCAAACATGAGAAGTTGATCAGAGGTCACTTTTTAGCAGGCACTATTCCTTTTTTGACCTTTACTTTGAACCCCCCCGCCCAAAACAAAAAAAAAAAAACAGGAAACAGAAAACAAAAATCTATGGAGCTCTTCAACTTGGGTCTTGTGCTGAGTTTATGTTCTGGAATCTACATAACCTGTACTTCTCCTTTTTTTTTTCATTGTTGTGTTTTGACAAATTTTTGTGTAAGTTTGTCACATAGCCCTCCCATTATTTTTGTACCTCCATGAAGAATTGTCTCTGACTGATGATGACAGGCTCCAAAATCCTGTTTTTCTGGAATGACCACCCAGCCCAATCCATAGCCACCATCCTTGTGGCCTTGACCTTCAGTGTTAGCTGCAACTTTCCACAGCTCTGTTACAGTTTCAGGCTTAAGAAATCCAGGAAGACAACCTAGTGTAAAAAAGATGGTACACATTTAGACATTTACATCAATTAGCATGTCTAACTAATTATCTCAGCTTATTGATAATACTAATAATAATGATAATATTAATTTTTTATATAAACACCAATGAAATACCAGGTGAACGTTTGCAAAAAATTATATATATTATGATAAACAGAACATTACATGGTTGCTTGGAGATACACGTCAACACTTGAAGAAATTTCATATCTCTCTGCGGCCATGTAATACCCACTATATGCGTATTTATTCATGCATAATTATATGATCACATGCCCATTACAGAAAGATAAAAGGAACACAAAACATCTAAGTCATTAACTTCCTGTTATTTTGAAAGCACCCAATATGTTCATTATCTCTTCTTTTACACATGAGCATCATCTCAGTGGGATTAAAAATCACTTAAAAACACAACCCAGAATAAACCTAGTACACACACACACCTATTACACTGTGAGTCAAAGGGCCAAACAACTGAGCAAGCAATGTGATTTGTTATGATAGCTTCTCTTTCAATAAGAAATATTGCCAAACCTGCTGTGTTCCTGTTATGATCCATTTGCTTGGCATACAGCATAGAATTTCCAAACTGAACTAGATCTTCTGCTGTAGACATGAAACCCCCTCCAGCCCACTTGTAAGAATTGTCCACATAAGGAGCATTTACAAGATGACCATTCTCGTTTCGCCGATAAAATCTGTGGTACAGTAATAATAAATATATGAACAAGGGTCTGAAACCAAAAGGACCTAAAGTAGGTTACTATGTTTAAACCACTCATAGTTTGCAACTGAAGTCTTTACGATGGTCATAAAAAAAAGTTTTCAAAGAACAAACTCAAATCTACAGGTTATATGGAAAGGTTGCCTTGATTTTTTTGTGACTATTTTGTTAATAAGTAGTAAAATATTGCCATCAGTATTCGTCATCTTAATGAAAATATCCCCCAAAATGCCAAACTTGATGTCAATTTTGTAGGTTAATTTATGAAAACAAATTATACTATAATGGAAACTAAAACAGGCTGATAAAAAACTGCCATTCAAAGAGGAAATACCTCTACTTGTCTTTATAAAATGAAACAATAACCTTGCCCTGTTGTAAATAATGACATTATTGAATTCAGCACGAGTGTTTTCCATCCCAAGATCTTTAAACAGTTTTTTCATGAAAGAAAGGAAATCCTGATCAGCTGCTTTCTCTATGACAGCACTCAGCAAAGTCCATCCATGGGTGGTGTATAAATAGGTTGTACCAGGAACAGACAACAATGGGTCATCTTTAAACAGTGACAAAGCCTCTGATACTGTCTTATAATGGTCCTACAGTGTGTACAGAGGAAGAAATTTTTTTGTTAGTAAGGGGATCCTTGAGATTACAGCCAGTTTGTTTCCTAAGTTTTAATCTCTTTAATGTAATTTCACAGATGACTTGCTGTGACCCACTCAATGCATGACAAGGCCCCAGTTGTTCAAAAGGTGGATAACACTATCGGTTTCCCTAATAATTATCTGCTGGATAGTAATTTATTCAGTGGATAGCGCCACCCAAGATTTGGACATGGGGGGCCAGATTGCAGTTACCCCCAAAGCCACCATCAATGCCTTTGAACCTTAAGTTCGCAATTGGCAATTTGAGGCCCTAAAATGGCAGTAATGTTTATTTCTTGATCCTGTTAGCAATCACCAACAAGGGTTACTGCAAATGCATCATTTGTCTTTGCAATTTCTTGGTGTTATTCTAAAAGATGCACACACCATCTAAAAGTCGACCTGAGAAGGAGGCTGAGACCACAACATAGCACCGAACTGACCATAGTTTCTGTAATACAGTCAATTCTCTTTTTAAGACAAACACTTTGTGTAAGCCTCTGCCATTCTTCACTGTCAGTAAAATAACTGTGACCAGTTTAGAGAGAACTGATTGTATCAAAACACATGGTATCTTAATCTCTTTTAATTTCCAAGTTCAGTTTCACTGTAAGTATCCCTCCAACATGAACACCTTTCCAGGTGATCCCACTGCATTTTCTGCATCCTTCATTGATCTCACTCTGAGAAAACAACTTACCAACCTTAATGTAGTATTCCTCAAAAGAAAACTCTTGTCTTCTACTTCTGCTAGTAATCACTTGCAAAATAACAAAACAATATTAACAATACAAAAATGTTTTAGCTGCAGGGCTAAAGGTGATCATCACTTCTTTTGCAAGGCCTTGTAATTTATTTTAAAGAAACTTATGACTTGAAAGTTAAACTGAAATAATCTTATGAAGTGCAACATTAAAAACAATGCCTTGCAATTACGTGAAAGAACGTAAGCAAAAGTTAACTTTATCTTGACAAGAAATAACAGTCACTATCATCATCAATAGAACACTCAACAACAGGAGCTTGATCACTCTGTATAAAATTTTCTTAACTGACCATGGCGTTTGACTGCTTTCCCCAAAGGATTACATGTAAGACTATTACTGTCACAAATATTAAAAAATTTTATTTTATGGCCAAATCAAAGAGCAGGCAAGATAAAGGGAATCCTGTGTTCTGATTGGTTACTCCAGCAGGCAAGATGGACCCACCTTGCCCACTTGGGATTTTCCACTTTGGTCCCGCAAGAATAAGTTCTTTTTCCAGCCATACAACAAATCCTTTATTGACCACCAAGCGTGAGGTCAAGATCGCTGGATATTGGCCTCCTTCTTTTTTTACGTTTTTATTGACCTTGACTTCATCTCGCTTCGTAAATACACAAAAAAGAACTTGGCCAATATCCAGCAACCTTGGTTAGTTAACCAGCTGACATTAAATACAGTGGTTCAACAAACACACCTTCCTGTTCTTTGTCCTTAGAAACTGAAACTTCTTCTTTGGATGAAATTTTCACACTCTGTTGAATCAGGAACAATGACTTTAAAGATAATTTTGAAATTGAAATAATAACAATGAAATAATGCTACACAAGAAGACATTGATAGTCCCAGTTACAATATTAAATAATGATGCTCTGATTGATCAAATAACAGTCCAATAAAACACTTAACCAAAATTTACAGTGATTTTCCAGAAAGGTTAAAACAACAACAAAAAAGCTGGCGAAATATGATATAACACTGTTCAGAAAGCTAGAGTGATTGTAATGACACCTACGGTACTGGATAAGAAGTGAGAGGATTGCGAAGGAGATATTTGACGCTTATGAGATCACTTAATTATGATATAACAAATTATGACCAAATTGTTGTGTAATGTGCATTGTATTTTTGACTGATGTGCCACTGTTTAGTAAAAGCATTATTAGCATTTTAGGAACCACTATGATAATGATAACAATGTGTCCCTTCCTGCCTAGAAAACGTACCAAATTATCTGTGTTTGTTTTGTTTTCCTTGTTACACTGTGTTTTATCATAATGTCTTATTCCACCAAGATGTGAAAGAAGATGTCTTGTTGTGAGGGTTGCTGTGGACCCATTAAATGTCTTTGTTGGAAATGAAGTTACATAAGTTTGAATTGCAGCATCAAGGTCCAGCTTTCCTTCTTCCCACAGTTTAGCTAATAAATTTAAGAAATTAAAAAAATATATGGTTATGCTCACATTTCTTATATTAAATAGTGCTGTTATTACGAGCAGTAAATCATATCACCTTTCACTTAACAATGGCTGACAGTAAGGCCAGTAAACCAAAGAAAAGATTGCACATTGGAATTAAAACATATAGTCTCCTTCGCAGCCGTTATTGGGGTCATCATGCAATGCTCTTCTGGGAGAGGAGCATTGCATGACAACCCTAATAACAACTGCAGTCAGACTACAAAACATATGGAATCAGGTATGGTTTTCGAGGGAACTACAGGAGTGTATGAACATAATTTTATTTGTCATTTCATTTGCAAATGAATAAGAAAGAAAGAGTAAAATGTGAATTCAAAATTGATTGAAAAGAAATCTTAATGATGGGGTTCTAATCTAAGTCACGATAACATTTTCACCTATAATGTAAACATGTATGTTGCATTTTGCGACCTCTTCTATGTCTGAAAATAGGTGTGGATTTTAGAAGCCAGGTTTGAAAACTGCCGTTGAAAATGACATTTTTTGGTCAAAATATAGTCCAGATTGGGATAACCGGATAGTACACCCCTGCCAAGAATTCGCATGAGTATCCCCTCCCCTTGGGACAGTCACAAACCTGCAGCTGTTGTAGTTAGTGGTTTACTAATGCTTGCTATTCTCATAACAGTTTTGCTGGTACATAAAACTCTGTTTTCAACATCTGCAAAGCCAAATCCTTCACTCCACACAGTTTTTCCATCTACACTCACAGCAATAGATACCCCAGGAATGCCACGCTCTTCCTTCATACACTGAATGATGGATCGTGATTCATCTATTGCAGATTGTAGGGTCCAAGGATAACCATGAGAAATGCTTGGATTTTGTTCCTTCTGTGTTTGTGGTAAAAGAAAATCTTGCAAAAAAATATATTATTAAATTGGTTTAGGGGCGTCTAAAAAGCAAGCTAAAATTTATGAGGAATGCACTAGGATATATGACAATAAATGCATTGTCCATATTCAGGCACGGATCCACACCAGTTTCCACCGTTTTATGGAAATGGGTCAGATTTTTCAAAATAAATATATTTTTAATAAAAAAAAATTTCCAAGTTGAAATCTGGAAAATGGTCTCGACAATTTTTTTTTAATTGCCCTGCATTGGACACACCATGACATTTTCAGCTGGAAAATCACTGGTCCCTGTCTAGTGTAGGTTACAGAGTCTTGACATGCGAGAGTGAGAGAAATGCGTCAGCTTTTGGGCGGCTGAATACGGAGCACCATGTCACAGACGAGATTGACAAGACTCGCCTTGCTCATATCCACTACAACATGGAAATTGACCTTGATAAATAATCCGCCGATTCGCAAGGCTTCATCCGAGGAGAATGGAACTGGCCAATATCCTTTCTGAACGACTAACCCAAAAAAAGGAACTTTAAGGAGTTAAAATCCGAAAAATTTCCAGGGGAGAAGGCCCCCGACCCCACTAGCTTGAGCCTTCGGCGCTCGTTTAGGAAATAGGTCAGCATTTATCCTAGATCCGCGCCTGATATTTCCCACGGACTCACAGAATTTCAGTGAAAGGATACTGGAACTGCATGTTGATTTTTCAGCGCCTCCAACTTTTTTTCGACACTTGTGGCGTTTGCTTTCTTTAAAAGGTTCAGCTTTTTCTTTTGGTAAAGACCCGAAAATCCAATTAACCCAGCGAGACCAAATCCAAGCAAGAAAGCGGCGTTTGGTGCTGTCTTCCCTTTTGAAGTACTTGGTAAGCTGCTACTGTTATTAAGACACCTTAAAATACCAAACCTATTCTTTGCAAGGAATTGAAATTGTCTTCGTATTTTCTGCCGCGATGCGGCCGCCATTTCCCTTTGACACTAGTCACCAAGACTCAGTTCGAGGCCCGGTCACCATAAATTCAGAACTGTGGACACTGGACTGTGGACTGCGGAGTCCTATTAATACGAACTAAGGAATGTGTTTTTACAGCCCAAAGAGATTGTAATTTAGGTAGTACAATTTACAATATTTCACCCACTGAATACTGACTTACATACTCATCTTATGCAGGCTGCCATTTCATCGCCAAGTTCAGTAGTGTGTACCGTAAAATTCCGAAAATAAGCCCCCGGGCTTATATTTTTCAAAGGCCCTTTTTGAGGGGCCTATTTTTGGAGGGGCTTATATTCGGAGGGGCTTATCTACGGAGGGAAATTTGCGTTTCAAAACCGATTGGGCTAGCCTTTTTATTGGAGGCAAATTTACCGTTTTTGTAGCCTGCGTAGCGGGCGTCGAAAGGGGTAGGGGATAGGGAGGAAGGAAAAAAAGAGGGGGATTGGGGAGACATGCAAAAACACCGGCTCTCATGGCAGGCGCTCCCTTCCCTTTTCCCCTCTTTCGCGCTTTTCTGCAACCATCTACAACAATGATGAAAATCGTGGCATTTCGTAGCTATTCGGTATTCGACGAGCTTCACTGTCTTAAGAAACCATAAAGAAACCTTGAAACCTTCGAGTCTTCCGCTAAACCAACGTTTGATGAGTTGATATTCATAGGACTTTAACAATTTTTTATTTTGCAAGGAAACACAAAGAAAAGTGAATCTATAGTATGAGGATCGACTCAGCAGTGCGCAGTGGTTCGCGTTTCCATTAATATACAGCAATGCCCAATTTCGCACAAAACATAGTCTTAATTTAGGATTGAAACAGTAGATTGTTGATACGGTTACACTGAAGCATTGAAAATAGCTCATGCACGTTAAACGTGCCTGTGTTATATGTCAGGGAGTGGGTTGGCAAGATCCATTAAAGGGCAAAACAAAACGTTTAAACCCCTTCCAAGGAAAACTAATAAAGGCATGACCCCTCTCTACTTTTAAAAACTGGCTAGGCCCCCCCAAGTAACTCTCTCCCACCCCACCCAATCTGTTCCTTAGAAGCTCGTGGCTTGTTCACTTTCTCCAGGTGCCGTTTAACACCGGTTTCCACCGTTTTACGGAAATCGGTTAGATTTTTCATAATAAACATACTTTTAATAATAATAAAACTTCCCAAGTTGAAATCTGGAAAATGGTCTGGACAAATGTTTTCTTTTTTGCAGTTTCCGAGCATTAGATGCCCCCTCAATGAATCAGAAACCCGGGAAAGGGAACTTAAGGGAATTAAAATCCAAAAAAATACCCCTAGAAGCTTGCTCCCTCGGCCCCTCGTTTAAACGTGGACTGCTTGCGATCTACTTGTACCGTTTTTTCCAATTTTTATTTTTTTGAAGATCTAAATCCTATTTGTTGGCTTTGTGTGTATTTAATATTTTCCACTGAGAGTGAAACGCTGACAAGACTACCACATCAATCAAGAAATTCGCAACAAAAGATGTCTTAGTTTCAGGCTGGAACCTGGGCTCGAACTTAAAGGCTGATTCAATTACCGTAAAATTCCGAAAATAAGCCCCTCCATGTATAAGCCCCTCCAAATATAAGCCCCCAAACTCGTATCGTAAAATACCCTTAGTTAAATCGCCCCTCCAAATATAAGCCCCCCGGGGGCTAGTACTTGGAAATTGCCCTCGATTTAGAAAGTAAAACAAAGCGAAAACGGTAAATTTCATTCCAATTATAACGTTAGCCCAATCGATTTTGAAACGCAAATTTCCCTCCATAGATGAGCCCCTCCAAAAACAAGTCCTTCAAAAAGGGCCTTTGAGAAATATAAGCCCCGGGGCTTATTTTCGGAATTTTACGGTATTCATTCATGACCTTCATTCATTCATGCGTCACGCGATCTACTAATATTACGTGACCTAATAGCGAAAGAGTCTCCTCGATCTTAGCCTGCGTAGCAAGCGTTTGCAATCGAGTTATGGCGCGAAAGGTAGAGCGGGAGCAAAAAAATGCTGTCATTCCTTGTCATTCCTTTTTTTTTTGGCTCTCGTCCCAACTTTTCTCGACAAACTCGCGCGGAAACGCTTGCTACGCAGGCTACCTCGATCTAATCGTCGAAGTATGCCAAGTTCTCCGCAAAGTTAAAGCTGCAGTCAATATAAGAGGTTTTCTGACAATTCTCCTTAATCTTGTTCTCGTTCTTGCGTAAACATCGAGCCGGTGGAAGGCTGTTATTTCGGTTCTTCCAGCTCTTGATCTTTCTGAATGAAAATGTACGAGTAAAACTTGAAGATTTCAAGGAGTCTTTTTCGTCATCATTGCTCGTATTATTGTCGGTAGCGTCGGTGATAACCACACAATTTAAAGAATTTGGTGGAGGTTCTCGCGGTCGGCCCCTCACAACTAGGTTTATCATGTACATCCATCGATGTCTTTGTAAAATCGAGTCGCATTTCAACGTGTAAGACGCTTCCTCAGTGAGCAGTTTGAAACGAAAGCTGTACATTCGTCGCTTGGCCAACACACATCTCGATCCTGGAGTGAGCTCGATAAACTGCTGAAAATTGCCGTTTTGTTCTAGAGTTTTCCCCAAGTAAAAATAAATCCCTTTACAATCAAGCGAAGCCCAGTAAAATCGCCATTTACCAGTGAGGTCTTCTTTCTTCAAGAAATCTGCATAATAGATTTCTGACTCATTCATGATGGAGAAATTAACAGCGTTTATACATCAGCTAGTGAGAAAGGGCAGTGCCTTTGGTTGGCAGATGTTTTGCTATTACAGTAACCGGAGATCTCAGCACATTTTTCCATTGATAAGATGCCTCCGTTTGCTGACAGTCTTGACGAGAAGCGATCAGCTGCTGCTCGGTCATGAAATGAAATCTACTCTTGCTTATACCGGAGACGACGAGTGGAACGTAGAATGAAATGATAGAATCAAAATGACCAAATATCCACAATCAAATGAAGAAGATCCATGGATAAATCCCAGAAGATGATCAAAGTTTAAAACAGCGTGAATTATTAATCATTGCATTAAAGTTGTGTGGGTTTCATCCGACGTGTCTTTTACGCTGTAAAGATTCACTCTTGGACTGGACTTCAATAATTTTATTAATAAAAGGGATTTTTTGGGGAAACTCGCACACCTTCTTGGTTTTCCTGCTCACTTTTCTTTGCACCGTTCCACCGTCCCCTTATCTGAACGCCTGGAAAAGACTAATAACTAACCTCGCAAGGGCCAAAAAAATATTGTGTCGATTCTCCTTTCTATTACTCATTTTTCAGAGGGATTTATAGAGTTTCTCCGCTCCTCAGCACTCACGAAGTTCCACAATGTTATATTCATTCCGCATAGTAAATCACGGGAAAGTTTTTTGACATTTTGTTTGTTTATTCATGAAAGCAGGATGGTGGACCCCCATAAAATAATAAAAAACCGAGTTTGCGAATTAGGTTTTTTGTCCCCTTATTGATTTTTCAATTTAAGCGACGGCTGCTAATGTCGCCAGGGGTGTCGCGCCAGCTTGTCGACTAGTTCTAGGCCTAGCTGACTTTTATCTCCACGTACTCTGACGATTGCACGCTTGACTAGTACGCACTGACCTCAACAACTCTTTCTGAGCTATTAAGCTTTTAAGCTCACCCCAACCGAGAACGCATAAGTTACTATTTCAAGCGGTAGAGTGATCAAACCAAAAATTTGTAGGCCCGGGCCTACAGGTTTAAAGGCTGGCTGCACCGCTGGTCGCTTTCGTTTTTATTCCTTCTTTATCCTGTTGAAGACCTGCATTGGCCATCTTGTAACTCAAGACGGTCTTTTCACGTTCCTTTGATCTCACCATTCTTTGGTAATTCCACGTAGTCCAGTCCAAGTTTTAAATTATGCAGACACCTGGCAAAAATGAAAGTTATTAAACTTGTCGGTCATTTTCGTTTTCTGCTTGCTTTGATGTTTTCGTAAAATTTCTCTCCAAACTTAATTGGAAAGATATAATTTCATGTACCATAGGCAAAAATTGAATTGCTAAAGCTGCGTAAGTGTATTCGCAATTTCAGATAAAAATAATCACTGAATAATAATTCCAGTAGAAATGTTAAACTCCCTCACCCAGGAATCAGCTCATTTCACTCAATAATTCACAGGAAATTTATCCCATTTTAATTTTCCATACTTATTCATTTTAGTCACAATACCTTCACCATCAAATGACATCTGACAGACAGCCGGAATAGACAACCGTTTACAATTTCAGGCAGACCACTGTCCACGGCTGTTCTCGAAAAACCCCTCTGATATAGACTTTAAAAAATTGTGTTTATTTAGTTATTTTACGCCAAATTTTATTCTTGGTAACGGTTTTGTACCCACTGAATTATTTTCATCGCAAATGGTCATTAAATTATCAATGATTTCTCTGGGTGCAGGATGTTCTCACCCTTCCCCCGTTGATCCGCCACTAAAACAGTTGTTGTTTCTCAAAGACTTGGTAATATGAAACAAATTTCAAGTAAAAACTGTATACCTTACTTCAGTTATTTTTTTCTCCTTTCTTGTGCAGTCCCTGCACAATAAATACCCATAAAAATCCTTATATTTCGAAGGTTACAAAACAGTGCCGACGCCCATATTTCGAGCTTGGAAAACCTGTGGTTCAACGCTTAAAACGCGGGAGTACAACGACGGGAAGAAGCTACGATTTAAAAGAAAAGCAAAATGAAAATCATAGCAACGTCGTAGTAGCTGAATAGCTTAAGGGCAGATCCTCGTGCGATAAATCAAAAATGGACAACACAGTCTGACCTTTCACCGAGTGTATACTGATCGCATGAGACGAAAAGTGATTTCAACACGTGAGCATTTTTGATCGTACGTGTTCGTATTCTAATGTCAATCAGCAGTTTTAAAATAAATCAGTGTTCAAATGAAATAAAGACCAATAAACTAAATATGATTAAATCTCAAGTCATTTAAAGCACAGAGAACAATGCTC